TCCATCATTTAGAAGAAGCTGAACCTTCTTCTGCTCCTGATTCGGCTGAAGGAAAGGCTGATTGAGTTTTACACAACTGCAAATGCTCCTTTGCTCAGGTGAATCCGAAAAAAAGAAAGAAAAAAATGTTTAAATTTTCATAGGATTTATTTGAGATAATTTTTAGATTTTGAAAACATTTTTGAGAAAAATTTATGTTGAAAAATCTTTTTGAAACATTCCTAAAATGAAGTTTTTAAACCCTTTTTAAAAGCTTCTCCTGTCATTATTTGAGTTGAAACTGCATTTTCCTGACGTCAAGAATAAAAAAATAAGATCAAGATCAGATAGTTCTTCAGAATGAAAACTATTGAAAAAGGATACCTGTTTTTTTAGGTTTTTTGGGGTTTTTTTCAGGGTTTTTTACAGTTTTGAAATTTTTTTCGAAAGAGTTTCTTGCCATAATTTGAATTGAAAAATCGCTCTCGTAGCTTCAAAAACTATACAAACATCGATATTTATATAGCGGCTGGCTTGAGCCAGCGAAAAATGGGTCTTGACACGATAAAAGAAGAGATAGTGGCTGGTTAGCGTAGAGCGCAGACAGGCCACGCCCCCTCAGCGTCCCAAGTTAGCCATGAATCGGCTATACACCTCTAAACCTTCATATGTTGAAACTTTAACTAAAAAACCAATTTCCGAAATTTCCCCAGATAAAAAAATGAATTTTTTTCAGAATTCTCTCCAACCATCTATCGCTGCAATACCCCGAAAACTCATATAAATGTATTTTTTTCCCTGTATATATTTTTCACGAAAAAAATTGGAATGTTCGTTGCATTTTGACACGATTTTGCCTTGGCTAGGTACACTTTTAATCATATTTTATGGTAATTTTCAGAAAAATTCAGGAGTTTGAGCTTTTGCCACTAGTCGGATTTGTTGGGATTCTTGTCTTTCTGAGCTCAGTTTGAATTATTTTTCAAATGGTATTCGAAAAATTGTGGGTTTTTAATTTTTTTCATTGATACATTTCAGTTGTGAGGAAGCAATAATTTTTTTATTTTTTTATTGGCTTGTTTTAAATTTTTGCGGGTTTTACGAAAAAAATCCCCGTGCTTTTTTTTCCAATGTAAATATTGTACGCACACAGCATGCCCGGTACATTTTTCATGTTTTTTCGGAGATAAATTTTGATTTCGTGTAGTTTTTGAAAGTTCGAAAAAGATGCAGCGAAAATTTTAGGAAGATTGGAGAAAAAAGAGAACACGGCGTTTTGGTTTGTGGAAGAAAATTCGAAAAAAAGCTAAAACAAGGTGGGCGGAGCAAAAATATTCACCATTCCCACGTGACGTCACGGGGACGGCAGAGATTTCGGCTCTAATGCCGTGTTCAAAGTAATTTCCGCGAAATGCAAAATACCCGTTAGAGAAAGGAAAAGATCACTAAATTTTGGAGAGTCAGAGATCATTTTGCATTTCGCGGAAATTACTTTGAACACGGCATAAAAGAGTAAACAAAAGGACTTATTAAAGGCGCATGCCGCCTTTTTGCCAGAGAACTTTGAGACGAATCGAAATTTCTCTACATAAACGTAATTTTCTGCGCAAAAGCGGCGTAGTGCATGCACACGACACACGGCACTTTACGGAGAAAAATCGAAAAACGCCGTGAGAAAAGAGTTTTTTGAAAAGCGAAAAATCAAAAATCGTGCAATTTTCCGTGCAGACTCTTGCTCGTGTAAAGTCGAAATGGTGGATAATGGCCGCAAAAAAGTAGAGGCTCGAAAAAGGCTGCAAAAAGGTATAGTCTGTTCAGATTTTGAATATCAATTGCAATGACGTCATTCAAAAACACTCTGTGGATGGCTCGCTCTCTGATTGGTTTATCGCGCCATTAGGGGCGGAGCTTGAGCGACGACTTGACATTCAAAATCTGAACAGACTATAGCAAAAATGTCACCAAAAATGGTCCCTTTATATAGCCTCGCATTCTTTCTGGGATTCCAAAGGCTCAAAAAAGGGTGGAAAAAGGGAAAGGCAGCAAAAATGGTGCATAGCAGCCGATAAAATGGTCCAAAAAGGCAGCAAAAATGGAACATGTCTATGAAGCCCTTTTCTCACTATGTGAAAAAGAAGTAGAGAGCCGTTTCATTCGAAAAAAAAAACGTGTATTTTGATAAAATCGGTGTTGTGAAAAAACCTTCAAAACAAAAAAATGATGAATAAAAACTAAAAAAGAACGTAACGTCTTGATAAACGATAAGCTGGCGAACCTCTCCTGGTCATTCCAACTGACTGGCTGCTCGACAGCCGCCCTCTCTACTGACCCCTACTCACTCTACTCATCCGGACGACAAGAAAAAACAAGAAGAATACTTAAAGAAGGAGAGGAAGATGATAAGCGAGCTGTTCACGTTGATCGTCCTCGCCTTCATCCTCATGACCTTCCATCGCGCCGACATTGCCAAGGTATATTTTTTGAAAAAAAAAGATTGGAGGCCTTTGGAACTTGAGAATGTGGTGCTATGACAAGAGCGAGTTTTCGATTTGCGAGGAGTACGGTACGCGGATATGCGCATTGAGTGCATACACTTTGCGTGTTTACACTTTAGTTGCGTGACGTCACCGGTTAGGACATCTCCGGGTTTTTTGTTTTTTTTTCGAATATTTTCAACTTTTTTTTTGATTTTATCAATATTTGATATTTGCACGATAAAAAACAGTATCAAGAAAAAAAAATTGAAAAATATTCGAAAAAAACCCGGTGACGTCACGCAACGAAAGTGTATGCACTCAATGCGCATGGCCGCATACAGTACTCCTCGCAAATGGAAAACTCGCTCTTGTCGTAGCACCAAAAAAACGTTGTAGAAAAAAAGGCGCCTTTGAGGCCTTTCTAAAGCTCCTTTTTGAGACCTTTTCCGACTTTCCCCGTGATATTCTCTCTTTTCAGGGTGGCGAAGGTGTCCCGTTCGCCGGTCCCTACCTCGACGAGCTCTACAAAGATTCTTGATGAAGTTTACGGAAGAGCAGAACAAGAAAAAGTTTTTCCTCAAGTCGAATTATTTGAAATGAAGTTATTTCAAGGAAAGCTGACCGAATGATTACGATGCGCGTCACGGAATCGCCAACTCTCGCCGAGACGGCGAAACCCATCCAGAGCAAGGAATTGAAAGATCAAATCACGACGGAAGAAGAGGTGCTGGGAGAAAACTTGAAAATTTTCGAAATTCATCGGTTTTTCTGAAGGAGAAAGGATGAAATTGATGAATTTTGGTAGAAGCTGGATTTTTCTCGAATTTTCGACATAGTACTTGGAAAAAAGAACTTGACTTTTTCTGAATTTAATAGGTAGGAATTTGGAAGTTTTCCTGAGTGTTGAAATAAAGAAAATAAAACAAAATTATGAATTTTGCTAGAAAAAATGCCAAAAATAACGGTTTTCTCAAAAAGTACAGATTTTGCTTATCAGACGCCTTTCTTTTTTAATGGCCAGGGTGTAGGAAACCAAACAAAACATTACAATTGAGGTTTTTCCATGTTGAGATAAAGTAAAGTTTTGAATTTTCTAAATCTAATCACTTCCTATAGCTTGGAATCTTTCTCATAAGGTCTGAAACGGGTTCGAAAAACCTTTCTGTGGATATTATACGGTTATTTCCCTATTTTTATCATGTTTTTTCAGGAGAAAACCCAGTCGGCGGGAGAACCCATCGTCTTTGAAACGTTTGAGCCGACGATGAAGGCGCCCGGTTGGTTTTATTTCTTAAAGGAACTTTTTTTTTTAATTTTTTGTTTTATAGAACGCAAGCATCATCACCACCGGGTGCACCGAACACGCGAAGAATCGGCGTCGATGGTGAGGCACGTCGAGTAGAATTCGACGACGCCATCGCTCCTCATCTCCATTGCAAAATTTATAAATAACTGACGACGACTTTTGTTTTTGTTTTTCTCGATTTGTGGCATTTTCTGCCGTTTTCATTGTGGTTTCGAAGTGCTTTCCATAAATGGGCTCGATTGCCTTTAATTCCTGTTGTGGGTTTTGTGGTTGAAACGTGCCTTCTACCGTGATTCGAGTAAAGAGTTTGATACCAAAAAGCCCACTCAAGGGCCCACTCGAAGACGAGAAATGACGCTGGAGCGCATGTCGCTTTGAGGAATTTACGGTCGGGTTTTTTTCTTTATTTTTATATTTTTCTGTCTTTTTCACCATTATTTTCAGTTCTGAACATGTTCTAATGTTCAAAGTGATTCCGCGAAAAGCAAAATATCCGTCAGAGAGGAAAAAAAATAACTAAAGTTTTGGAGAATCTGAGACAATTGTAACTTTCGAGGTAATTACGTTGGACACGAGAATTTTTAAACCGGATTCTGTGAAGAATTGAAACGAAAAGACGAATTTTGATAAGGAAAATCAGTTTTCAATGTTCTTCAAAAATGTGCGTTTTAAACTTCGCTTCAAAATCTCATTTTAGTCTCATTTCTGATTCATCCGTAAAAGTTTCGTAGTTGAAGCTGGAAAAGTTATCCGCATTTTTTTGTTTATAATGATTTTCTCATTGAAGCTTCTCGAAGAACTACAGCTTCGATCTTTTTTTAACGTCGATTTTGTATTCCAGATTATGTTGCGAGCGATTCTTCGCGCTGGCGGAGAAGTCGCCACCGTTTCGCGGAGTTTCGCGACGTCTTCCGCTTCTTCCTCCACATTTTCTCCAACTTCTGAGCCTATACCTAAAGTTTCTCCCGAAGATTTGTCGGCCGAAGACATTTGGGAGCGGCGATTGAAGTTGAGGACGCCCAAACTTCAACGTGATGAGAAGTTATCGTCCAAGGTTCTGTTTATAATTATTTGAATTGCAAAAATGAATAGACTTCTTTATTTCTTTTTTTCATGTCTGTGTTAGGAAAAGGCGTCACGTTTTTTAATATTTCTCAAGTCATGCGAATTTTACGCAAAAATTATTTCGAACTTTTTGAACTTTCAAAAGTTTTCATGAACAGTGACTGAACAGAAAATGGGTTTCAATAATAATTTCAGATTTCCGGACTGTTAAAAATTGAGTTTTGATGCGTTCTCTGTTCAATTTTTCCGTTAAAATTTTTTTTTTTTTTTCAAGGTCTTTAAAGCTTTACCGATGATGGTTGGACAGAAAAATGTACGAAAATATAGATTTCTTAATAATTTTAGTGCTCTAAAGTGTTGGAAAGCAGAAAAATTTTAAGTTAATTTGAATTTTGTCCTGTTTTTCATAGTTGAGTACATTGAAAAAACGAATCAAGTGAAGATTTGAAGGTTTACTACGCGCCGGAGTGGGCACTCGACAAGAAGCCCAACCGAGACGAAGGATTTCCGGATCCGTTGAAAAATTACGGGATGACCCCGGAAAAATGGGAATATTACAATAAGGTTTGTTGGAGGATACGATTCGTTTTGGTGGTCTTGAAATTCTTGCTAATAGATTATTTTCTAGGATTCGAATTTATCTTCTTCTCAAGTTTTGAACTCATTCTGTAAGGGCTTTGAAGATCTATTTTTCGGTGAAAAATGATTAAAAAAATTCGGAACCTTCTTTTTTGTTTAATTTGAAAAAGTTCTGAATCGTATAGCTTGTTCACGGCGGACTTGAGCCATTGGAAAAAAGGTCCTGACAAGATAAGGAGAGACAGTGCTCGATTAGTGGAGAGCGCAGACAGGCCACACCGTCTTAACGTCCCAAGCTAGCCGTGAATCAGCTATAGAACCTTCGAAAAAGTGGTTGATACGATTTTTCAGTTCTGAAATCAATTCAGGTCGTCTGGCCGCCAAATTACGTTGTTCCGGAAACCGGGCTGCCCAAATCGCGTGAAGTTTTTCATTGTCGCGAATCGGTCGGTTTTCGATTCGAATCCGTTTTTGCCAAAGGAGGATTTCAATGAAGTTTTGTATCTTGTTAATTTATATTTTTTGTTTTGTTCATTTCTATCTTTTGTTCCTGGTTTACATAGGCAATGTTGGAAGGTGAGAAAAGGCCCCTTTTTGCTGCCCTTTTGCGCCATTTTCTCGGCCCTTATGCACCATTTTTGCTGCCTTTTTCCACCATTTCTTAAGCTTTCAAATCCCAGAAAAATGGTCGATAAAGGGGTTTTTTTGCTGCCTTTCTGCGACCTTTTTTGAGCCTCTTCCTTTCAGCGGCAAGACTATAGAGATTATATGGACGACAAGAAATATAATGCTAGTTTCAAGAAAAATTGCGCATAATTCCGAGATATTAGTAAATATACAGATTTTTTTCAGATCGCTGTCAGTTTTGGAACAGGAAAAAGTTTCATTAGCTGTTTGAAAAATTGAAAAAAATTTTTTTCACGATTAATAACACTTTTCTGAACTTGGAAATGTGTCCTTTGGTTCAGGAATTTCATGAAAACCATGTTTTAGAAACTTACCTCTTAATTTTGTGATACCTTTGCTTGGTGTCTGTTTTCTAAACTGTAAAAAAATTGTTTCTAGATGAAAAAAATCATTTATAATTTTCAAAGAGCCTTTCGAAAATAATAATGAAGGAAAATACCTTTCAGATTCATTTCTCACCGAGACGAATGTGGTACGCCTGTCAGTTGGTGTGGAAAATGAACGTCGACGAGGCGTTGGTTCAGTTGGAAATGCAGCAACTCAAGGTTCATTCCTCATTTTTATTTGACACGGGGAGTGCAAAAGGTGGTGGGTTGAGAATTTGATGAAACTTGGTATATAGGTACTCTAGGACAACCTGATTCCAATAAAGTTGAGAAAAAAGTGCGCCTTTTGCGTTCTAGTCGAGTTATGGCATCTCGAAGTTGTGAGAGATTGAAATAATCTGTGAATTTTTATAGAAATTTCAGTTTATACGCTCTGAAAGAACTCAAAAATATGCTGATTTTCTTGAGGATATGTTACTAAGAATAGATCTAAAAATATAAAGTAAGGTCTGGTAATAAAAATAGGCAGAGGAACATCGATACCGAGCTGAAAAAGTTATAAAATCCAAGGTCAGACGGGAAAGATCTTTTTAGAACCCGAAAATGTCCCGCTAACAGAAAAATTATGGAAAAAAGCTTTTTGAGCTCATTTTTTATTGGCAGTGGACTATTTTTGGATTCACTGAATTCTTTTTACTTGCTTTCGAGCACCTAATCTTAAAGGATCTGAAAATAATGCAGAAGCGAAGAAAAAAGTCTGCTGGGGACCCTTAGAAGATCTTTTTTGAAAAAGCTTCAGAAAAGCTGTTCCTTCATAAGTTATACATATTCGGATATACATATTTCTTCTTTTTTGAATTTCACAGCATAACATTTTCTAAACGTTAATAATGGCCTTCTTAATGTGCCACGACTTGAAATTTCACGGAACGACATTCCGCTGTTCCCCTGCGCGCCTTTAGTCGCGCTTTTCTACCCATCTCGCCTTAAAGTTTGGAAAAATTGACTATAATTTATCTGGAGACTCGAAAACTGGATAGAAAAAAAAATAAGTGGTTGACAGGGGAAAATCCCCAAGGAGCTGTTAGGAATGGACGGGAAAACTGAGAAAAAAAAGCCTCACCAAGCTTCTTCCAATTGGTCATCACACCTAGTCTGTGTGCCACGACTTGAAATTTCACCGAACGACATTCCGCTGTTCCGCTGCGTGCGTTCGCGAAGCGTCTTTCGAATCTAGGTCACGCTTTCAATGGATTGGTATTGCTGTGGGAGCATATGAAAGTAGAGTACCTTAACAAAAAATTTAAAAAGTTAAAAGCGCGACTAAAGCGTGCAGCGGCACAGCGGAATGTCGTTAGGTGAAATTCCAAGTACACAGACCGCAGTGAGCTATTGGCTGTCGTTTTCGGCGCACCCCTGAGGCAACCCGTCGGAAATAAAGTTTTTTTTTTTGATATGGTGAATAATGAAAATTTCAACTAATCGTCGATTATTCTTCATTTCTCATTTAATCTTCACCATGAAACGTAACCGATTCAAGTTTCAAAGCGCTATTTTCAGTAAATATTGCTATTCAACTTCAATTTTGACGCGTAATTTCTTGATTTTATCGTTAATCGCCGGAAAAACGTTAAATTTCCTCGTGATTTTCGATCACCACAAAACTTAAAAAAATCTTCAAAACGATCTAAAAAATGATTTTCTCGCTAATTTTTTTCTCGAAAAAATCTTCGAAGCCATCTAAAAACCGATTTTCTCCATGATTGGTCCACAAAGCTCGCGAAGTGTCTTTCGCATCTAGGTCACGCTTTCAATTGATTGTTATTGCTGTGGGAGCACATGAAAGTATAGTACCTTAATAAAACATTTAAAAAAATTGAAAGCGCGACCAAGGTTCGCAAAGGCGCGCAGCGGAATGTCGTTCGGTAAAATTCCAAGTCGTGGTACACAGGATATACTAAATCAGTGGAAGTTCAGGGCTGCTCAATATTGGGCGACGTGCTGAAAAAGGCGAAACAACGGGCCAGTGACGAGTTCCACATCGAATATCCGTCCAAGATGTACGTCGCCGACGCGTTTCCCATCCAGAGCCAGATTATCAAAGGTTTACAGATTTGAAATTGGATTTATCCTTGTTCAGAAAATTGATATTCCTTCAAGGTCACTTAAAGCCTAGAACGTCTTGTTTTTTTAACTGTTTATTGCATCTTCAATGTAAGAATACAGTACCGTGCAGTAAGATATACAATTTCAATATTTTCGTTATAACTTTTGCAGGAGTTGTCCAATTCCATTGTTGAAAAACGCTTGATAAGCATTCAGTTTGTGTTTCAGAGTGTAAACCATAGAATTGAACTCTAAAATCCGACATGAATTCGAATAAACTCCTTCCAATCAGATCATGAGTTCAGCCTTTTCGGCTTTTGAGCGGCTTTTTTTTTGGCTTTACTTGTTCCAAATACTCTCTGGTACTGTTAAAGATTTCACTACAGCTCTAATTATAAACTTTAGAATAAAAAACTCCATCGAAAAATTCGAGAGGGACTCGATAATCCGAAAATCACAAAAAATCAAGTGCGTCTGGACTTAAAGCTTTTTTGATCTGGGTAACAGTTTTACAGTGAAGCAATTAGTGTTAAAATGAGCTCAAAGCTTTAGTGAAATATAAAAAAGTCTTCAATAACTGTTTCCTATCGTGAATCAACCAAAAAAAATTTTTGAAATTTTTTTTTTGTTTTTGGAGATTCCGTTGATTCCAGGTTTCAAGCTGTAACTTTCTACAACAATCAGCTACTGAGCTGATTTTTCTGTGTTAACATACTGAATATGCAAGTAACAACTGTAGAAAGTTTGACAGAAATTGGACAACTCCTGCAAAAGTTATATCGAAAAAAGTGAAATTGTATATCTTACTGCACGGTACTGTACGTACACAATCGACTTTCATTGATTTAACTGTCTTTAATTTTTTTTTTTTTCGAAAATTGTCGCATTTTGCACGCGCAAGAACTAGTTTTTGAAATAAATAAAAAATTTTGCAAGGCTTAGTGACCACTATAAGAGTTGGTAAATTGGCCCCTAGAGGGGACCCTCCAAGGGCCCTTATAGGTACCACTCCGGAGTTTCCAAGTTTAACACATTTTTTGATTTTCCTAAAGACATCGTTGAAAGTTTAAGTGCAAAGCTAAAAATTAAATGTAAAAAAAAAAAAATATTTAATTTGTCCCTGTAACAGCAAGTTTGTCGTAAAACAATTCAATTTTTCTTTTTTTCATATGTAATTTTTGAAGGCAGTCGACGGCACGCCCACGAAAACTGGAACACGATTCGTTACCGTTACATCAACATCTTCGTGAGGCTCGAAGAAGGGCCCGCGCCGGGCTTCAAGGCCCGCGAAAAGCCCAAAACCGGCTGGGACAAGATGGACGACTATTATGAGTACCTCCGGTCCAGGGACCTCAAGTACAAGATCTAGAGCAACTTCTTCTTTTCAAATAGTTGTTGATTTTATCGTTATTTTCTGAAAGATTCCGCTATGAAACCGCTGAGAAATGCGTGAAAAATCCTTTTCAACTGAAATTTTGCGAGGATTTTGAAGTTTTAGAAGGATTTCAGAATATCTATAGGAAGGAGAAGCGTCAAAAAATTTTTTGTAACCACTTAGGAATTCCAGAGGGGTCTTTATAGGGGTTAGCGGCCGGAAGAATGATCCCTACAGGGGCTAAAGAGTAAATGGTCCCTATAGGGTTAAACTAAGGTGATCCCTAGAGGGGTTTGCTATCTGACTCCTTAGCCCCTAAACCTCAAGTGGATCCTATAGGGACCTTTCAAAATAATTCAAAAAACGCTTTTTTTATTCAGTTTTTTCCATGTGCTTCTTCGCTTAGAGTTCATAAAAATGATCGACTAGCATGTCCCCTATAGGGACCACTTTTGAAAGCTCTAGTGGCCTTTGTAGGGGTACCCTAGATGGGAAATTTTCTTTTCTCGTCAGGTTAGAAAAAAATATCTTGCCCACAATCGAAAGCTTCAAAAAGTTGAATCTAATAAACAATCCAGAAATTTTGAATATAAGGCTTCTTCTAGGGGTCGATTTTTTCATTTTGAAACTCAAAAAATCAATGAAAAACCATTTATTCACATATTCATCTCATCGTGCATAGCGGGTGAAATCAATCGATTTTACAGAAAATGGCGTATTTTTTACATAGTCCTAGTCATCTTACCCATAATCTTTGGTTTCATCAGTAAGAAAAAAAAGTACAACGAATATTTGACGTCGAAATTCGACGATACGGAGGGTTCAATAATTGTTGGTTTATTGATTGATTAATCAATTAATTAATCGCGGTGCTTGGCCGAGAAATTCCCAAAAGCCACGGAGAGCTTCTCGAATTGGTTAGAGAACCAGTTGGAGACGTCGGCGACCGTCTGAAAATTACTCATTGTTGCTCAGGTTATGGAGAGTTGATTGAAAAAAAAAATCAGTCACACACTCAACAGTGAAAAAAAGCAAGAGTAAGAGATCGCGGGGTTTTGAGAGACGCAGAGAAAAAAGTCTCTTATCTCTCGCCTTAGGCTAACCGAGAAGTCTTAAAATTTATTTGACGTCAAGAAACTGTCTCACCGTCTGCCCTCTCTTATCTTTTTTCCCTATACTCTATGATAGAGAGAATGGGTAACAGGAGATCGCAGACGGTTAGACAAAACAAGCTTCATCTAGTTCCTATAACGAGAAAAGTTAGAGTGTGTAGAATGAAGAGAGAAATCTGTGTCTCTCTATTTTTCACACTGTCTAAACTTTGAATTTCTGCGCTCTCCTGTTCTCTCAGGACAACAGCTAGAAAGTGTGGAAAGTAAACGAGACGTAGACAATTATCTCTGCCTGCAGGCTCTCTCCTTTCTCCACTCTCTCACTAAATATATACCTCTTCAGCTCCCCAGTCCTTGATCTTCTTGCTGACGGCGGCCTTCAGACGAGCCCACAGCTCCTTGAGTTTTCCGAGCGTTCGGCACTTCCAGTCACAGCCCTTAAATAAAATGACGTCATTAGTGACAAACTAAGATACTGACGTCATCGGGCTTGTCGCACTGAAGAGGCTCCGAGGTGTGCATGCAGTCGCTGAGGAGCGGAATCTCATTTCTCCAAGTTGCCCAACGTCGAGCAGTTCAGCCGAGCGTTGCCTTGCACGTCGATACCCTGAGTAATGAGGAGTTAAGATGAGCAATACTAAGTACCTGAAGGTCGGGGAAGGCCGCCTTGATGAGGCTGAGCGATGGGATTTCGGGAATGTCGTTGCAGGTTAGGGCTGGAAAAGAAGGTTGTTGATGGCTGTTCCTTTCAGAATAGTAAATTTAGAGCTTTTCCTAATTTTGAAACTATTGGGCTGAAACAGAGTCTGCTTAAGTTTCAAGGGGGTGTAGTCAAACTGGAGCTCCTTAAGGGGATAAATACGGAACTTGAAGACATTTTGGTAGGTTAGATGTGTAAGCATGGTCAAGAAATACGGACCCATAAAGTGATAACCACGCATCGGGGTCGACGGCAACGGGAATCGCTTGAGTCCGACGTTGTCGCACCGAATCACCGGGTCGTCGTCGTTCTTGTCGCAGGTGCAGCCGTCCAGGCAGGGCACCGATCGTCCATTGACTGCAACTTTTTGGGTGGATAATTCTGGTTTCGAATTCATCTCTTGTGGAAGAAGAGAACATGTTCCTAGATTCAGTGACATTTTACCCCCCTCTACTTATCTATATCCACTAGGGAAACTTTTTTTAACCCCTATCTAGTGAGGTAAATGTCAAGCTCAACCTTCGATGAAGTAAGTTTTCAGCCGAACTTCTAAAGTGAGACAGCATTTCATGATTGATATTGTACTTGAGTAACTCGAAAAGAGATATATTGAAAGAAATTTCTGTGAAAAAAAAGTTCTCTAGTCAGAGGCAAAAAAATCCCCTAGTTGAATGGTTCATAAGTTCAGTTGGTTTCTTCTTGGACCAATCACTTTTATTTGAGTTTTTCTGTTTGATCTGGTAGGGCATCCGAACGATTTTCTGAATCTTCGGTTTTGTTGGGTTGAGTGGTTCGAACTAAAGAAAGGAAAGGAAAAAATATTTTCTATTTTTCGGGATTTTCATACTTTTTCGAGAAGAACCTGTATGTTTTATCTCATTAAAAGATCAGAAATCGGAAAAAAAATCAGAAATTTTTATCAGATCTTGAAAAGAGTTCAGCAATTTTTGAAGATTCCTCTCACTAGGGAACGTTTTTCACTTGAAGCTCCATAACTCGAAAACAAGATCTATTGCGATAAATTTTCTTCTTGTTCTGGAATCAGGGGTTCTTAAAGTACACTTTAGCAAAGTTTCAGCAAAAGTTCAACCGGGGGGTAAAAAACTTTCCCTAGTCAGTTTCTGACACATTTCATCCCCCTCTCCAAAAATCTGAAGGAAATGTGTCAAATCGGAAGGATAAAGCCCATATATAGGCATGGAAGACAAATAGTCCGAAATGGGATACCCGCTAGCGGCCGGTCAATCTGTTTGTTCAATTAAAATTTTTTCCAAGAGGCTTCTGGTCAAGTTTTTGGGCTTTTAGAAGGGACTAGGAGGAATGAGGAAAAAATGGGCTCAAAAATATTTATAGCAACTCAAAGGGAAAACTTAAGTGATTCTAAAGGTCCTAAGAAAGATTAAAGTTAATATGAGTGAATCTTCCTAGAAAAAAACAATATAAACAAATACAATTTTCTAATGAAAATCCATTCAATTTCCAGTGAGAAAAACTGAATTTGCGCTCCCCGTTCTCCCGGCTCAAAAATAAACATTTGACCCTCACTCGATTTGTATATATTGTCCTCAAAACAAACAGATCCAATTTCAAAACAGGAAAAATCGTTTCAAACGAATTCCCAGAACTTTTTTTGAGATCGAATACATTTTCTAATAGAAACGAGACACTTTGGAATCCAATCCTTTTTTCAATTCAAAAAAAAAAAACAGGTGTTAAAAGTCAGGTGATAAACTTCTGTTATAAACATGTAATTTTCAAAAAAATGTTAGTTTCAAAGCTTCAAAGTACAAGTCATGAATCATTTTCTCCTAGAAATTCTATTTTTTTGTTTAAAAAAATCCACTTTTGAATGAAGCACCAAACCTAACATTATTATTAAAGAAACTATTCAAAATTTTTCAAAACCAAAAAAAAAAATTAATTCTGTCAGGAAGAACAAAAATTGTGTTAGACGAACGCCTTCGCAAAAAAAAACCGGTTCTGGTCAGGCTGATTATTGTGATTCATGATGATTAACAATGGAAATCGTAGAGAAAAAAGCCTGCGGGAGGATTATCAAAGTTGCTCCATTGATAAAAAACGGAATTTAGCCTGTTTTCGGACTCGTTCCCGTGTTGAAAATTGGAAAATTCATAAATTTTGAACTAAAACATCTGTAGACAGTGCAGGGAAGCGAAAAATAGCTTTTTGAAATATTTTTTGTTATAGTTATACAATTTTTTGAAAAAATTTCGATTTTTAGGTCACTGAAATATATGAAAATAATCATTCAGTTATCAATTTATTTTACTTTATTAGGGAAAAGTCCGAAAATAAACAATTTCCTCAAAATCAGCACCCAGAGGCTGATTTTTCACGTGGCATTACAATGTAATAAATCGATAGGTTTGGTTTTCAGAGTACTTTGGACCCCAAAAATCGGAAAATAACCCGGAAACAACCAATTTTAGCTCAGAAAATGATTAAAATAACGAAAAAGAGTAAAATTCAACAGGAAAAAAAAATTGAAGGGGCTGAATTTTCACTGAAAATTAAAATTCAGAAAGCTTTAAAATCCTTGGAAACAATTTTAAAAAAGTGAGGAAGTTGAAATAAGCAACTAAAAAGCCTTGAAACTGGATCATTTTTATCATTTTTAACAGGAAATTAGGTAAAATGAAAAGTTTGATCACCTTGTCCGCTCAAGACGAAGAGCGCCAGCAGCAGAGCTATCGATGACGTCATTTCGGAGATTCAGAAGGCCCAGAAGACGTCCGTGAATTGATTGAAGTTTGGAACAGACGTTGATGTTGAGGGACCCGAAAAACGGCAAGTGATTTGTGGGGTGTGACGCCTGGAGAGGAGAGAGAGGCGGACCGGGGGAGAGTGCCAGAGAAGCGAGAGGAATGGTCAGAGAGTATCGAGATCGAGGAGAGTGACAGGTCAAGGGGAGATATGATCGCCCCGCCTTTATCCTTGTAGATCAATTAAAATTGGGAGGTTGAAAATGGGAATTTTTTGAAGGAAAGTTCAAGTGGTCCCTAAAGTGATTATTTTCATAATTTTCCAATGATTTTTGAAAGGGATTTTGGTAAATTTTCATCTGAAAAACTCGATTTTTCAGATCGAAAATCATTCGAAAAAAACAAAAAAATGACCTTCAAATTGAGATTCGAGAATTTTTCCGCTTCGCTTTTTCACGGGGTAATTTGACGCATTTTGACAAGTTCAAAAAAAAAGTTACTATTATGGTTCTTTTGAACGTTTTTGGGCCTTTAAAATAATCAAAATGATGTCATCATTCTTGAATATTGATCCAAAATTACGTCAAACAAATTAGGTGATTTTCGAGAAAAAAATCATGGAAAAATATTTTCACTAATTTTATCCTCACAGTAACTTTGTCTGCTTTCGAAGTTTTTTTAGGAGTATGACGTCATTTTTAGAAGATAAATGACGTCATATTTCTTTTACAAGAGAGACGACTATTTTGGTTCAACTTTTAATGTCTCTATTAACATCCAAAATTTTTAATTTCTTCAAAAATCGAATTTGAAATAGTATTGTAGTGAAAAAAATGGAAAAAGAGACGAATTTCAAATGATAGAAAAAAACGGGCCGACTGCCGTTGTTGTTTTTTTATACGGATTAGGTGACTCATTTTTTTTTCTCGTTTTGAAGAAAATTTCGAGAAAAGGGCTAGTTTTTGAAATGATTTAAAGGATACATATGACGATTTTTTTTCTTTGTTTCATGAACATACGGCCACACGAGGGATGTTAGTAGTCTAGTTATGCAAGAATCGAAATGACGTAAAAATATTTTTTTAATATTATTTATGAATAAGTTTGAATTTACAATATCTTTTCTTCAGAAAAAAAGAAGATTTTCATGAATTGAATCGAATTTTTTTCGATTAGGAAAAAAAGGATCAAAAAAAGCATGAGTTTTAGTGTACTTGCAGAGACATGCCGGCGCTATGTTGTCGGAAATTTTTTTTCCAAGATCATGGAATTTTTAATGGATGGAATATTATGGGAAAACCGGAGAGTGGGGCGCTGAAAAGGTTCTGGTCGCATTTGGAATGGCTCAATGCGCTGCGGTTTTTTAACCCACGTTACCCAACTAGAAATGGCTTTTCCTGTCGAGACAGGTTAAAACAAAAAAAAAACCGCTTTTTGAAGAGAGCGTTTTGGTCGCATTTGGAATGGCTCACGATGAAGGTGATTTTTCTTTGCGGTTGGGAATTTTCTGAAAATTGGCCAGAACACTTCTTGATGGACCAGATGAAGAATCTGCAAGTCTCAACCTGCAAAACTCCCTAGCTCTCGAGAAATAAGGGTCTAAAACCCCTAAAATAGCTCATTTTGATGGATTTTGAAGGTTTCCTTTGACTTTGAGCCATCTTTTCTCGAAAACTAAGAATTTGTACAGGTTGAGACTTTCAGATTCTTCATCTGGTACATCAAGAAGTTTTCTGACCAATTTTCAGGAAATTCCCAACCGCAAATCGAGATGAACTCCCATTTCAGTGCTACGGTGACCTAACCAGAAACGACTTTTTCTCCTGTCGAGACCGGTCGGAAACGAAAAAATGCTCTTTAAAAGAGAACCGCAGCGCGACCGTAACACGTCGAGCCATTCCAAACGCGTCCAAGAATCCTGAAAATGTGACGAGTTGACTTGAAGCTCATGAGAAATGAGTGGATGAAGCGTGAACTTGTGAGTTTCCAATGACATTTTCATAACAGGCGACGCCCAAAAATGTCGGCTCAAGTTTGTTTTTTCTTCCACAGTTCTGATCCACGGCTAGCTTGGAATCCTAAGGGGGCGTGGCCTGTCTGGGCTCTCCACGAGCCAGGCACTATCTCTTGCATTATCGTGTCAGGGCCCTTTTTTCGATATAGAGATTTGGAGTTTAAAGGCGCAGGGAGGATCCTATTGCCTGCTCCTTTAAGTTTTTTTCAAAGAATAACCTGAAATAACTTCTCGGGCTTTGATAACGCGAATCGGACGTTTCGGTGCATTTCTAGTGACCACTTAAGTAGCGTCAATGCTCTTAAGTGATCTCTAGAATTGCCCAGAAACGGCCGGTTTTTGTTTCCGAGTACCAAAACGGCTCTTCGCCTCGAGACCTTTATAATAAGCGACTATGCTCCTTTAAAGCTTCCGATGAAATTTCGTAAACATTTAAGCAAGAAGAGCAGAGCGCAGATGTAATAACAACCGGTGAAGCAGGACAGGAATTGGAAAATCGCAAATGGTACCATGGCGCCCTGCCAAGAGTTGAATCCGGGTGATTTCTTTCAGTTTTATTCATGTCGTATGCGTTGCGGCCGCGATGCGGTTGGAAAAAAAAATTCACATGTTTCTTCTGCACACATACAGATGGAATTTAGTAGTTTTCGCTCTCCAATAGCGTTTTTTACAATTTTCGAGCTTTACCGACTGAAAAATAGATATGATTATTAAAAAGTTAATATTTTTAGACCACTTTTTGATCCGGTCCAGCACAAGAGTTGGCGATTTTTCTGGTCCGAACTGCACCTTTACTTCACGGCGGCTTTCGCCTTTTTCTCTGCGTCCGGGTATATTTTCAAAAAATATTTGAATAAATCAGAGAAAAAAATTGTCAGAAAAAGTCGATATTCCCGTAAAAAACTCACAAAACTGAACAATCGCGCTCCATCTCACTCCTTTTTTTTCTCTGCGCTCTCTCCAGTTAGAGATGTTTTTTTCGCGGAATCGTCGTCTTCCGCTTTTCCAGTGAAATGTTGCTGTAAAGAATTTGTTTTTTTTAGATTTGCATAATAATGATGTCCAGATTGGCAACAAGGGTGACGTTGAGAACGACGTGTTCAACATAATAATCGTGAAACTGGGCGAATCGTACCAGTTGAGCGGCGAAAAAACACCGGCATTCAAGAGCATTCCCGATTTAATCGCATATTATCAGGTTTTTTTGAAAACTTATCTTGTGAGAATGTATGCAAATTGTTAAAATTACCTTTTTCACTTTCTTAGAGTGTTTTTTTTATGGGGAATTTCGTAGAAAATGGAAAAACTTTGAAAAAACCATTTTATCGAAATTTAATATTTTTATCTTTATTTGCTCTTTTCAGTAGCTTCAACGACCGAATTTCATAAATTTTTTTCTTGTGTCGCCAACATCTTTATAGTAACTTTATATAAAGCCATGTTTCAGATAACGATTTTTTTCGTTCATTTTTGGAGACTTTTTCGAATATTGTTTCGTTTTTTTATTTTGATTTTTAGTAGAAGAAATTGTGGCGTATAGTTATTTTTTTATAAAATATATATCTTGGAAAAAGCATAGAAATTTTTTTCTGTTCTCTGAAAAGGGATTACAGTTTAAAAAAATATCGAGAAAGAGACTTTTTTTAAATTTTTCCTGGTCTTTTTTTGAAAAAAATGTTGTACAGGTCCATCGGCTACCGTGTGGCGTGCGGCTCAATAGCGGGGTCAAACGCGAGAGATGGCTGCTGCGGCACAACGACATCGAGTACGACGAGGTCGCCGGCCGACTCGGCTCCGGCAACTTCTGCACGGTCTACCGCGGGACACTCGTCCGTCGCAAAAGGACCGACGAGGCGCGCGAAGTCGCCATCAAGGTCGAGAAACCGACTTGCAGTATCTCAAACTCCGCCCCCTTTTGCGTAGATGAAACCAATCAGAGAGCGAGCAATTCACAGAGCGTTGTAGGGGCTCGGAGTTTGACAATCAAGGTCTAAACACTCTTAGGAACTCCAGAGTGGCCCCTAGAGGGGCAACCTTAGGGCCCCTTGGAGAGACCACTTTAACAATTCTTTTAGGGGCCGCTGAAGCTTGCAAAAGTGGTGCTGTGGGGGTTTCAGTTAGTGACCCCTGTAGGGAACATGCTGGTCGATTATTATTATGAATTCTATGCGAAAAAGCATTTCTATGGGAAAAACTGAATAAATACGCGTTTTTGAATGAAATTGAGAAACCTCTATAGGGTCCACTCGAGCTTTAGGGGCTAGGGGTCAGACTTCAAACCCCTATAGGTACCATCTTGATTCCACCTCTATAGGGACCACTTTTTGGCCCCTGGAAAGGCTGTTTTCCGCCGTAACCCCTATAGGGATTACTAAGTTCCCTCCTTTACAAGAATCTTCATTTCTCTTTGTGCTTGAGATTTCATTAAAAATTGGCCAGAAGATCCAGAAATTTCCTAGTTTTCGAAAAAAGACGAAGAAGTCAAAGAAAACCCTCAAAATTCGTCAAAATGAGCTTGCTTTGAGTAAGAATTTTGACCTTCGGAATTTCTACCTGAAGGATTTCCATGCGCAATGTCCAGGGGACTCCCAAACCACCAAGGAAAATGACATTCCTTTGGAACTTTTTCATATTTTTTCTCTTTTTGTACTTCGTCAGTTGTTTTCCTTTCCTTTTGAAGCTCTCATGCCCATTTTTAGAGAGAATCTTGTCGTGAAAATAGATATATTCACAACTTAGGCAATTTTTTTCCTTCTTGAACATTTCACAAAATGTAGATTATCATGAACTCGTTTCAGAGATCCAATCGGACCGAGTCGGAAAACCAAGGCGCCGAACTCGACGAAACACGGAAGCAGTTGATCGCCGAAGCCAAAATCATGAATCAGTACAATAATGATTACGTCATAAAGGTCCTCTATGACGTCATCAATAAATCAATGACGTCATAACTTGTAGTTCTACGGTCTAGCGTGTGACAAGCCTCCTTTCATGGTCGTCATGGAGTTTTGTGCCGGCGGAAGTCTGGATAGTCATCTGAAAAAATTGGGGAAGGAAATGGAGCCTTTCGAGAAGCATGTCTATTTAATTGAGGTACTGTAGTTTGGATGGGTTACGGTAGAATCAGGTAAAAAAATGTTTTTTTGGAACTTTATGAGGACTTTGAGCCATGAGAGCATAATTTATTAATTTACAAAAATCATGACTCTACAGTAATCAACTTTCAAGGTACTGTAATTTTTAGGGTTACTGTAGTCTCAGCAAACAAAAAAGGGACCCAGTTCTCTTGTCAATAAAAAAGTAAAATTTAGGTAAGTTTTGACTTTTTTCAAAACGATTCTAATGGTTGAAGGTTACTGTAGAATTTTTTGTGTTTTAAAAGTTTGTACAGTAATCTTGAAGTTACAGTAGCCTTCGAAGAAGTTTGTATAGGCTGAATTTCGAATTTCTGTTGCAAGTTCTCGATGTTCATCATGAACTTGATTCAAATTTTTCTGCGATCGCAAAGTATTACTACCGTAACTTTAAAAAATGCTACAGTAATCCTAAATATACCGTAGCCCTTCCAATGTCTCATTTTACAGACAGCTCGAGGGATGCGATATTTACACTCACAAAATTGCCTACACCGTGATTTGGCGTCTAGAAATTGCCTGATTTCGAGTGAGGTACTGTAGTAATCATTTGATACTGTGAAAAAGTACAGTAACCCATTCTTACAGGGAGTCGTCAAAATTGCCGATTTCGGCCTGAGCCGAACGCTTCTCAATGGAAACGTCTACAAGGAGGCGTTAAAGGAAGCGCCACTAAGGTGACCACTTGGCGAAAAAACTACAGTATACCCGGTTACTGTACTTTCAGATGGATGGCGCCGGAATGTATTAAAAAAGAGTCGGAATTCTCGTTTAAAAGCGACGTCTGGGCATATGGCGTCTTGATTTTTGAGATTTACACAAATGCTGGCAAGGTTGGTGTACTGTAGAAGGAGTACGGTAGAAGAATTTTGAGGAGGGGTTGGTATTTGTAGAAAGTTGGTCCATATTGTTTGGAATACATTTTTTTTTGTAAAAAGTTAGAAAATGTATCATAAGCAGAGTTACTGTAGGATTACTGTAGCAGCAGCATCGATAACTGTATTCTGTCACTGTAGGGATACTGTAGCCAAGTTTCAAATCGGTAACTTTTCACTTTTTTAAAGTTTGAGGTAAGGTTTTCCTATAATTTTTTTTCATTTATCAAACCATTACCCTTCTACTCGTTCATACTGTAGTTCCTACAGTAATATTAAAATTTCAGCCGTTTGCCGATGAACAAGACGATATGAAGATTGTTAGGGCCATCAAACATGCGAAAATGCCTCCACTTGCAGAAGCTCCCCCGGAAATTCAAACGGTTTTAAAAAAGATATGGTAAGGGGGGGATACTGTAGATTTTCTACAGTAAGACTAAAAAAAAGGACCCTGAAGCCGGAGGACCGTCCAACCTTTCAAGGCATTTTGGAACTTTTGGTCGAGTGCCTGAAAGATTGCACGATGGCGAATGTGAAGAAAATGCTGGTCAATAATATTCCCAACGTTCGCCGGACCCGGATGCCGGTTTGTACGGACTAGAGAAAGTGGAAATTCAATAGGAGAAGCTCAGAATTTGGACACGAAGATGGAAATCCAACAAGCGTCCCATACTGACCCATCGTCGGACAAAAATCGGACCTCCAGAAGGGACAAACGGCAGCCGAGCTCCAGGAGGAAGGTTCAGAGAGCATTTCGAAATAGAATTTAGTTGGAGGAGTTCAAATTGAATCGAAAAAGAGTTTTGAAAAAAGTGAATTTCTAAAGAAAATGTAAGAAAAATAGTCGCTGAAGGGACTTCGATCCTATCAAAAAAAATGTGCACTAGACAAAAAAAAACATTGAAAAAAAGGCCTAGGTGGTCTCGCAACGAAAATGTAGAGCGAGAAGTCATTAAAGGGAGTTCCATCCTATCAAAAGAGTATACTAGGCAAAATGAATGGGAAAAAAAACGTCTGAGTGGTCTTCCAAAGAAAATTTTGAGCAAGAACTCACTGAAGGGATTTTAGTCCTTTTAAATGAGTGTACTAGGCGATCGATATTTTCAAAAAAAAAAGTCTGAGGGAAGTTTGAAAGAATATTTAGAGTAAGAATTCACTGAAGAGACTTCAACCCTATCAGAAATGAGTATCAGACGAGAAGAAATTTGAAAAAAAAAATTGTTTGACAAGGAGATTTTCAAAGAAAATTTAGAGTAAGAAGTCACTGAAGGGTCTGGAACCCTATCAAAAATATGTATTAGGCGAGAAGTATTTTGAAAAAAATATAAGCAATTAGTCACTGTAGGGACTTCAATCCTATCAAAAATGAGTATTAGACGAGACGAAAAGTCTGACAAGGAGATTTTCAAAGAAAATTTTCAGCAAGAAGCCACTTAAGGGGCTTCAATCCTATTTAAAAAGTAGAATAGAGTTTTAAAAATTTCCCAAATAAAAAGCTTTAAGAGTACATTACAATCTGATAATTTGAAAGGGGTTTCAGACATTTTTTCAAAAAGGCTATAGAAAATCGATTGATTTCAATTTGAAACGCTGATTTTTGAAGTATGGCCTAAAAAAGACCAGTCTTTGTAGGGAAAATTTAGCTCAAACCCAGCCGAGGGCAGTAGAACCGGAAAAAGCCGAAAAAAGCGGAGGCGAAAGAGCAGAGAAATCTGAATAGACATCAGAGAAAGAGAGAAAATTCAGCTTTTCTGATGTCTCTCCAGGGAGCTGCTGTTCTCTCGTATCTCCTTTTCAGTGCTCTTTTTCAAAGCTTGATAACTTTCGATAAAGTTAAAAGAGTCAAAATGATTGAAAGCGAGATAGTACAGACGTGAGAAGAGACGACAGAGAAAGAGAGGAAATCCAGCTTCTTTGCGGTCTCTTCAGGTTTTCGTCGTACTCTAACCAAAAATATGATTGGGGTGAAGTCATAGAACACGAGAGATCAACTGCTGCCTGAAGAGAGGTCTGAGAAAGAGAGGGATTCTAGCAACTCTGGCGTCTCTTCAGCATACCGTTGATCTCTCTTTTAATTTTTTTTGTTTTGCTCTTTTTTTCTAATGTGCAGATTTTTTTTTTCTGAAAACTCTGAATCAATAAATTACAGAAAAACGTTATAAGTTTAGCAGTCGAATGATGTGACTGCGAGACGGAAGACAGTAAGGAAAAGAAGGAATAACACGGTGATTTATTTCCTTCCTTTCGAAGTAAGAAATCGTTTTTTCAAGGATGCAAGCACTGTCGACAACACGCAGACGTCAGAAATGCCCAAAACTATTCAAGTAACTTTCGGAATTTTCTTTTTGCCAAAAAGAAGGTTCAAAGGTAGAGAAGGAAAAAACGCCGACGACGGCGAAAAAAGCGGACGAACCCAAGGTGATGGTCAAACTCAACAATGTCCTTCAATCTAGAGCGGTTCATTTTCTTTTTTCTCACTTCAGAGTGGTCCCTATAGGGACATCCAACTCGATAATTGTTATGAGCTCTAAGCGAAGAAGCATTTCCTTAGGAGCTCCAGAGTGGTCCCTATAGAGGCATGCTTAGGGGCCTTCGGAGGGTCCCCTCAAGGGGCAGCTTTACCAACTCCTATAGGGTCTCAGTTGGCGGCCCCTATAGGGGAAATGATAGTTGATAATTGTTAACTTTAAACTATGCAGCATTTCCGTGCGGAAAACTGAATAAATGACCGTTTTTTGAATAAAATTGTAAGACCCCTATAGGGTCCACTTGAGCTTTAGGGGCTAAGCGATAAGACCCCAAACCCCTATAAAGGACACCTTTGTTTTACCCCTAAAAGGACCACATTTTGGCCCCTATAGGGATCACTCTGGAACTTTAAGTTAAGCTGAATTTCGGAGTTTTAGAAGAGTTTTTGTTGATAAAAAAATAAGGGCTTTTTTTCGAAAAAAAGAAATCAGAAAAAAAGAAGTTTTGAGCATAGTTTTAGCTCAAGTTTTCCATGTTTTTTTGATTTTTTTCTTATAGATAAATTCTTATTTTGGACGTTTTTTGAGATTTATTCAATAATTTTTGCGATTTTTGAAAATGCCAGTAGATATATTTATGTTTGAGAAATTGCAATATTTTTAATGAGTTGAGCTTTTTTCGAAGATTTTTTTAAGTTTAATTTTTCAGAATTTTCAGAATTTTTTTAAAAAAGGTTTCTCGATTTTTTTGTTAAAATTTGAAAGGAATGCCGAAATCTTTAATTTTTTTGAAGAGGTTCTCAAAAATAATTGTTTTTCAGAACGAAGAAAAGCAAATGCGTAGCAGTTGAAAAATAGTCACCCAGACGTCATGTGGTTTCTTTGTAAAATTAATAAAATGTGCAACTTTTTTGATTCACGTCGATTTATTGGCTGTGATTTTGGAAAATACGTTTTGCGAGAGGTAAAATTTTGAACTGAAAGATTTTTGGGTTTCGGTTTTTCGTTGTGCTTTTGAAAGGGAAACTTGGGAAAGTTCATTTTTTTTGGAGAGAAAATTCCGGTTTTAGACATGAAGTGATTTTGAGACCTTTTTTGGCATTTTTCAAGACTTTTCGCATATTTTCATTCATTTCGTAGCCATTTTAAGTATTCTGATTGATTTTTTTTGAGTTGATTTATCGTTAAATCACATTGAGAATAAGTACAATTGAAAATATTCGATATCGTGTAGTTTTCAAGCTCTTTGTCTTGTCATTCCGAATCGGAGTAACACGAGTAAGAATTGAGCCCTGCCGGTCATTTTCCAAAGTCGCTTCCTGATCATATCCCGGTACCTTTCAAGCCCGAAAAACTCGGCCTCGCTCTGTAATTTCGTGAGTAAAATTGTCAACATTTTTCCCTGACATGAAAATCGCATATCTGGTTCTAACTTCTGTGGTAGGTAGTCCCAGGTATGAGTATCTTAAGACAAAAAGAATCACCTGCTAAGAGCCATAGGGTAGTGAGAAATAGCCTGTCGAAAATGTACAGGAAAAGCTCAAAAACGAATCCTCTTTGGGTTTTTCGTGCAAAAAGTCTCTTTTTCGTGATTCTCATGATACAGTGAACAACAGTATAGTCTGTGGGCCAAGACTTGAAATTTCACCGAACGACATTCCGCTGTTCCGCTGCGAGCGTTCGCGAAGCGTCTTTCGAATATAGATCACGCTTTCAATTTATTGTTATTGCTGTGGGAGCACATGAAAGTAGAGTACCTTAATAAAAGAAAAAAAAAAAGTTTAAAACGCGACCAAGGTTCGCAAAGGGCATAGCGGCACAGCGGAATGTCGTTCGGTGAAATTAGACGCTCTAAAAATCGAAAAACCAAAAAAGTCACTTTTTTCCCCGTACATTTTGACAGGCTTTTTCTCAGCACCCTATGGAACTAAGCAGATAATTCTTTCTGTTTTCGAATCCTCATACCTGGGACTACCTATCACAGAAGTTTGAACCAGGTCTGCCATGTTCATCTCCCACAATTTCCTTGTCAGCGAAAAAAGTTCGGGATGTTAGGTTGATAAAGTTCTGGTATCAATTTTTGACGAATGAGCTTGAAAATTTATTTTTGAAGGTTATACCTCAGTTTCTCTACTCGACATCAATAATGAACTCACTGAAAATTCGCTGTATCAAGAGAAAATAAAACAAAATATCCAATAAAATTCTGAAGTCTCAAAAATTCTTAGTAGATAACTCTTTGTTAAAATTTAGAGCTTTATCAGGCATTTTTCGGTTTTTTGTCCATGGAGCAAACTTTCGACGGAGCAATAGCCTTCATAAAAATTAAAAGGCAAATTTAAAATTCTTTCTCTGAGCTTCTCACTCGAATTCTGGGCTCACTCCAATTTTTTTTTTTTTTTGATTTTTACTCGGACCTTCGTAAAGCGCCCCGGACGTGTCGAAGCATTTCTAGTGACCACTTTAGTAGCGTCAGCACTCTTAAGTGATCACTAGAATCGCCCAGAAACATTTGGTTTCTTTATCTGATTATATATCTCTCTTATCTTTAGAGCAAACTTTCAACGAAATTGTTTTTCCGACATTAAAAAATCAAATTTTACCCTTTTTGAGCTTTCTCTTGAATTTACAACTTTATCAGGCCTTTTTGTTTTGATTATCAATGGAGCTAACTTGAAACTTCCCAATAAAAAACAAACCAATAAGCTTTGCAATGTGAACCGATCCTCAGGCAAACTGGTTCCCTTGCCGTTTCTCATAAATTGAAGCACCTTAAGTGACCACTCAGTTAACATTTTTAAAAGCTCAGTCATGCCGTACCTGTCGGAAAAGTTCACCGTCACGATCAATATCCATTCGGTTTTTGATGTGATTCGGCGAGTTGTCCCATTGTACGCAGTGGACCTGTAATTTTATAGTAGTGACGTCATTTTGGATCATTTTATGACGTCATTTGATCCAAAACGTTAAAAATGACGTCATATTTGTTATTTTGGACGTGTTTTTAGTTTCAAAAAAAAAAATCTGGAAAAAACTTCAGAATTTTTTTCTTTGTTAGAAATTTCCAACACAAAAATTAATTTTTCAGTAACGTCATTTTGGATAGCTTTATGACGTCATTTGCTTCAAAACAAGGTTAAAAGTGACGTCATTATCGCCTTTTGTAAGGTTTTTTTAATAAGTCCGAAAAATTCTAAAAAAATTTGTATATTTATCTCCAGTAGTGAATTGCGACACAAAAACTAATTTTTAGTGACGTCATTTTAGATTTCTTTATGACGTCATGAGCTTCTTAACAAGGGCTAAATGATGCTTTGAGAAGGAAACTTGTTCATTTTTTCAACAGGATAAAATTTTTAATTCTGGAAAAATTATTCTTGAGCCTTTTGCTCAAGTTTTATTCAAAAGAGCGTCCAAATTTTGATTTTATGACGTCACTTTTAGAAAAAAAAATCTCACTCTACCCACCTTAATGACGTCATCATTTCGTATCCGATCTCGAAAGTAGCTACCATGAGTGGAGGGGTTTAGAAGCGTCTTCAACTGTACTGGATAGATCTAAAATAGGAAATAATGTATTGCTCATTTTAGCTCAGTATTACCTTGCCACCGACAAATAGGTTGATCCAGGCTTCATCCGTTTTGAATGTCAATTCCATTCTGAATTGAAGTTTTTGGAAATTTGTTGGAAAAATTTGATTTTTTTTTTTGGATTTTGGAGCGAATGTTGAGGGCTGCATGGACTTTCTTTAAAGATAAAAAAATTTTTTCGCTTTTTTTTTTCGATAATTGAAATTTTTCGCGAGGAATCTGTGAAGGAATTAGAATTATAGAATTAGGCCTGGAAAAAAGATTATTTTATCAGATTTGAATCTTATTCAAGCCAAAATGTCCATAAAAGGCTTAGTTTGAATTTTTGCAAAAAAAAATCCTGTCAAAAATAACAGCTCCTCAAGAGCAGACTCCACAAATTGAGAGGAAATTATTGAAAATATGTCTGCAAGTCTACAAATCTAAAATCTTTAAAAACGATTTTCTCGGCTCATGTTCTACCAAGAAAAAAGAACAGTTAGAAATTTTAAAAAAAGTTATGCAAAAAAGGAAAAAGGATTAGCAAAAGGAGTTAGGAGGAAAGCAACCCCTAGAGAGGCCAAAAAAAAGTGGTCCCTATGAGGGGGGGGGAAGGGTAAAGTTAAGGTGATCCCTATAGGGTTTTAACTTTTGACCCCTTAGTCCCTCAAGCTCAAGAGGACCCTATAGGGGTCTTTCAATTTCATTTTTAAAAAAAGCGATTGTTTTTCAGTTTTTCCTATCGAAATTATTTTTCCACTAACTAAAACCCCTATAGGGACCACTTTTGCGAGCTTAAGTTGCCCCTATAGGATTTGGTATAGCGGTCTCTAGAGGGGGCCCTCCAAAGGGCCCTAAAGTTACTCCTATAGGGACCACTCTGGAGTTCCTAAGCCTTTTCTGTTTTTGGAAGACAAAAATAAGAAAATGTTAACCCAAAAAAATGGCGAAAACGAAAAAATTAGATCTCGAACCCTTTGGAAACCATTTTCCAGACTTTTTTTTTGAAGACAAAAACAAAAATAACCCGAAAAATGACACGGAAAACGAAGACAAAAGGCCCGAACAAGCCAAAGAGGATTATGAATAGATTCGGAAGCACATGGGTTCCTAGGCCCCGCCTTCTCTTTTTCTACCCCCCTTTTTTTTCGGCCAAGCCCCCCTTGCAAAGCCTTCTTTGAATGCAATTATCAAGGGGCCAAGGCGAACGTCTCTTCTTGAAAACCGAAAAAGAAAAAAAAAATTGGAGAAAAATGTTTGGAATTGCACTCGTTTGGATGAAAAACGAGATAAATGGCTGGACCCTTGAGATTTTTCGAGCCCTCAGAAATTTTCGAACGTCTCGGAAAGCTTGAAGTTGTTGTTCGAGGATGTCGAGGTATTGCTCATTTTAGCTCATATTTGGAACAGAATTCGGGATAGGTATCCTCGATTTTGAGGCTATGAGAAAGCTTTGGAAGTCAAAAAGAAGTTTGGAAAAAAATTTTTTATGCCTGCTGTTAGAAACAGCCTTTTTTCAACTTCTCTCCTAAAAATTAGCTACATTGCTCATGTTAGCTCACTTTGGCCAATGTCAAGAGAAAATGCAAATTTGCTAACCAAGGAAAAAGAACCCCGGAATCCAGTTATTTCTGATTTTTTTGCCTATAGTACTGTCAGAAACAGCCGCTTTTCAATTTTATTCTGGCTCTATTGCTCATTTTAGCTCACCCTAGCCAATGTCAGAAAAAGAACAAAAAGTAAATTTTACGCCGAAACAAAAGCTGAAGAGTGTTTCTGCGACGTCGCGAGGAAATCTTCCAGAAAATTAGATTCAAGCACTTTTTCGGCTTGAAGTACTCGAGAAGACGAGGATTTTTTGAGAATTTTATTTTTTTTCTGAAAAATGACACAAAGTGGAAGAAAACAATGGGGGAATTAAATATGCATCGAAAGTTGCGTTTTCTGGCCTTCTCTTTGATTAATCATTCAGTTGGGGGAAGGTCTTGAAGTCACTGGGAAAGTTTTTAGTGACCACTTTAGGGGTTTGACGTTCCAGTGGCCACTATAGTAGTCAAATTAGAGGCCACTTAAGGGGTTAAAAATTAGTGGCCGCTATAGAGGTCTAAGTGCTACTACTAGACTACTTAGTGGCCACTTTAGGGGTCAATGGATCAACATAACTGGTCCAATATGTTTGTTATAAAATTATCAGAGTTATTGGAAGGAATACTGGATGAAAAACTACTCAAGTGGCCACTAAATCGGAAAATAGTGGCCACTATAGAGGTGTGTTTAGTGGCGACTTTAGTGTCCTCTCCAAGTAGTCCTTGGCGAGCCTCTATAGTGGCCACTAAAAATTTTCCTAGTAAAATAGCATAAAAGTTAGTTTTGAGGAGCCGCGACGCGACCGCAACGCGTCTAAGATTTTGATAACTTGCCAAATTTAAAACCTATCAAAAATTATTCGAATAGAAAAGATTTTTAGGGCTTTTTTGTCGGATCCCGAGAAATTTTTCGATCTCAGAACTAATTTTATTATTTTGAAACCAGAAATTGTAAAAGAAACGTAATGGTTCCTTCCTTGGAACAAAAACAACAACAATTGGTTTCCATCGACCAAATTAAGTAATTCACCCTAAGAGCCCCCAAGCCACTTTATATGTACCACGTCCATTTGTCTTAATTGCCATGGCTTTTTATGACATTTTTGTCGTTTGAAGCCAATTTTTGTAGGGTTGGAGAGTATTGGGAGGAAAAATGGGATTTTTCAAAATATTGACAAAAATTGAAAAAGTGTTTTATATGAAAACTTGGATGTAAAATGATTTCAATTTTAAATGAAAAATGGAAAATTAATGAATTTCCTTCAAGGTCTTGAAAGTTACAATTTGCACGACCCCCTAGTTTTTAAGAAATAATGGATCGAAGCCTCAAAAATGAGCTTTTTTTTTTGGTTTTCTTTGACTTTGAGCCCTTATTTTCCCAAAAACTGGGAAGTTGTGCAGCTAGAGGCTTCAGAATCTTTATTTGGTACTTCTAGAAAAATTTTCAAAATAAAAAAGGGAAAATATTTTCCTTGTGAGAAGCTACAAATGGAAAAAAAACGTACAAACTTGGATTTGAGGCAACGAGCCGAACCTAATTTCCTTTTTTCTTGTTGTTTTCAACCAGGAAAATGAAGCGTTCCTTTCGGTTTCTTGGAAGAAAAATGGCTAGAAAGTATTTTTTTTAGAGAGGGGGGCAAAAAAATAGACTGCAAAATAGGTTTTTGAAAAAAATGAAACACTGAAAGTTCGATAGTTTATTTTTTTTTAGTTCTCATTTTGAAAAAAATCCATCGAGCCGCGACGCGACCGCAACGCGCCTAAAAATAGCTCAGATTTTTTTCGGTCCTAATCATACTAATCTCATATTGAAAAATGTTAGGAAACTAGAATAATTGCCTTTTTTTCGTCCAAAAAAATTATCATTATATCTTATAGTTTATCCGTAAAGGTCTTACAAGAGTTATAACGTTAATATAACTCTAAAAATTGCTTTTTTTTTTTGATAGGTAGGTATATTTTGTACGGAATTTGAGAAGAAACTTCTTTTTTTAGGTCATTTTGAGCCGCGACGCGACCGCATCGCGTTTGAAAATACTCTAGCTTTTTTTGAAGATATAATGAAGAATTAAGACCAAATGTAACGATTTTCAACGGTTTTGAAACTTTTCCAAGCCGCAACGCGACCGCGACGCGTCCATCGATACTAGTAATCTTTCAAAAAAAAAATCTTTCCTGAGAAAAAAACATTTTTTTCTAGAATTTCTTGATTTTAAATCTTCCATGATAGTAAAGTTGAGAAAAAAAAACCTTAGCCCTCCAAACAAAGTTCAGTCATTATTCGTCTTGTGTGCTTTTTGATAAATAGCCCCTATTTTGCCGTTATTTATGGCCGCCGCCACGTTCCCTTGTGAGTTTGTTCTTTGCTGGATTATTCGCTTCTTTAAACTTTTCTCTTTCTTCTGAAATTAGAAAAGAGGGAATGGAAATCCGAAATTTTAATAGTCTTGGGGATATAAAAGTCTGAAGGGAAGGTTTTTCAAAGGAAAAAAGCATAAAATGGAAAAAGGGCTTCGAAATTTGGCGGACTAACTGATTTTTGAAGGTTTTTTCTATGTTCAAGTCAATAAAAACTCCATAGTTTATTTATTTCATGAATTTTATAATCCTGACTATTTTTTCGATTTCAAGCTGAAAAATGTCATATAAAGTACTGCACAGTAAAATATACAATCCCTTTTTTCGTCATAAGTTTTGCAGAAGTTGTCCAATTTCTGTCAAACTTTCTACAGTTGTTTCCTGCTGATTCAGTTTGCTATCACAGAAAAATAAGTTGGATAGCTCATTTTTGTAGTAAGTTGCAACCTGAAATCAACAAAACCTCCAAACCGAGAAACAATTTCAAAAATGTTTTTTGGTCGATTCAAGTTAGGACACGGTTATTGAACACATTTTTATCATTTATTGAAGCTTTGAGTTCATTATACCGTTGCTTGCTTCACTGTAAAACTAATACCCATATTTAAAAAAGCTTCATTTTCCGACGTCCTTGATTTTTTGTGATTTTTGGATTATCGAGTCCTTCATGGAGTTTTTCTTCTGAACTTTATAATTAGCACTGTGGTGAAACTTTACATTGTTCTAGACAGTTTTTGAAACGAGTAAAGCCAAAAAAAAGCCGCTGATAAGCCGACAAGGCAGAACTCATGATCTGATTGATGAGTTTATCCAATTTCATCTTGCATTTTAGGATCCAATCCGATTATATACATCAATTTTGATCATTTCCGATTTTACTTCCCAAGAACATGAATAGGGACCGCAAGCCATTTCTTCAGAACGATTCAAAAAATATGTTTTTCACATTGTTCGATAGAAGAGACTGTCCATTTTCATAATCCGTTTAGTTTTTGAAAAAAGCTCCACTAAGAAAAAAGTTATGGCCAAAAAACGAGCGCGCGCGGCGTACAACTGGAGGCAAAATCTCATCACGGTTTACCCGCTGCCGCACGCTTTCTTTTTAAATGTTTTTGCGCGTTTCTGGACCGTTTTTAAATCGGTTTTCTATTCTGAGAGGTTGTCCGAACTGAGCTTCATGTTTTGGTATAAATCTTTTTGTATAACTCTCATAAGAATTTTTTTGATAAAATATCAAAAAAACTACTTAGAAAAGAAGGTCAGAAGGAATTTTTAGCTTATTTTTTTCTTTTTTTCTAATCAGAAAAAAATTATTATCATTCGATTTGGAAAAAAAGAAAAAAATGAAAAAAATGATGTTATTTCGAAATAAAAACAGTGAAAAGTGCAATTGGACTCCGAAAAAAACGGCTCCTGCGACATTTAAAAGGGGCGCATCGGTGTGTTTGACGCAAACACTGCTACGGACACTTGCACGAAATCTTCCAAAATTTCAAAAATTGCCATTTTTTTCGAGGTTTTTCAAAGCCGTTATTTTTTTCGCGTCGATCGATTTTTTTCATAATTTTTTTTTATTGATAGAGTTTTTGAACGCTTAATAACATAAGCAAAAAGTATAGACGCGATCCTATTCTCTCATGCGTCAACGAGGCAGGCGAAAAAAAGAAGGTTTTTGGTAAAACTCAAATATAATTTGATTCGCTGTCCCAATAATTATTTTTCATTTTGAATTTTTTTATTTTTTTGGACACACTGTTAGTTTTTAAATCAAATAAAAAGTATACCATGTCGCTGAAATTTTTTTTCCCATTTCAGCTTCAAAGTTTGGTGTCACTTTACAAGCTTTTAATAATTTTTTTCGCGTCGGTAGATTTTTTTCATTTTCACTCAAAAAAATAAAGAAAGTGTTAATGTATAACATACTTAAAAATTTAGAAGCGTTCCTCACTTGGTTTTCTGAAACGCGACGATTTTGTGAAACTTGTCAGTTTTTTTCGTGTTAAATCTTACTTTTTCGCTTATTTTTGAAAAATACATAGTTTTAAAAATATTCAGTCTTGTAGAGCGTTGTCGATTACATAGATTAACAGAAACAGTTCATTTTTAAAGTGGGACTTTAGCTAGTATAAACGCCTCGAAACCGTTTTTGCAACAAAAAAATCGTCATTTTGGTGGCGTGAAGGGGCGGGGCTTTGCGCCCCCTAAACATGAATGGATATTTATCGGCTGAAGTGTTGGAATCGGCTGGAGAAAAAGCTGCTCAAATAAGGCCAACTGAAACGATTTGTCGCCCTCGTTTTCATTAAACTTTTTTTCGCACGATTTTGGAAGATTTCTGCAGATTTTTGTGTGTGAAGTTGTACAATTACATATTCTTGTTATTGATTTTTCTAGCTCAAAAAAATAGATTGCTAAAAATAGACAAATTTTCAACTCTTTTTGGTAGTCTTAGTAGATTTACTATCAAGGGCTTTTTCCAATATCTTGGATTTTTCTATATTTTCTGCTTCAAAAAGGTTGAATTCACTAATTTCGCTGTAGACTTTAAGATGAATTTTTTTCAGAATTTCCTTATCCCAAGTTCGGATTTCTTAAGAAGTCTGTTTTGTAATAAAATCAGGGAAGCTCAAAATTGGAGTTTGAAAAAATCGAAGCCATCTCCAGTTTTTTTTCAGATTTTTCAGAATATACTGGGAAAATGTTTAGTGGCCACTATAGAGGCTCGCCAAGGACTATTCGGAGAGGACACTAAAGTGGCCACTAAAACCACCTCTATAGTGGCCACTTCAGTAGTTTTTCATCCAATATTCCTTCCAGTAACTCTGATAATTTTTAAACAAACAAATTGGACCAGTTATGTTGATCCATTGACCCCTAAAGTGGCTAATAAAATGTTTAGTGGTCTAGTAGTAGCACTTAGACCTCTATAGTGACCGCTAGTTTCCAACCCCTTAAGTGGCCACTAATTTGACTACTATTGTGGCCACTCAAACGTCAAAAACCCTATAGTGGCCACTAAAAAATTTTTCCCAGTACTCTATCAAATTTTTTTGCTGATTTTTTTACGATTTTCTCATGAATTTTTAATCATTTCTTCTGATTTTTTTCATTTTCAGGATGGGACGGCCGCGGGAACTACTGATCGCTTCGATGATTATTTCAGCCTACTTATTTTTTTCATGGTTTTGAAATTGTATTTTTTTCAAAATTTCACCTTTTCTGATTGAGGAGAATGAATGCGAAAGAAGAAACTACAGTTAGTCGACGAGAGGGCAAGAAAATCGGAGAAAAACGATCAAATACAGGGTAAATTTGGGCATTTTTGAGGGCTTTTGGGATTTTTTTCAGTATCTTTGAGACTTTCAAGCTTGAAAATCGAATAGAAAGCGAAATTTCAGAGGCCAAAAGCCAGAAAATCGGAAAGCTTTGGTTAAAACTGCTCGCGGGGACGTTACCTTCGAGGAATTGGATGATAAGGTGAAATTTCGACTTTTAAAGTCATTTATCGATTTTCTTAGGTTTATAAGCCGATGGGATTCGAAATTACCAAATTTTATGTACCTGTCCCAATGGTGAAGCCTATAGAACCCATGGTTTGTAAGAAGGTGAGAAAATTTCATTATTTTCGTTTTTTTTTTTACTTCTTAAGACTTTTATGGAACATGCAAGTTTGAAAAAAAAGAAAAAGATGTCGGTTGAATTTTAAAAATCGAAATTTGAAGGTTGAAAGTTTGCTCCAACGAACTAGGCCTCCTATTGCCTGCCAACGCCTTTTTTTGAGTCTCAGAAAGTTGAAAATGAAAAAAAAAATGGGAAACTTTTTTGGGAGTACTTAGGAATCCCAGAGAGGTCCCTATAGGGGTTTAGGGCGTGACCCCTTGGCCCTCAACGCTTAAGTGGACCCTATAGGAGTATTTCAATTTTACTCAAAAAAAAAACGCCTAAATATTCCGTCTTTCCTATGGAAAAGCTTCTTCGCTTAGAGTTCATAACAATTATCGACAAGGGTGTCCCCTATAGTGGCCACTAGCTAAGATCCCTATAGGGACCACTTTTGCAATTTTTGTGGTCCCAAAAGCAGACCATACGAAGGCCCCTAAGGTCACCCCTATAGGGACCACTCGGGAGATCCTCAATCCAATTGGAAATAATATAGATGTCAAATTCCCATCGTACTGTCTTCAATTGTCTTTTCCAAAAATCGCATACTGGGTTCAAAATAATTCCGCGAAATTCAAAGTAGCCGTCAGAGAGTGAAAAAGATAATTAAATTTCGGAGAGCCAGATATAATTTTGAGTCTGGCGTTGAACACCTCAGTCAGTTTTCTCAGGTTTTTGACGAATGGATGGAAATCGCCGAGAAAGAACAGCCGCCATTGCCGCCAAGACGGATAAGGCCCGAACAAATGGACGAATTTCTGCTCAATGGCTACGCCAGTGTCCGATGGGTCAGTTCGGGGATTAAGTCTGTCAGATTTCAAACTGAAGTGACGTCATATGAAAGGTATCCTTGCCTTTTGATTGGCTGATAGCAGCGTTTTGGGCGGGGCTATCAGTAGGTATACCAATTTATTCAGTCTTCCAAGAACATTATCTGTGCTGAATCATGCAATGATTGTGGATCTTCGGATCGCGAAACTGTAGATGATCACGAAGTTGATCTAGATCATCTTGTCTTTTTTCGGAAAGTATTTTTCCGTTGATCTGTTGCTCCGATGGGTCAGTTCAGAATGTTAGTCTGTTCAGAAAAAGTTTTTGGATTGAAATGACGTCATCAAAGGATTTTCTTGTCTTTTGATTGGCTGGCGTTTGGGGCGGAGCTGCTGTTAGGTTTAAAAATTAATTCAGTCTTCCAAGAACATTATCTGTGCTGAATCATGCAATGATTGTGGATCTTTGAATAGCGAAACTGTAGATGATCACGAAGTTGATCTAGATCATCTTTTATTTTTTCGGATAGAAAGTTGAGCTTTTTGATGATCAGTTGCTTCGATGGGTCAGTTCGGGGCGCTAGTCAGTTCAGAAATAGATTTCAAATCAAAATGACGTCGTTCATATATTCCTTTACCTGTTGATTGCCTGATTAGCGGCGTTTGAGCGGGGTTAGCTGAACCTAATAACTCCGGAAAAGATATAGTTTTTAAAACTGTAAAGATATCAGTTAAGATCTACCGAGACGATCGCGACTCGCCGAGTGGAGAAAAGCCGAGACTCTGGCAGAATATGACGGCGATTATGGCGAAATCCCCGAATCGATTGGCTTCTTATGGCATTGCTGGATGTTGGTATTAATTTTTTTATAAGGTTGTGATGTAATTGATCAGGTGTCATTTTGAAGGGAGGGTCATATAAATAAGAGAGTCGCCAAAAAAGAGGCCAGAGAATGAGACTTATTTTTGAAAGTTTAGGCCTTGGAAAAAAATCTCATTTTCATATTCGGACTTCTTATAATGTTTTCAAGAAAATTTAGAAGCTTTAAAATTGAAAAAATCGAAATTTCCTGTTTTTGTCAGTGTCATCGAACCAGGCGTTATCGCTTTGTGAAAATAGCATGATGAGGTTTTTTGAAATGAAATATCAGTCTTTTCTCTCGATGTATGTGATCCATGCGATATCGCTTTGATAAACCTATCAAAATCGAAATATCTGTATCTTTTGTCAGTGTCCGTAAAGCGCGCGATATCTCTTAGAAAAAAACCTGAAGAAGCTACTCGAAATGAACTAACAGGCTTTTTTTTCGGTGTCTGTGAATCATGCGATATCGCTCTGAGAAAGGCTACTTGTATTGAACTGTATGTAACTTTTTTCAGTTTTATTGGAGCGCGCGATGTCGCCAAGAAAATAGCCTAAAGAAGCTACTTGAAAGAAAAACCCAGACTTTTGTTTCTTTGTCTGTAAACCATGCGATATCGCTCTGAGAAAGGCTACTTGTATTGAACTGTATGTAGAACTATATGTAACTTTTGTCAGTCTCCTTGAAGCGCGCGGTGTCGCTTCGAAAAAAGCCTGATGAAGTTTTTTCTATCAAAAAAATCTGTGACTTTTAACATTGTCGGTGAACCACGCGATATCGCTTTGAAAAAGGTTACTTGTATTGAAATATATGTAACTTATATCAGTGCCATTGAAGCGCGCGATGTCGCTTAGAAAAAAAAGCTGCTTGAATTGAAATATCACAATTTTTCTCAGTGTCGGTGAACCACGCGATGTCGTACGTCGGCCTGAAGGGCCTCCGCGGGTTCGTCGTCGGCAGCATGAAGCCGTGGGTCGAGGCTTTCGCCCTGCACGCCGGAGCCGTCCACGTCCTCACCGTCGAGTACAACAAACTCGACATCGATCCCAAGTTTCGCGACCGGATGAGCCACATTTTCCCCGTCGATTTTGCGCAGAACTGGAAAAAGTTCATTGAAACTTGTGATGGTTCCGATTTTTTAAATTTTTCAGCTACGCTGGAACTTTCGATTTTGCGGCCACTTTCTCCTCGATCGAGCATTCTGGCATGGGAAGGTGAAACAAAGAACTCCTGAGGGAAAACTTTTCCATTATTTTCTTGAGATATGGCGATCCAATCGACCCATCTGGTGACCTGAAAGAAATGCAGAAAATTCATTGCATGTTAAAGCCTGGAGGTTGAAATTTCCTTCATGAAAAGTTCAAAAAAATCTCAACTTTTAGGCCTTTTATTTCTGGGAATGCCCCAAGGAACCGACCATATCACCTATAATCTTCACAGGATTTATGGCCCCATCCGGCTTGGCCTTATGTTTGCAGGTGGAAATAATCTTCTCTTTGAATACTATCCAAAAAACCGCATTTTTAGGTTACGAATGGGTCCACACTTTCTCGGGTAAATCCTCGTTTCCAATCGAAGTCGACGCGGAAGCCTTCCGCACCAGCACCGGTGTCCATGTCCAGCGCACCTTTGTCTTACGCAAAATTTAACCTTTTCTTGTTTTTAGGAATAAAATTTTCTGTTCCTTATTCAATTTTAATGAAATATGGCGAAAATTTGGCTGAAAATTGTCGTCGAATTTGATGTGTTTCTGCATACACTTGATGCACAGCAGGCATTTTAAATCACGCGCAAAATGATCAAAAAAATCGCATCTCGTTTTCATTTGCATTTTGCGCATAATTTCCTTTTTTTCTTTAACAGATGTTTTATATCAGGCATGTTATGTAATCCTATTCCTTCCTCGAGTAAAAACTATAGAAGTAGGTATTTGTCTGAGTTTTTTCACCTTTTAAAGTCGTTTCGGTTTTTCAAGTTAAAACAAAACTGAAACTGCTGATTTTAGCTTTACTCAATTTAACTTGAGATGACTAGGATATTATTAAATTATTTCCAAAGTTTTTTTAAGATTTTTTTGTGGAAATTTCTTTATGATAAAGCGGAAGATTAATTTGGACGTATTGATTTAATGTGTTTAAATTTTTCATTTTCGGTGTTCCGGTGTTTCTTTGTTTTTAATTTTCGATTCTCAAAAAAACTGACGCAAGTTATCGGTCAAGAAAAAAAGTTTTATTAGTTTCAAAAATACAAATTTAAACGTTTAATTATTTTATTCTCGCATGATCGTTCCAAATGGCGTTTTCACATCATGTCGTGAAGGACGTGGTTTTTCAGGAAATGGTCGATTTTGATCTTTCCCTCCTCGGCGTCGACCAAGAAAAGCAGCGAGTTGACGTCGTTGACGCTCATTTTTTCGCCTGGAAAAAAGTTTTTATTGATAGGTTCGTTTTTATTTCATTTAAGTTCAATTTAAAACCGGTATTTTGGAGCATGTGACGCAGTTGAGCGACGGGAATAAAGCCGTTGCCGTCGCGGTCAAAGTGGGAAAGGAGGGCCTTGAATTGGAAATGTTTTATGAGTTTATAGTCTGTTCAGATGTTGAATGTCAAATCGCTTAAACTCCGCCCCTAATGGCGCGATAAACCAATCGGAGAGCGAGCCTTCCATAGAGCGTTTTCGAATGACGTCATTGTACTTGACATTCGAAAACTGAACAGACTATGTAATGACGTCATTCTGTGTTTAGCTCGCTCTCTGATTGGTTTATTAGGGGCGGAGCTTGATCGACGATTTGAAATTCAAAATCTGAACAGACTGTGGGAAATAAGGAAACTCACATTGAATTCCAAAGCGCTTGGCTGTTTTCCGACTTGTTTGGCGACGGTGTGATAGATCGGGGTGAACTCCTGCTGCGACACCCGGGCTTCTGAGTATATATAGACCTTGATTATAATCTTTTAGTATACGCTGACTTTGATCTGGAGAGATTTTCATTTTAGCGACTTAAAAATCAATGAGTGCCGGCTCGACTTCAAAACCTTTATGTACCTTTAAGTTTGAATTTATTCCTCCTGTCACTTTTATCATGACCTATTTGTAACCTTCCCACATTCTGCATAGAATAGAAAGTTGAAAAGTATTTTCAAATGCTTAAAAGGAAAGAATTAGTCATCAAATACTGAAAAAAAAATTCACGATTTTTGTTCCTTTTGAGCTACAGCATCCTATCATTTGATGACCTGTCTCTGTGCATGCGCCTTTAATAAGATGAAAAATTCAGGTCAAATTAAAGGCGCATATGGTTTTAATTTTTCCTTTTTTTTTGCGCAACCTATCTTGTTGCATGCTCCTTTAATTGCATGAGCTATCTTCTTGCATGCGCCTTTAATTTGACTGGGAAATTTCCAATATATGAAAGGCAGAGCTGTTCTCAAGTCGGGGCGACCCTGGCCGAGGCCGCCCCGACCCGACCGCGACGCGCCCCGGAGCGCCCCGGCCCGCGAAGCGGTTTTCATTCAGGCCCCCGAAGCGAGCGCGAGGATTTTTTTTTTCCGTATTTTTTGTTTTTATTTCGGTTTTTCATATTGAAAATGAAAGTTTAAGTTATTTATGATCCATGAAAAGTTTAATTTTATTGTTTTTGATAGAAATCGGGCTTTTTGATTTCACTTTTTCGAATCTTTTTCGTTTTTCTCGTTGTAAATATAAAAAAAATAATATTTCAAATAGTGGTTTGAATGAATTTTTTTGCGAAAAATGAAATTCCTGATGATGTGAAAATTTCAAATTATTTCTTATTTATTATTTTTTTCTCTAGTTCTGTAAACTGTTCTGGCCACTTAGAAAAACTATTGAATTTTTTTGGATTAATATCTCATTTCATCGGTTTTTCTTCTTTATGTGCTCGATAAAAATGTTTTTTTTGTTTCACTTTCATTTCAGTAAAACTTGCGCTTCTTTCGCTTTTTTATAATTCGCAAAAAACCGGGAGTCAAAAAAAAATTTGTATCTACGGGTCGACCGAGTTGACCCTTACCAAAGGCCGACCGCGTCCGCCCTCGAACACGCCGCAAATCGGGGCGCCCTCGGTCGACCGAGGCCGCCCCGAGAACAGCTCTGATGAAAGGCACATGCAGCGGGAGCGCCCGAGGAAGAAGCCTCTGTAGTGATGGAAAGAAATCGTGACAATCTGGCCCGGAATGGGCTATATCAGTTTTTCGAGATTTATTATCAAATCATTGATGTATAGCTTATTCGCGGCTAACTTAAGACGTAAAAAAGAACGTGGACTGTCTGCACTCTCCACGAACCAGGCACTATCTCTTTTCTGATCATGTCAGGACCCTTTTTTCGATGGCCCAAGTCGTGAATCAGCTATAGCGAATTCCCACCCATATTCCCATGCCATTGCTTGGTCATCGTATTGACGATTTCCTCCGTCGGATTGAGCATCATCGATCGGAGAGCGCTTCCAACCTTCAATATTGAAAATAAACATTGGAAATGATCGTTTGGGAGCTTATTTCGAGTAATTTGATACGGATAGGCTCAATTTTTCACCGTGAAATGATGATTTTTACGATCTTTATGTTTTAAACTTTCGCCGCGACTCGAGATTCATACAAAACTTCTATTTCTTTCTAATTGTCTGTGTGAATTATTCGAATAAAACCTGAGACGCGGCGATTTTCCCATCGCCTTTGTTGTCGTAGAAGTTGAAAGTTTCCTGGATGTCTTCCTGGACGCTGGACATTCCTAAAAAATAGACATTTTTATAATTGAGAGCTAGAAAAAGTAGAAAAGACTGCATGAACGGAAACCAAAAACGTCTTTTTTGCGAAATAATTTTTTTCAGTAGTCACAGTCTCAAAAAGAACGTTCAAAGTACCATGATTCTATAAAATAAATTAGCAAAAAGACAATTTTCTAAATCAGAACCTAAAATGATAAAAATTGTGGAAAATAACCAAAAACACTAATATTGATCAGCATTAGAGCCGAACACAAAAAAAAAGAAAGACGGTTTTTTTTTCTGACGATTTGTTTAGAAGAAAATGGGCGCTAGGCGTCTGACTCACCCGTTTTTGCTTTCTTTTTTTTTGGAACAAGCGAAAAAATGCCCTTTATTGAGGAGAAATCAACAGGAACAAAGAGCCGGATTTTTTGTTGGGATAGAAAAAATATATCAGAAGTTTTTTTGACGATGGAAAGAATGGGAAAAATTGAAGGAAACGGCTTTTTGGCCTTTTTTGAGGGGGAAGGTTTATATGTCTCCGCAATTGGATTATTTTTGATGGTTTTGAGAGGTTTTTAAGATGTTTATTGAGTTTGTAATGGTTTTGAAATGTTCTAGTTTGGAAAAAACGTTCGGCTTCTTTTTTTTCTTCATGACTCATATCGATATATTTTTATAATATTCTTATGATGAATTTTTTGATCTTTTTTTAAACTTGTACTTTGTTATTCTGAAATTCCCCATATCAAGTGTAGAAATTCACAGAAATGGCTTCACCTTAACAAAGGCCTAAAAAAAATCGAGGAAGATTCAGAAATTACTTTTTTTGACTTGTAATGACGGAAAGAAGAAGAAAAATCGAAGGGAAACGATTTTTTGGCCTTTTTTGAAGGGAAAGGTTGATATTTCTTTGCAATCGAATTATTTTTGGAAGTTTTGAAAGGTTTTAAGATTTCTGCGGACTTAATAAGGTTTCCGAGCTCTTCTAGTCTGAAAAAAAGGTAAATATAGGTTTTTTTAATCAATTTTTTCATAATAACTCACATTGATATACGGATTTTTTTATATTTGAAACTATCATAATTGATTCTTAAATCTTTATTTGATATTTTTACTTTGTCACTTTGAAATGCCCCTATCAAGTATGGAAGTTTATCGAAATGGCTACACCTTAACGAAGCTTTTATAAATAAAAGTTTCAAATTACGCTGTTTTTTGATGTTTTTGAGATTTTTATTGACTTTGTAATGTTTTCGAGCTCATATGGTTTGAGAAAAACGAAAAAAAATTTCCTTTTTTTTTCTCCGAAACTCACATTGAAGTACAGAGTTAATGAAATTTTTAACTCTCATGATTGATCTTCTAATCTTTTTTCGATCTTGTACTTCGCCCTTTCGAAATTTCCCCATATCACGTTTAGACAAATAAATGTAATTTTATATGTTGAAGGTATGATGGTGACGGAGAAGATAAGAAAAAGGTCATAAATATATCTGTCTTTTTTACACACTTCTTTTCTCATCATTCTGCGAGAAATTGGACCTTTTGGTTTTGTTTAACGATTTTCTCAATGATTTTAACCTTTTTTGAGAGTTTCGTAATGAGCTTCAGGCTCTTAAAGCTAGAAAAAAATTTGTTTTAAGTTTGAAAAAAATGGTATATTAAGAATACATTTTCGCTTTTCGAAAGCCTTTTTTCAAAATTTTGATCAGTTTTTCATTATTTTTCTGAATCAAAGCCTTTTTTTTTCTAAGTCCGAATCATTTCAACGTTTATTATATTCAGAAAATTGGGAATATTCTTCAGTTTCATTCAAACTTTTTTGAATAAATAAATTTATTTCTATGAAATTTCGTTTTTTTCGATCCATGTTCTTATGATATTTCTCACGTTTCTAAAGACCAAAAAACGGTTTCGTCCGATTCATATGGTGATTACAGTAATCTATGGCGCCACGAGCGGTTTTCGTGACGGGAGCCAGCAGAGGGATCGGCCTTGGAATCGTCAAGGCGTTCCTTGAAGACCCAAGTGTGGAAATTGTGATTGCCGGCGCGAGAAATGTCGATGGGGCCGTGGTTTTTCTGATTTTTCGCCTTGAAAGAGATTTCTGATCTTTTTCAGGACCTGAAAAAGATCCAAGAAGTCGATGAACGTCTTCACATTGTTCAGCTTGATGTAGTGGACGATGAATCGATCGATAATGCCTTGGTTGAGGTGAATAATGAATGGATTTAAAAATTTAGGGTTGAAAAAACATATAAAAAGAGAAAAAGTTATTTTTTCAGCATAGTTGTATTGAGAATTAAGGTTTTCCTAGCAGTTTGTAGGAATTATCCATGGAGCGCAAATGTTCCAATGATTTTTAGCTGATTCATCAATTTTAAATTTTTTTTTTCGAAGGGAATCCAGTGTGTTAATCATCCATGTAGCGGATATGATTTGAAGATTTCTAAGCCTTTCAAAAATTTTTCAGCCTTTTTTCGAATATTTCGAAATCGAAAATTGAATTTATCCTTGAAGCGCGAATGTTCCAGTGATTTTTAGCTGTTTATTTTTTTTCAAAGGGAATCAATCTAATTTAGTATTAGTTATCCATGTAGCGGATATGATTTGAAAGTTTGCTAGCCTTTCAAGGAATTTTCAACCCTTTTCCTCGATTTTTTTCGAAATAAAGCGTATTTTGAAGTTTTTTTCTACGATTACTATCAATTTTATCCATATTTTTACACTATTACGCCTTGAAACCTCTCTAAATTTTGGTTTAAGATCGACAAAATTGTGGGCGAAGCTGGTCTGAACGTTTTGGTGAATAATGCCGGGATTATTGTGCCCTACAGGGCAGAAACGGCACCGGACAGGGCGAAAATCGAGACCGCCATGAGTGTTAATGCAACGAGTCCGTTGATTTTGTCACAGGTGGAATTTTTTTCTCGAAACAAAAGTCTCGTTAAGATTCATGGGATATATTACGGTTTTTCGAGTTTTTTCTCCAGCTCCTGAAGCGATATAAATGGTTTAATGTATCTTTGTGTGCGTGTCAGAAATGTGTTGAATATGTGAATTGATAGTGATCAAATAATAGATCACGTGAGAGATATCCCAACTAAGAGTATAAAAGAAGTCGGGAACTCAGATCTTGATTGCTCGTACCGCCCACCATTCGCCTCCAGCTCCTCCGTCGCTTCCAGCTACGGACTAATCGACAACTACCTCTCCAATCTCCACTCTCCATCTTTATTCACCACTGATAATAAATAAGTGGCGAGTAAAGATGGAGAGTGGAGATTGGAGAGGTAGTTGTCGATTAGTCCGTAGCTGGAAGCGACGGAGGAGCTGGAGGCGAATGGTGGGCGGTACGAGCAATCAAGATCTGAGTTCCCGACTTCTTTTATACTCTTAGTTGGGATATCTCTCACGTGATCTATTATTTGATCACTATCAATTCACATATTCAACAAATGGAAAACATGTTCAGAAGATCGCCGGAAGACTTCAAAAAGCCGCCAACTATTATTTTGAAAAGACGGGGGACGATAGTTTGTCGGCGAATAGGGCGGCGATCGTGAATATCGGCTCGGACAGCTCTTCGATGGCCCTCAATGACGGATCCGGGCAGTTTGAAGTCCTGGCTCATCGGATGTCCAAAGTAATGTTTCTAATAGGAAAGAAATGAAAAGAAAAGTTATATATAAGCTGCAAATATCACAAAATGATCTAACTCGTTTATAGATTACTTTTCTTTTTGATTCTCTTCGATTCGAACTAAAATATTTTTGAATAAGTGGAGGCAAATATAACTTTCTTGGTTCTCTTCCTCCACGCCACAGATCTGTCTGTGAGCGAAATAAACATTTCATTTCATTTCGCCCCAGCTTGTCATGATTTTCGTTCCCCTCCGAGCTAGAGAACTATTCCGTTCGAAACGCATAGAATATTTCTCTGCCTGCGTCTTTTTTTCGGCCTAAAATTTCCGTTATTTTAAAGGCGCAGCCAGAGACAATATCGCGCACATCGAAGGGATGGGTTCTGTGGCTCAGAGGAAACCAGAAATCTTGATAAGCTTGCGCGGAATGGGCTATACTTACAGTGCTGTTGAAATCAATCAATAATCATTTTAACTCAAATAGACTTTCTCTAAAAAGATGATATTTTCTGTCGATTTCGAAATTTTTGTCTGGATTTATTGAAATTTAGCCGATTTTTTTTTTGAAAAAATTGCTTCATGAAGTCTTTCTTCTTGAAAAAAATAGATGGATTTTCGCGTCTGAACCAGTTTTTGACCTGAATTTCAATCAGCTGTTGAATTTTTTTAACTCTCTAGGAAATTGAGATTTTTTTCAGCTTTTTCAAAGTTAATTTAACAGTTTGAAGCAGTTTCGAAGAAATCACTTGAGTATCGATTCAGAAAACAGCGATTCGAAACAATTTTATGAAAAAAAGAACCAATTTTTTTCATAGGAAAAATAGCTTTTGAAATTCATCAATTGTTATGATAATGTAGCTGTCAAAAATGGGGTAAAACTAATAAAAAAAGTTATTTTTTTTTTTTTTTGAAGGTTCAACTGTTTTTCGATTGTTTCAGGGGATTTTTTTTCTCAATTCTCAAAAATATTTCTCAAAAAAATTGCAAACAGATTCAAAAAAATAAGTGTTACTACTGATTTTCTTGTCTTCAATTTTTCGAATTTTTTTAACCCAATAAACATTTCTTCAAGACCGCCCTGCTGTCTTTCACGAGAACCCTCGCCATGGACTACAAAAAGGCCGAGATTCCAATTTTGGTGACTTGCCTCCATCCAGGATGGGTCGACTCAGAATTGGGTGGTCCTGAGGCGCCGGTTACCGTAAGCCTTTTCTGGAATTTTCCCGAAAATTTTGAATTTTTTAGGTGAAAGAGTCGACTGGCGCCCTGGTCAAGTCGATTTTCAACTTGACCGAGACTCATGCCGGCAGATTGTTCGAGAGGGACCTCACTCCGATGCCTTTTTGAATCATTTTTGCTTTTTTGATTGAATAAAAAAATATTTTTTTCTTGCTGTTTTTTTCAATTTGAACGAGTTTTCTGAACTCGAAGAATTATTATTTTGAACATTTTTGAGAAAAAAAAATATTTTTCTGTTCTCTACTTGATTTGTTGCGTTTTAGCCGATTATTGTCTATCAAAAGACCAGGATTATATCACGAAAAGCTCAAAAGATCTGACTTTGAGGCGCTTCAAACAAAAATAAACTAGATTTTTCCATTTTCGAAGAGACAAAAAGGTGATTGAAGCCCGATGCGGGGCTCGAACCCGCGACAGCCAGATTAAGAGTCTGGTGCTCTACCGACTGAGCTAACCGGGCCGCTGGTTGGGAACCTGGCAAGGTGTGTAATCCCACGTGGCAGGTTCAGCTGTCTCTTCAATTCCTAACGTTGAAAAATATTAAGATTTTTTTCTCATTCAATTGTGTCGTTTTTTTGTTCTCTTGGTAAATTAAAAAAACAAAGAAGCTTTTCCGTTTCACAAATTTCATTAAAATGCGATTTTTGAACTGCCTTTTGTTATGCTGACGATTGCTAGCTTACATAAATAATAATGATCCTATTTTTTAGCCAAAAAGTCATTGAAAATTTTCCCGAAATCTTTTATTGACAAAAATGTACAATTTTTCAAGCAGGAAGTTCATCAGACAGATCTCTTGACGATGACGGATCCGTAGGTGCCGTAGGAAGGACTGTAGACGGAAGGATAGACTCCGGAGTAAAGGCCGTTGTAGTAGCTACCGTAGTAGCCACCGTAACCCGGGTACAGCGACTCGGCGGCGTACTGTAAGTTGTGCTTCATTTGCTTCAGGAAATATTAGAGGAACTGACATATTGGCCGGAGATCGGCCAAGACGGCGATCAGGGGCGAGGATGATCGTGCTGGAAATTTCGAGAAATTCATGAGAAGAACTGATTTTTTGGAATTTCGAAGCGTGTGGTTGAGGGAAAATAGCGAAAATATGAGGTGAAGTTGATTTTTTGGAGCTTCAAAAAAGTTTTTTTTTGGCTTAGGAATAAAAGAAGTAGAATGACCAATGAATTTTAGTTCTGATCCTTTAGAAACTGAGCAATTTCTTGAGCGTACATTTTTTTATCTGAGAATATCTTCTAAATTAATAAAAGGATTTTTTTTTTCGTTTTTTTCACGTTCAATTGAAACTTACAACTGAACAGAAGCCATTGTGAAGATGATCGGAATGATGATATCCAATAAATTTCCCCGACTTTTATACCAAAACCTTGCGCAAACTAGAAACACGCTTTTCACGCCGAGAAATGACAGCCGGCAAAAAAAATGGAGAAAAAAATTACTCCAATATTTGATCAAGACGGGTATAAAAACTTGAAGAAAAGCCTATCAAATATCATTTTTCATATCTTTTCTACAATGGCTTCTGTTAAGTGGTAAGATTCCTTCAAATAGGAAAAATTCATTTTGCTTAATTAACTAATTTTTAAATTTAAGAAAGCATGAAAGTTTCAAGTTAAGCTTTTTTATCGTTTTAATGAAAACCATGATAAAAACAGTGTTAAAAGAAAGCTCCAAGGTTTATTTAATTTTCAAAAAATAAGTCAATAGCTTCTACTAAGGTACTACTTTCATTAGGTTGAAAAAAATGCATCAAGCTTCGAAATTCCAAAAAATCAGTTCTTCTCATGAATTTCTCGAAATTTCCAGCACGATCATCCTCGCCCTGATCGCCGTCTTGGCCTTGTTCCAGCCGATTTCCGGCCAATATGTCAGTTTCTCCAATATTTCCTGAATAAAATCAAGAAAAACTTACAGTACGCCGCCGAGTCGCTGTACCCGGGTTACGGTGGCTACTACGGTAGCTACTACAACGGCCTTTACTCCGGAGTCTATCCTTCCGTCTACAGTCCTTCCTACGGCACCTACGGATCCGTTATCGTCAAGAGATCTGTCTGATGAACTTCCTGCTTGAAAAATTGTACATTTTTGTCAATAAACGATTTCGAGGAAGGTTCAATGACTTTTTGGCTAAAAAATAGAATCATTATTATTTATGTAAGCTAGCAATCGTCAGCATAACAAAAGGCAGTTCAAAAATCGCATTTTAATGAAATTTGTGAAACGGGAAAGCTTCTTTGTTTTTTAATTTACCAAGAGAACAAAAAACGACTCAATTGAATGAGAAAATTCTTAATATTTTCAACGATAGGAGTTAAAGAGACAGCTGAACTTGCCACGTGGGATTACACACCTTGCCTGGTTCCCTGTCAGCGGCCCGGTTAGCTCAGTCGGTAGAGCACCAGACTCTTAATCTGGCTGTCGCGGGTTCGAGCCCCGCATCGGGCTTCAATCACCTTTTTTGTCTCTTTTAATTGAATTTAAATAGAATGAAATCACAAGGATTTTGAAGCATATTGAGCCTTTTTTGTTCACACAAATGAAAAATTATTTGCTACATTGGATGAACTATGATGAAAATTTTTTTTTTTCCTGAATTTGCTTTGAAAGTCTATTTATGAAAAATTTTCTGAAAAAGGAATAAAGGCTCTGAAAGACTTTAAATTATTCTAAAAAGGGTTCCGAAGATCGAGAATTTTGAAAGTTTCAAATAAATAAACAGTTTTTTGAGCAATACTTCTTCATTTGTATCGCGAAAGTTGTGATTTTTTGGTTTTTGTAATAATAATCTGAGCAAATACCATCATGAAACGCATTTGAAGCAACTTTTTTTGGATTCCAATATATTTTCATCTAGAAAATGTTGAAATTTTTCCGGTGAAAGGGACAGTCAGACATGCCATCTTACAGTAATTCTTTTTGACCTCGCCAATTTTTTGATCTCGGTGCCCTAGAGAGAGAGAGATGGATTGTCATCATATTTTTATCGATTTTTACATTGGCCGCTTTTTTGAGGTTTTTTTGATTATATTTTGTATTTTGTTTGTAGTAAATGATAAATTGAAGTTTCCTTATCAGTTAAAAGTCACTTTGAAAAAAAAAAATAGAACTTTTCGAATATTTTTTTGCGAAAAAAATAGAAAAAAATTCGACTTTATACTGTTTCTTCGAAGGTCTTTCATTTTCTATCATTCAAATTTTATGTAGTTTTCTTTTTTTTTTCCCCATCCCCATAGAACTCTCTGCATCGCCATAAACTTCCGCCACAACGATTCTTCTAAAGAAAGATGCGATATAAAAAAATTGAGTTTTTTTATTGTGCGATTGTAAGAAATGAGGAAAAAACGTCGAATTTTCAATGAAAACTTGTAAATGAAAAATTTCTGTTGAGAAATTTCGAAAAAAATACGCCTTTGGAATGCCGTGTTCAAAGTAATTTCGGCGATTTTAAAATAGTCACGTTATTCGTTTAAAATGAATTCACGAAATAGGCAGAATTGCTATTCCGAGAACGGCAAGAAAAAATGAGTCCTACAACGATATATCGTTAAATATGCATTTTTACCGTAATTTCTTCGCGGGAACTCAAAATTTTGGAATTATTTGGGCATTTTCTACTGAAATTTCAAATTCGCACGTAAAACTCACCGTAAAAATGCGTATCCAACGATATATCGTTGTAGGACTCACCTTCCCAGAATACCAATTTCGCCTATTTCCCGAAATCATTTTAAACGAATAACGCGTTTATTTTGAAATTGCCGAAATTACTTTGAACACGGCAGAAGACGCAAGAAAAGAATTGAAAAGTTTTCCTGGCGCGAAACGTATGGTTAAAGTAGGGTACTCAGGCAAAAAACGTCTCCCGCTGCTTTTAACTAGCAATTTTTTTTTCCTTTTTTTGAGCGTTCAAAACTGCATTTTTGTTTTTAAACTCACTATTTCTTTCGATATGATTTGCCCGTTTTCAACATTTTTTTGTTTCATTTTATTCTTTTCAGAAACTTCAAACGCCCAGCCCCACAAAAACGTTTTTGCAGTCGTGAACGAGGAAAAATCTCTAATCTGCGATCGCGAGTTTATGTGAGTTCGAAGATTCAGTTTTCGGATTAAGAACTTCCAAAAGCGACTTCGAAACGTCCATACTAAGAGCGTTCCAGGTTTATTTCCGATTCGTTCTGGAGAAACTGTCCTGATTTCGATACAAAGACAATTGATGACCGGGAATGCTCTTCATATTTAGTTTTGGACGTTTCAATGTCTTTTTTTTTTTTTAGTTTATCTCGTAGTTAAATTTTCATGATTCTAATCAAGTGATTTCGCTTTTAATACGGAAATTTCACAGTGATTTTTTTCAAAAAAATTATCATCGTAGAATTAATTCAAACTATTATAAGAAGAATTTTGAAAATAGTGTTTTTGAGATAATTGTCAGGAAAGTATGCCATTCACATTCCAATAATCTTAGAGAATGTCTGGTAATTTTTGGTAACTTTTCCCTCAACGTCAACTTTGAGAATAATGCTAATTGCTGAAAGGAGACATTTCGGAGCATCTCTTCTCGGCACTGCTTTTTGCTATTCCAACTTGATATAAAAACCGCCGTTTAGAGTAACTTTGCCCTTTTTACTTGGCGAAATTCTGAAATAGCGATGTTTTAGAAGTTTTGCCGATGAAACAGTGCAAAATTACTTCTAAACGGTGTATTTTTGATGCTGAATTCAAGTTGGAATTGCAAAAAGCAGTGCAGCGGAGGGGTACTCCGGGAAGCACCCTCCTTTCAGCAATTAACATAATTCTTGAAGTTGACATCGGGGGAAAAATACCCGACGCGCTCCAAGAATTCTGGAATCCGTGAATCCCAGATGGCTGTCTTTTGCGGGAAACGCCTGGCGGACCCGAACGGGGGTTGCCATATTGAGAGCGAGGCCACTCGCCACTCGACCAAACGTCCCTGGTCGGCGAGAGGCAATCGGTCCCTCGTACCATCGCTTGGTCCAGTGTTGGCTTGGGAGGAGAGCCTCGCCGTTTGACCTGCCGACTGAAGTTTGACCCGCGGCGCCAAAACATTACGTCACCCTTCCATGGCCTTCTAGAACTTCTTTTTGCGTCATTCTTTCTCAATTTTAATGCTTTTTACACTATTTTAAATTAATTCAAAGCTTTTGTAGTGTATTGAAAGATAGTGTTGTATACTTCGAAGCTTCATCATTGTATTCATTATTTAGCAATTGATGTAATCGGTTTACTTTCATAACTTTTCGCCCAAAGTTTTGAATGCGAAGAACATATAAGCTTCTCTAGTATAGTAGATGATAGTGTGTATAAGTTGAAGTTTGTCTACTGACTTATTAATCAGATCATAATCGTTTATTCGCAGTAAAAAAGTTATTTGCACTTTGTTTTTTTTGTTCGAATGTTTCAATTTTCAGATAGTTCTGGAGGGTACTGACGACGTGTTAGAAGTGTATCCGATCCTGAATTTTGAAGAATTCCAACGAAAAATTTTCTGAAAGGTTTCCAATTTTTACGAAAGTTTCAATGATTTATTTATTTTCATGTTCCTTCGGCAGTTCCACCAAGCGGTCCTTAATATAAGATGAGTTTTTCTTTCAGTTAAAATGAAATATTTTTTCAAAACAGATCGACTTGAGTGAAAGATGAGCGGATTGGATGGACGAAAGTATGGAAATGAAGCAAAACGGAAGTGCGAGATCCAAAAGCGTGCTCGAACGAATGGAAGATTCCGTCGGCCTCAACTATTTGAGGTATTTTTTTCATTTCATTGTGAGCTTATTTTTCAAAAAGAGAGTGTATGACAAGATTGCATCAATGTTGAAGTTAGGATTTTTGAGAGCCACGGATAAGTTCATGACCAAAAAAAAATTAGTACTGGAGTCCATGTTGCGCAGAAGTTCAGTCTCCCTTTTTCAACTCTGATTTTTCTTGATGATTTATCAAAAATTGCTTCAGAAGCTTTTGCATTTGGACAATTAACATACATTTTTCGTATTCAAATCAAAATTTTTTGAAGTCGTTCTTGGTGCAAAAGCTTCCTAATTTTATAAACGATTTTAAGATTGAAATTTCTATGATACTTTTGCGCTTCCTGAACCATTCCGTTTTAAACTTAATCGCTTTTCCAAATCAATCAAGTAGTTTCAAAATTTCACGTTCAATGTCATTGAAGCGAAGAAGTTCAGCAATCTTGTCATATACTCTCCAAGGCCCAATCTAGAAATGAAATAGGTTTCTTAATTTCAGAATTAATCTTGTAATTTAGACATCGATGATTGTATAGGACGACGCGGTCACGCTGCTTTTCGTCGCCGAATTAAAAATTTCTTATTTTTCGATAAAATGTTTGTTAAACTTTGGAAGTAAACATGGGATGATGACCACAGCGCGACCGCATCGTAGGGCCTCATGTCTTTTAGGATTTAGTAGGATAGGGTCTTGTTTGAAGTTGGGGAAAGGCGCGCGAAGAAGTAGAATTTTCCTGATTAAAATAGTTTTCCGCGCATCTTCCTTCACTTTAAATAAGGTCTGTTGCTTCTCAAACTGGCTGAGATAGTCGATGATGTACTGGAAGTTTTGGAAGTCCATGGATGAAAGAAGTATGAATATGCAGAGCGTGCTGAAAGACTTGTTATTCTGAGATTTCCAAGCTTGCATTTCAATCAAAAAGGGTGAGCTTCTTCTTGGCTTTTGTCAGCAAGAAGAAAGGGGGCTTCTGCCGGTTCTTTGACATGGGGATATTCGTGTCGAGCATGACCTCGGTCACTCTTTCCGGAGGGGAGATCTCAGCCACTCGGAACCTCTGAGTGGCACTTCGGTCCAACCAAGGAGACTGGTGCACTGTCCCACTCCTCCGTGCTCCTACACCCAGTCAGTCTCTCTGACTTCAACTTTTTCCGACTCAAACTGCTTGGGATCTCAGAAAAACTAGACTTTAACATGACTGCACGAAATTTCAAAGTCACTTTTGGGTATTGATTGGTCTAGTAAATTATCCAGGAGCCGAAAACTTGCATTGGTGCGTCTATGCACCTTACTTTCGATGATCGATTTATCTTGTAAATTCTTCCTCAAGAGCCAAAATCTATCCTTAGCGCGCCAATGCATTTATCGATTCGTTTAGTAACTCCTTTACGCCTAGTAAATCCTCTAGGAGCCAAAAACTTCTTTCATCCATGGGCTTTCAAGTAGTATTTCATGTTGTATCCTGACTCTGTAGATGTCCTTTCCTTCTCTCATCTCCAAATGAGATTTTCTCACTTCGGTCAGAAAAAGAAGGTTTCGACTTTCACGGAAGAGAGTTCTCAGTCACTTGGACTTCCAAGTGGCAACTTCGGTCTGACCAAGGAGACTGGCGATTTTCCCACTCTTCCGTGCTCGAGTTCACTAGCTTGACCTGTCAAGCTTCGAACTTCAGGGAGATGATCAGAAGAGAAAGACTTGTACATCAGAGAGTATCTCAGCCAATTTGGAGAAGACGTCATTGCATGAGTGTATGTGAGAACAGAACACAGTTTAAATACGAAGACTTTATTGAAAGGCATAGAAAAGAGATCATGATTGACAAGTTGAAGATGAAGATGTAGAAGAAATTGCAATCTGTAAAATCATTCTTAATATTGCAATTTGAATATAAAAATGCTGTATTAATATTGCAATTTGAATATAAAAATGCTGTATTAATATTGCAATTTGAATATATAATAATGCTGTATTAATATTGCAATTTCAATATAAAAATGCTGTATTAATATTGCAATTTGAATATAAAAATGCTGTATTAATATTGCAATTTGAATATATAATAATGCTGTATTAATATTGCAATTTCAATATAAAAATGCTGTATTAATATTGCAATTTGAATATATAATAATGCTGTATTAATATTGCAATTTCAATATAAAAATTCTGTTTGAAAATGAAAAATATTGAGCCGCCTACTCCTGCTTGCCCATTTTTCAGACAGAAACTTGGATTCTCCAAGTGAAAGGCCCAAAGCGATGTCGCTGGGACATCTTCTGCCGTGCTGTGATGAGATCGGCCGGGAGACCGGACTCGACTTTCGCAAGTCGTCGTGAGCACTCTCTCATCAGAATGGCGTGGCCTCCATTGAGCACGACTTCCGATGTACAGCGACAACTCTTTGGACCGTTCGGAGTGCAAAAATCGAGGCACAAGCAAAATATACAAAAATGGTTTCAGAAAGCTCAATTCTACTGTCTTATTCAATTGTCATATTCTAAAATAAATATTCTATTCTTTCAATGTTCGTGTTAGAACAAACGTTTAACACTGCGGCCAAAGCAGTTATTGGGCTTCTGAAGTATTTACTAGACTAATCAATATGTGCATTGATGCGCCAATGCGAGATTTTGGCTCTCGAAAGAGATTTACAAAATCAATCGATCATAAAAAGTAGTGTGCATGGGCGCACCAAAGCAAGTTTTCGGCTCTTGGAGGATTTAGTGAACCGATCAATATCCAAAAATGTCTCGGAAATATCGTGCAAAGTCATGTGAAAGTATAGTGTTTCTGAGATTCGAAGCCGTTTGAGTCGGAAAAAAGTTGGAGAGACGGACTGGGCATAGGAGCACGGAGGAGTGGGACAGTGCACCAGTCTCCTTGGTTGGACCGAAGTGCCACTCAGAGGTTCCGAGCGGCTGAGATCTCCCCTCCGGAAAGAGTGACCGAGGTCATGCTCGACACGAATATCCCCATGTCAAAGAGCCGGCTGAAGCCCCCTTTCTTCTTTCTGACAGAAGTCAAGAAGAAGCTCGCCCTTTTTGATTGAAATGCAAGCTTGGAAATCTCAGAACAACAAGTCGTTCAGCACGCTTTGCACGATATTCATACAACTTCTACTTTGGCCGCAGTGAGTACAAAGAGTTTTGCGTAAGCTCTACACTTTTAGACTGTTCTTAACAAACTTCATATGACGCCATCCAACAGTAACCTCTGTGTAAAATGAAAGCAGAAGTGGATAGTCTGCCCTAAATGGTCTCACTTAGTATTCCATCTAGATTTCATCGAGTTCCCGATAAATTGAAACAAAAACGCGGCAAATTTGAAAATATCAACACACAGAAAAAAATTCGCTAGCTTACATTGCAAAATATAAAACGATTCGATAATAATATACAATATGTAAAGACCAAGTAGGGCCAGCTTTCAACGACGCTTGAAGGATACAGTTGAATGACTTCATAAATCAAAGAAACATGGCCCAGCTTCACGCGAAGCTTATGTAGAGCGGTCATTGTTACTGCCCAATAAGTTGTGTTTTAAAAACATCTTGACGAAAAATGGAATGACCTCAATGCAACCGCGTCGCGTGAGCGTTTCCTACTTTTTATTTTTCCTGACTTTTATACCTAAAACTACCATATTTAAATTTTAACAAACTTCTAAAGTTATGATGGGCCTTCAACAGCATATGACAAAAAGCTACGGACAATAATGGCCACAAAAAGTAGGAGAAGTGGAAATCATCTATTAAAATAGTTGAAAAAATATATATTTTTCCAAATGGAGCAGCTTCTTGTGGCTATTACTGTCCGAGTTGTCGAGGGTCTTTCTGAAAAAATCGACAGAGAAAAGATGTGAGAAAAAAACTAAAATAATTTTATTAAACTAAGGAAAGAAAATAGTCAACTTCTTGTCATATGCTCTCGAACGACTAAAATCTCAGAATGAAATAAAACTAACAAAATAACGGCGCTGATGAACTCGTTGGAGACACGACATGACTGAAATTCCATTCGAAATCCGCTTCAAATCGCCGTCTGACATGTCCTTGCTATGCCCAGTGTTCATCCGAACAAGTCGGCGAATCCTCTGAAAATTCCGAACTAGTAGAAAGAATGGCCTGAAAAAATTAACCTAGCCCTAGTTTCATGCGTCCAGTTCCAACTTCGGCCAATGTGAACAGTCGAGTCGTCGTGAATTTTGTGTCAGAACCGGGAGGGAAATCTGAAATTGAACTTTCTATTTATAGTTTTTTCGATAAAACTTTTAATGTTTTCGTTTGAATTTCAACTTTTTCTAATGAATCCGCATGACCTCCAGCTCTTAAACAAGGCTCGAATTGAAATCACAGTTTACTCACAACTTCTGTAGACAGCCCCAAAAAGAAGCAAAGGCGCTACACTCGTAAATCAACGCGAAGTCGGCTCCGAGAACCGTGCGCCATTTGCATGACATCATCTAAGACACGCCTCCGCCGCCCAAGCAAACAATAGCGACCAAGCGATGGCTAGTGGGACCGACTCCGAGAACCGTGCGCCATTTGCATGACATCATCTAAGACACGCCTCCGCCGCCCAAGCAAACAATAGCGACGGCTAGTGGGACCGATGGCCTCTCGCCGAACAGGAACGTTTGGTCGAGTGGCGAGTGGCCTCGCTCTCAATATGGCAACCCGCGTTCGGGTCCGCCAGGCGTTTCCCGCAAAAGACAGCCATCTGGGATTCACGGATTCCAGAATTCTTGGAGCGCGTCGGGTATTTTTCCCCCGACGTCAACTTCAAGAATTATGTTAATTGCTGAAAGGAGGGTGCTTCCCGGAGGACCCTCCGCTGCACTGCTTTTTGCAAATTCAACTTGAATTGCGCATCAAATTACACCGTTTAGAAGCGACAAGTAAAAAGTGCAAAGTCACTCTAAACGTGTGATTTTGAAGTCAAGTTGAAAGTGCAAAAAGCAGTGCAGCGGAGGATGCTCTGAAATGTCTCCTCTCAGCAATTAACATAATTCTCAAAGTTGAGCTGAGAGAAAAATTACCAGACGTTCTCCAAGATTATTGGAACGAGAAAGGCCTACTTCCATGACAGTTATCTTAAAATCTCGATCAAGCTAAATAGTCCTAGGCCCGCGTTACAAGTGATTTCGCTGGCTTTTTCCTACATATAACAGATTTTTGCTAATTTTATGAGGTCAAAAAACCAGTATAAACGAAGCGGAATTTTCTGAACCATCTGCATCGCCGTACAATAAAACATTCAACAAAAAATGGAAAAAAAGTTCGGTTTTCAGCCAAGTAATTACGCGTGTCGAAATTCTAATAAATTTGCGATATAAGTTTGCAAATGTGTCTATTTGAGCCTAAAATAAATAAAAAAAGGGCATAAAAAACTGTAATGATATAGTTAATCTTTCGCGACTTGAAAGCCGAGATAGGTTGGCGAGGGTGAGCGTTGCGTGTGCGACGCGGCTTATGGCGGGAAACACGATCTCAAACGCGAGCCATTTATTCTTCTTTTTTGACAGTTTTTCAATATATCGCAACTGTTTTTACGGGTTTGAAAATAGTCAGTTGGCCGTATAAAAAAATTTTTTTCTACAGTTTACCACAATTAAATATGACCTCAAGTTGGGCGCGCCGTAGCGCAACAGGTTGTGTGCCTGTCTGCGGTCCACAGGGTCAAAAGTTCGATCCCGGCCTCGATCCAACCAAGGGGTTTAAGAAATGTTGGTAGTGGGTAACCACGGCTTCATAATCCCCAGCCGTCCCACATAAGGACGGATATGTCACTGGAGCCAGTCCACTGATTATCACCAGGATAGGACCTCGGCTAATCGACTTGGGGCGCCGACGCCGCTCAAGCGGTACAAAGGCGTAGGAAGAAGAAGAAGAAATATGGCCTCGAGTTACCTGCCAAAAGCCGCGTCGCACACGCAACGCTTCACCATTCTCACCTTTGAAGTCAAGGAAAATTGACTATATCAAGGCAAAAACCAGCACAATGCCAAGTCCAAAAAGGAAAAAATACAGAGAATTCCGGTCGTGAAATTTCCTCATTTATTGATTATTATTTACTTCCAAAATCTATTTATTTATTCTCAAAATTTTCTTCAAACTCACATCAAAAATCGTCAAATTTTCTTCCTTCTTGTCTGACGTCGACATTCATCTCCGGAAGTTTCAGCAACTGAAAAAGTTCAAATTGAATAAATCGAATTTCCAATTGAAAGCAACGATTGCAGAACGAAAAAAATAGCTCAAATTACTTCTAGAAATTTAAAAAAATGTGCAAAAAAATTCAAAGAGAAATCAAAAAAAGGAAATAATTTCCAAGTTTTTTTATCATGAAAAAAATTTTTTTAACTTATTCTATGCGTTGAATTTTCGTCAAAAAAACATTCTCAAAAATTGAAATCAACAACCGAAAAAAAAAAATCTAAAATTGGCCAAATAAGCTCAAATTCGTCCAGTGAAGCATCTATTGTCGATTAAAAAAACCTTGAACTTTCAAGTAAATTTTTTTCAGAAATTTTCAAATCAAATAATCGAAAAACGCATTTGAAAAACAGATTTCATGACAAAAAATCGAACAAAAACGCGATAAAATAACTAAATTTCATCCTTTTTGAAATAAGTTTTTTTCAATCGAAAAACATGGATACTTCAGGAAGCAAAGAATGTTAAATAACATACCAAAAATACATAAATATAACAAAAATCGATTGAATGACGACAAAAATGATGACATTTGTTTTGGCGCGACCCAGTCCTCAGTCAAAAACGGGCCAAGGGTTCTGTAGAGGTCAAAAAATTTGGTGTATGATCTATTTCAGGCTTGAGTCCGATTTTGGCTGCCTTTGAACCAAAAATAGCGTCGAAAATGTCGATTTGTTTTCCAACAGGCTTAGTTTCATGTATAGCTCTCCTTCAAAGACCATATTTCCCGTATCTCTGCCTTTGCTACATTACGGTCTAATCAAATACTAAATACCTTTAAGTTTTCTTCCCCCCTGCACTACCTCAGAATGTTTCAAACCTACGTGACGCCTATTCTCGAATATTGTAGTGAAATCTTTTTCTCCCTCTATCTCGTCTGAGGAATGCTTCAAACTCGAGTCTTCTCTACGCCAATTCAGTAGAAAAAGTTTTTTTATAAGATGCAATGTTCGCTTCAGTTCTTATTCTGATCGTCTCAGCCAATTTGGCTTTAAACCTCTCTTTGTACGTCGTTGTATTAACGACATTATTTCTCTTCATAAAATAATTTTGCGGCTCTGACCACTTTCTCAATCGCAATGACTTCTTCACTATTTCTCCTTTACAGAGGAATCCACTTCGACTTCGCACTTCCGGTCAGTTCTCTAAAGATTTTTTTCCAAAAACTATTCCATTATGGAATAAACTTACCTCTAGAATAAATTTTTAACGTCTCTACGGATGCGCTACGGGTTAAACTTAATGATCTCCCTAACTCTGCCTTTTTTTCGAATCCATTCCTTCCCGTTTGCTCTGACTTCCTTTTCTATCCCCGGGTCATAGTCTACTCGTTAGGGTGGACTAATTCCCGTTTTGGTTATTCTGCTGCTTTCGTATTCTGAACTATTTTATTTATTATTTTCCAACAGTATGCAGTGAATAAACCTATTATTATTATAGCCGATCCAGGGCTAGCTTGGGAAACTAAATGGGCGTGGCCTGTCTGCGCTCTCCACTAACCAGACACTGTCTCTTTTCTGATCGTGTCAGGACCCTTTTTTCAATGGCTCAAACCAGCCGTTAATCAGCTATAGAAACTAATTTAAGCTTCAAAAATTTTCAAAAAAATCGATCCTTAAACTTCAAAAAGTTCAATTCTCTTTCTCGAGTTTCAAAAGTTTAAATTCCACTTTATTCAGGTCATTCTAGGGATCCTCTATTCAGATTTTGAATGTCAAGTCATTGCTCAAACTCCGCCCCTTATACGTAGGTCAAACCAATTCAAGATCGAGCCATCTATAGAGTGCTGTTGGGGGCGGAGTTTGCTGCTTGAAATTCAAAATCTGAACAGACTATAAACCTTTCAAAATAGTCAACTTTCAAAGCCTCAAACTGGATCTTTAAACATTTGAATCTTCGCTAAAATACACAAACTCTCAGAAAACGAGGAAAAAGCCTCCAAAAGATCACACAAAAAGCTCCAAATCACAATTATTTTATTCAACAAGTGTCAATATCGAAGATCAGTTCATGAGGATCAGTTGAATGTACAATAGGTTTACAATTGGTACACGAAGGTCAGTTGTTGTACAGAAAATGGAAGCGGGGAATGAATCAATAAGCCTCGATTTCTTCATCATCATCCTCGTCGTCGCTCTGGCCAATGCTGTCAATGAGGGCCATCATTTCCTCGAAAGCCTCCTGGGGCGTTTGCTTCTGCCATCGGGCCCGGTCGGCCGCGAATTTCGGATTCGGCACGTACGGCTCGAAATGAACCGGCGGGTAGTCGTCGATCAAAACCACGTCCTGGAAAAGATAAAAAGTTTGGAAAAAAAGGGACTTGAAAAAATAATAAAAAGCTCTATTCGAGTCACCATTCCCTAAAAGAATTTTGATATGAGGATGAAAAAAATTGTGGGTTTTTTTGAAGAAAATTTACTTTTCAATGTTTTAGGTTGTGCAGAGGAATGTTCAATTTTAAAAAAAGTAAAAAAATTTGTTCAAAAACCCCTTCCTAGATTTTTTTTAAAAGGCGCAAAAAGTCTCGAATTACCTAAATAAAATTATAGAAAAAAAGTTCCTCTTGTGGTATTTTTAATGTGGTCATGCTCCTTTAATTGCGCAAAGAAGCTGTCTAACGTTATTCAGAAAACGTTTCAGCACGTTCCCAAATTGCGCCCATCTACACGAAGAAAAAAGCAAATGTGCTCCACTGACAAAGCGCGCGAAAAAATAAAATTCAAAATTTCCATCTCAATCTCGTCACCAAATTTTACTTGGAACATATCAACTACAAACAAGACATTGAAATGTGAATAAGACAAAGAAAATTTCTCAAAAATTGAATCCAACTTTCTGCGGCTGGCTTTATCAATGAAGCACACAAAAGCTGAAGATTCCCTTTCATTTTTTAAACTGAACTTTCCCGGCAACTTTTTCAATTTTTATAAGCTTCTCAATATGTTTTCAGGCCAGATAAATATCGAGTTTTTGCCCCGAAATTTTTTTGAGTGCTATAGTCTGTCCAGATTATGAATGTCAAGCAGCTAACTCCACACCCAAGGCTACAATATCTTTCGCGTCAATGTTTTATATCCAGATGACGATGGCCCTTTAATAAGGCTGCATTTTTGACTTCTTTTTCTATCTATTAGAACAAAAAAGATCGAAATTAGTCCCGCGCGATGAAACATCGACGCGAAAAGTCTCAACAGGGTGGAGTTAGCTGGTTGACATTCAGAATCTGAACAGACTATAGTTGAAAGACATGCGCCTTTAATTTACCTTTGGATAACTTTAAGAGAAAGTTTTCGCTCATATATTATCTTGAAAAACTTTTAGTAACCGTTAAGCGCCTTTAAATCTTTTCAAGAAAACTTCAAGTAAAAGCTAAGCGCTATTAAATCCCTTCAGGAGAGCTTTCAAATCTATGCGCCTTCAATTTTCTTATGAAAAACTTCAAGTAAAAGCTATGCGCCTTTAAATTCCTTTTAGGAAAACCGTCAATTGGAACCTATGCGCCTTCATTTCTTTTCCTGAGAACTTTCAAGCTATGCGCCTTCAATTTTCTTATTAAAAAGTTAAAGTAGAAGCTAAGCGCCTTTAAATTCCTTTTGAGAAAAACGTTAACTGGAACCGATGCACCTTCATTTCCTTTCCGGAGAACTTTCAAGCTATGCGCCTTTAATTTTCTTATGAAAAAATTGAAGAAAAAGCTATGCGCCTTTAATTCCCCCTATTTAGAAAACTGTCTTCAATCTGTGACAAAATCTCAAAAAGCTCACTGAAATCTCTTCCTAGAAAATGCTCTTTCATTATTTCCAGGGTCTTATAACGAAAGTTCACAGACCAAAAGTCGAAAAACCCTAAATTTGTCGCTGCCTCTGTCCCTTTAATTAATTTCTTCCCAATGAAAACTCACTTCCGCCGATTCCAACATCTCTCGGATGATCTCATGAAGGTCGGCGTCCTTGTCCAACTCCTTCGTCGAGGCTAATTCGACTGGCGGATAGTCTTCGTCGCTGAGAATCTGGGCCTCTTCCAAGATCTGAAAGTAGTTGAACATTTTATCGTAAAATGACACTATATTACCGTTTCAACATCCCCTTGCGAAGCTTTCAGAGAGGCCTTCTGGGCCGGAGAGTCCGTCAGCACAACGTCGCACCTCTCGAAGAGCTGGAAAATTCAATCCCTCAAGTTAAAAGAAAGAAAGTTATATTATTCAAGATCAAAATTAAGATCTCATTTCTTCACTGAAAATTCTAATGCCGTGTTCAAAATAATTCCCCGAAATGAAAAAAAAAACAGTCAGAGAAAGGAAAAGGTAACTAAAATTTGGGAGAGTCAGGGATAGTTTTACATTCCGCGGAAATTCCTTGGGACACGGAATAAGCATTTTTTGAAAATCAATGCTTTTTGATCACCTTTTGCCAAAAAGGTTCGTTAAATTCGAAATAAAACATTTTTATCAAGTTTTTGAAAAAAACTGTGTGAAAAATATAGGAAAAATTTTATTTTCAAAACAAAAAGATACGTTAAGAATTTCAGTGAAAAATATAACCAAATATTCATTTTTTAAAGGAAAGTGTGAAAATTTGTCATTTTCTCTTCCAATGTCTCCTGAGAGATTTTTCTTCAAATTCCAACAGCTTTGGATAGTTTTTCAAGCCAAAGGGGTTAATTTTCACCCTTCTAGAGAAGAAAAAAGTTTTTTCCAATTGAAAGGCAAACTTCTGCTCCGTGACACCATATTTATAGTCGATTAACGTCTAGCTTGGGGCGCAAAGAATCGTAGTCTGTCTGCGCCCTCCACCAACCATACGCTATTTCTTTTATTATCGTGTCAGGACCTTTTTTCGATGGCTCAAGCGACCCGTGAACAGGCTATATAAAACGAAAGCTTTTTTTCACGAAAAATAAATAAATATTTAGATTTGCGTGTTTCTGATTTCTGAAACGGTTTTATAAAGCGACGTCAGGTGTAGAGGCTTCTTTTCAGAAAATTTCCATCATTTTTCATTTTCCCTTATGACGTCACATTTTCTTTGTGACGAGTTTTTCTTTCTAAAAATTTTCCCTTATGACGTCACCTCCGAGAAGCATTCCTTCATCTCCAAGGCCTTCTGCTCCTTGTCGCTGACGTAGGTGCTGCACGTCTCGATCGGTGGATAGTCCTCGTCTCCCTGAAAAAAATTATCAAAAAATTGTAATTCATAATTTTTTACTTCATCATCCGCCTCCTCAATGCAAAAGTTTTTCAGCTTTGGCGGTTCGTTCAAATCTGAAAAAAATTATCAAATTAATAAACTGAAAAAAATTTTCAAAGTCTACCAAAGTTGTTGGAACCGTCGTGGTCGTTGAAAACGGCAAACGACTTTTCGACGCTCGGTTTTTTCGTCGATCCGAGGTTCAACGAGAGCAGATTCCGGCCTCCGGGCTGGAAAAAACGAAGAAAATGAGAAGGGAAAACTGAAAAATCTTTTCATTTTTCATTTCAAAATGATCTAAACGATGAAAATAGCTCCGAACAGTAGCTTTTTGATAAGTTTAAAGGCGCAGGAACTGAAAAAAACGCGACGTTATGTGGGAAAAATCTAACGAAAAAAACAGAGGAAACTTCAGAAATGAGGTTTCTTTCAGTTGAAAAAAAGTTGAAAAAAATCTAATTCCAAACTAAGAAAAATCTTGTAAACCTCTCAAAAATCAGAATTTTTCAGTTTCTTGTATTAAAGCGAATTTCTCACCTCTCGATAAAGAAAAAAACACGAAAAATCTCAAATAATATCGAAATTCGGCAACTTTTTTCATTTTTCCATTAAAAAATAGTATGGTTAACCGTTCTAATCGAGTTGGAAACGACTCCCAGTCGACTTCTCGGCGTTTTCATCCCATCGAGTAGAGCTTTATGATCTTCAAAAAATTATTCACCACAATAGAAAGAATGAAATCAAAGAAATTACCTGAAGCATGTTCAATGTTAGTGTCGAGTTCACGGCTGTGAGTGGCTTGAGCCATAACTGAAATGAAATATTAAAAAAAAAAATAGTCAAAAAAATAACGCCAAAGAGGACAATTAAATATTTTTTTCAAAAAAATTTTTTTCAAAAACTGAGTTAAAAACATTTTACAACAAATTCGCTTCTCTAATTCAACTTCTACAGCTTTAATTACAAGATATATGAAAAATGGTTTCTCGAAAAGAAAAATGGTTCCGAAACACAATTATTCCTTAAAGAAGGTCAACTTAAAATTCAAAAAAATAACGCTGATTTTTTTGAAAAAAATGCTCTTACTTTTTGAACCTCTTTTTTTGAAAAAAATTACAAGTCAAACTAGAAATACATCATAAAAACTTCACACAGAAAGCATTAACTTAACAAAACAAAACAAAAAAAGGCACATTATAAACCAGTTTTTTTGGTATACTAACTAAAAAGAGCAAACCAGTTGGGGACAGTAGGGTTTCCAGAAATGAAACAGGAACTTCGCAAGTAAAAAAAAAAGACCACGCGGGCCTTTCTCAAATTTCCCGCGTGAAAGAGCGTTTCGAGGGGTCACTTGAGTGACGTCCACTCGTCGTTTTGCCCTTTGACCATTTGCAAAGCGCAAACGCATTCATAGCTAATTTAAAACAAAAATAAGCTTCGATATAAAACCATTCGAAAATAAAAGGGCTGAAAATCGCAAAATGAACTACTTCCGTGCACTATTGGAATGACTATTTTCAAAAAAACTTTTGTGATTGTGATTAAATCAAAGCAAATTTAACATTTAAACGGAAATGGATGAAAAATTTGAAAAATAAAAAAATATGATCCCAGAAAAACAACACGTGAATCGCGCCGAGTAGATCATGTGCCTTTGAAAAAAATATAATTTTTTTGATCTTCAATAAATCCTTGGACTTGCCTTTACTAAAAAGTTAAAAAAAGACTAAAAAAACTCAAAAAAAGGCGAAAAAAAGAAGAAAAAAATTGAAAAAGTTAAAGGCGCATGACTCCCTTGAGGCGATGGAATTGAAACGAAGAGCGAATTTTAAGGGAATTTTACGCAACAGCGCTTTTTGGTTTCTTCTATCCAATTTTTTTTATGATTTTTTTCTCATAAAAATATAAAAATGGAGATAAAACACATAATGAAGATGAAGATTTACATAATCAATCATTTGCAGCAGGCTGATGGATTTACGACGGCGACGAGAGGCGCCAAAATGTCAACGACAAAATAATTTTCGACAAAAAAGGTCATTTTTTGTGGGGACGCCGCGTGTGTGTAAAACGAACGCCTTATCCTTATCTAGTATGTTATTGTTTCAACCTTTTTTTCGGCAGAAACCTTTTATTATTTCCTTTCTTTTTTTCTTTTATATGTTTTTTTTGCTTTTGAAAAAAGTAGCGGTTGCGGAAATTTGTCTTTTTAAAACTGGAATAGAGTTCTAAGTTGGTTTTTTGTGTAGTGATGCGCTTCCTAAGGTAAGGCCTTGGTAGAAATTATTATAGATTTAAAACATTAATGCTATTTGGCTTGATCTTTGTTTCTCGGTTTTTCTTCCTATTGTCAACTTCGCAACTTTATTTCTTGAATTTCTTCCCCATCAAACTGTTCAGAATCCACTGAATGTGCGGGATTTTTGGCGTGATTCAAGCCGCCGGAGCCGCTTCCACAAGTACCTTGGCAATCAGCGCTATAAATGGATTAACAGCCCTTCAGCACAGGTAAATATTCTAATCATACCTTTATTATCACAATCTCCTCGAAATTCGCTTCAAATCTCGTTAATTCCATTGAAAAACATCATCTCTGACCAGAGTTATGGCGCAACGGAACAGCGGAGGTCAATGATCCGCTCTTAGCTGAGTGGCTAAGTGCTCAAACTGAGGTGAGGAGGGTCGCGAGATCGACTCCTCCCAGCGTCTATCATCCTATTTTCCTTGTCCCTGCGCATGGAAAATTTCAGCGAATGACGCGAAATTAATGTAGCCGTTGAGCTGACGTTTACGGAGTTGATCTTCTTGGATACAGCTTGGCTTCTTACATTTTGATCTTATTGAGATAAATTTTATCGGAAAATTGAAAACCTCCATTCAAGTGTATTAATTAATTTTTTTTAAGGAATTTGAAGGCGAATAAAAAAAATGACAGTGAAAATGTTTTTCTTCTCAAAAAATTCATTAAAATTTGGTCCATGCTTCTTTAAAAAAAAGATTTTAAGAGGGTTATAGTAGTTAACACCGCATAATGTATAAGAAAGCCCTGAAATACATTTGAAACGAAAATTTTACTGCAACAGAACTTCTAAACAACAAAATTCGAGCAAGTAAGCCCTCTGACTCACCTCCCAGTCAGCTGCATTGCGTGGCGCAGTCGGTTAGACGACAGCGGCACGGCCGGCGGGACGTCGGTTCGATTCCTCCTCGCGGCGCCAAAACCCTGTTGGCAGTGCGTTCTGCGCAGCACAACTTCATACGGCGCGAAATAGTTCCGCTGAATCATTTGACCGCGTTGTGACACTTATTCGCCCGCGGTTTCAAAGTCAGCTTGCATTTTTTTTTTGATTTTTGAAGTGGAAAGTTCAGGAAAATCTCGTAAATGGAAGGTTTGATTCTGAACTGTTCTTTTGAAGTCAAGATTACTTATAAAACGGGGTTAACACGACCGCGAGTCCTCTTCCCTCCATCACCACAAGTTCCGACACATATGTTCACAAACTCTCCCTACATCTATTTCGTGAAATTTGGTACTTGTGTGTGAGAAATAAAACATTTTGATGATGATGATGAAAAATTTTCATAGTTTTTGGAACTGTCAAAAAAAAAAATCTTCATATGAACTATGATGACTCTCAAAAATTCCAAGGACCTCAAAACCTGAAAAAAAGAAATCAAAGCGTCTTAAGAGCCTCTGAATAAAATTATAAACGCCTAAGCCCTCTAGGGACCACTGAGATTCCACTTTTCGGAAATAATGTGATAGACACCGCTCCTCATGAAAACTATCAACTTCCGAACCCTACAGTGACTCCTTGAAATTTCCTGTGTAAAAATTTCACACAGAGAGCCTCATATGCACGTTTTTTCATTTTCTGAACCCTCAAGTGACCTCTCAAACCTTCCAGAGGAACCGAGTCGACAGGCCTCGTAGGTTCAGACGGCGTCGACCGGAACCACGTCGAGATTTTGAAAGGTCACGGTCTCGTCCGTGACGTCTTCAACGACGGCAACGTTGCCAAGTTTCAAAGTAGCCTTCTTTTTTCATTCTGGACAGTCTTTTTGATCCTTTTCTTCAGATAGTAAAGTTCTAATCGGTCATAATCGATACTCGACGGCTGGGAAAAAGGCGGCCATCAACTGCGTCCAGCCATTTGTCGTGTATACCGCCGTCGGGATTGTGGCAATCGCTCATAATGGAGAATTGGTGGATGCGAAGAAGAAGCGCGAAGAGGTAAGAGATCCGCGAAGGTCTGAAGAGACGCCAGAGAAAGAGAGCGTCCTTGTTTCTCTAATATCTCTTCGGGCAATGATAATCTCTCGGTTTTCCCGTAATGTAGAACGAAAAAAAGGTAGGAGGTTTATAAAAGCTTCTGGGTTCCCTGGGTTCTCTTGCGGCATCGCTTATCTCTCATTTTGTTCATAGTCAAACAAAAAGCATAGAAAAAATAGACTGACGTTAAAGATCAGCAATGGTATGAAGGGACGCCAGAGAAAAAGAGCTCCCTGCTTCTCTGGCGTCTCTTCAAGCCAAGCTGATCTCTCGTCTCTAATATTTATATCCACTGCGGTACTGCAATCCGGGAAAAAGAGGGATTAAAAGAAGCAAAAGCGATAGATCAAAGATCTGAAGAGACGTCAGACAACAAGAGCTCCACTGCTTCTCTGGCGTCTCTTCAAGCCTAGTTGATCTTTCGCTTCTAGTTCTTATATCCACTCCGGTACTGCAATCCGGGAAAAAGAGGGATTAAAAGAAGCAAAAGCGATAGATCAAAGATCTGAAGAGACGTCAGACAACAAGAGCTCCACTACTTCTCTGGCGTCTCTTCAAGCCTAGTTGATCTCTCGCTTCTAGTTCTTATATCCACTTCGGTACTGCAATCCGGGAAAAAAAAAACTTGAGAAGCACAAACGATAGACCAAAGGTCTGAAGAGACGCCAGACAATAAAGGCTTTCCTGCTTCTCTAGTGTCTCTTCAAGCCAAGTTGATCTCTCGCTTTCTTTACTACACTGAAAAAAGCGCTGGATTTCTGAAAAGAAGCATAAGCTCCTTTTTTTTTTCAAAGATCCAACTTTTCAAGATTCAAGCTGCACTTTGAACCAATTTCTATTCCCCAGGCACTGCACCACGGTGTCGGCCTATCAACAGACGTCGACTCGGAGTTGATCGCCCAGATGATTGCCAAAGCGATCGCCTTGAATCACAAGTGTCGTCGGGACGACGAGTTGGGCGATATCTCGAAGGTTCTTGGGTCAAAAAATATATATTCTTAGGAAGATTTGTCCCAGGAGCTGGCCGTGACCATGTCGGCGATCAACATGTCCTACTCCTTGATCGTCCTGACTTTCGACCGGATTTATGCGATCCGAGATCCTTTCGGCAATCGGCCACTTTGCGTGGGGACTGTGTACGATTCAACAGGTAGGAGGAATATTTCTGGAAAAGTTACAAATTTCGTAGATTTTGGGCTGCTTGCTTCGAATTTTTTCCTGATTTTATGTCGTTTTTCTCTGAAGTTTTGTACCTCCCTATGAAGTCCTAGATTAAGGTCCCTCAAAGTGGCTACTTAAGGAATTTGGGCTCTTTCGCGGAAAGAGAAAGACAGTATAAAAAACTTCTGACAAGTTGTCTTTCCTGGGAAAATTTTCAGTGGCCAATTTAGGATTTTGGCGTCCCGTTATAGTATTCGAATTAGGGGTCACTTAAAAGGTCGTTTAGAAGTCTAAGTGAGCACTGAAAACACTATAGTGGCCACTAAGACGCAAAATAGTGGTTTCTATAGAGATTATTTTATTGGCCACTTTAGGATTCTCTCCAAGTAGTCCTCGAGGAACCTCTTAAGTGGCCACTAAGTCGCGAAATAGTGGCTTCCATGGAGATATTTTTAGTGGTCACTTTAGGGACCTCTCCAAGTAGCCATTGAGGTACCTCCTAAGTGGCCGCCAAGACGTGACATAGCGGCTTCTATGGAGATGGTTTTAGTGGTCACTTTAGGGTCCTCTCTAAGTGGTCCTTGATGTACCTCTTAAGTGACCACTTGGACGCAGAATAGCGGCTTTCATGAGGATGGTTTTAATGGAAACTTTGGGGTCCTCTCCAAGTAGCCCTTGAGTGGCCACTAAGACACAAAGTAGTGGTGGCTTCCATGGAGATGGCTTCAGTGGCCACTCCAAGTTGTTTTTGTGAAACCTCTCAAGTGGCCACTATGACGCAAAATAGTGACTTCAATGCAGATGATTTAAGCGGCCACTTTAGGGACCTCTCTGAGTAGTCCTTGAGGAACCACTTGAGTGGACACTGAGACGCAAAATAGTGGTTTCTATAACGATGATCCTAGTGGCCACTTAAGGGTCCTCTCTAATAGCCTCTCGAGTGGCCGCTGGATTTTTCCCCAGCTCATCAACCAATTTGAGGAGTCGCTACTTCATACTGCGCTTCGAGCGAATCCTGCGCCCTGCCTTCTAATGCCAAACTGGACTTTGAAGTAAGGCCTGGGGAGATAGTTGAGTTATCCCGTGATGGGATCCGATCAGTTTGTCAGGTTGGACAGAATGATCCATCATTTTCATAGTCCATTCTTAGATGAAGCCGCAATCTCCGCTGGCGATGTGCATCTTCGAGTACGTCTACTTCGCGCGCAACGATTCGGTCATCGAAGGCCAACAGGTGCAGACAGTCAGGTAGTTGGGCGACCACGTCGAGCCATTCCAAATGCCGCAGGGAGGAGTGCGGTCGGACGATGGCCGAGGAAGACGTCATCGAGGCGGATCTCGTGGCCAACGTGCCAGATTCCTCAATGTCGGCCGCCATTGGCTACGCCAGTCAGGTAGATCCCAAGTCCAATCAATCAATAAATCGATAAATCGATAAAGTCGGGAATCCCCTACGAGCCGTGCTTGCATCGGAACAGCTACGTCGGCAGGTCGTTCATCCAGCCGAATGACGAGATGCGACAATCGTCCATCAATCAGAAATTCGGTGGGTTAGCCTCGGCTATCCTGAGCAACACTGAGCAAGCTTCAGGCGTTCTCCAGAAAAAGGTGGAAGGGAAACGAATCATCTTGGTTGATGATTCCATTGTAAGGGGAAACACGATGCGAATCATCGTTAGGATGCTCAAAGAAGCTGGCGCGGCCCAGGTTTTCCGTGTACCTTTCTTGGTTTTTCACAAACCCCTTAAGGTGCACCTTCGGATCGCGTCCCCTCCTGTCCGATTTCCCTGCTTCATGGGCATCAATATTCCAACCCGAGGCGAACTACTGGCCGCCAATAAATCCATCGAGGAGATCCGAGAATTTGTCGGCGCAGATTCGGTTAAATACCTGTCCGTCGACGGCTTGCAAAAGGTACAACTTGATCCATATTCTTAGAGATTTCTTCTGGGTAATTACTCAAAAATCGGTTGGAATAGTCACAAAATTCATTTTTGTACAATTTTCTTTGACTTTTTTACGTATAGTTTCTTGGTTAATTTTTTAATATTTTACGTTAGAAAAATAATCTATGGACATTTAATTGAAATGATCTATATATTTTTAGGGTCCTCAAAAGAAAAAAAGCCTGAAGAATCACAAAATCTTCCTTTTTTTGAAAGCGCTCCATCTATTACGGAAAATCTCAAAGATTTTTCAGCCACTCCAAAAAAATTGATCAAAAGTCGTTTTCCGTGGAAAATAAATCTTCACTTAAAAAAAAACTTGCGAATACTTATAGGCGCATAGTCAAATTTCACAAAAATCTTTCGAAGCGGAAAGCCTTTTTCAGTTTTATTTAAGGCCGTAAAGGATTTTTACGCTTTTACATATCTCAGAATTTTCGAGCGAACCTAGTTTATAAAAACACAATATGAATGGCTAAACTATTGAATGCGCATAGCCAAATTTCACAAAAATTTTTCGAAGAGAAGAGCCTTTTTCAGTGTTCTTTCAGGCCATGAGAAATTTTCACGCTTTTAAAAACTTCAAAAAGAATTTTTGAGCAGTAGAAATGCATAAAAAACCCAGTGAATACACCAAATTTGAATATTTCACATTTTCAGGCGGTTCAAAAAGGCATCGAACGTAACACGACGTTCGACGTCGGCCACTGCACCGCCTGCCTCACCGGCGACTACCCGACTCAGTTGGAATTTTGAACTTCACGAAACAATTTTTTCCTTGTAAATTTACACAATCGTAAACATTTCAATCATTTTTCTTTACAATAAAATCCAACAACAACAACAAAAAAGGATGCTAAAAATGGTTAACAAGGTGAAGAAGAAAAGAAAAGAGAAGGTGAAGCAGGAGCCGGCGTCGAACCGGCGCTGGTCGGTACATGAGCATTTTTTTCTCGACAAGGATCATTTTAGTGACTTTAATATTGAAAAATAGAGGGCTTGAAAAAAAAAAACGAAAAATTCAAAACTTGTCCTTGAAAGTTCAAAAAATGGAGAAAAACGGTTGATTGTTTTTTCGAAAATTGAAGTTCCGTATCATTTCTCTGGTATTGACCGTAAGTTTTTGGGTTTTCAAACTGTTTAAAAAAATACTTTTTCGTATACCAAAAACGCATTGTCCGCAATAACGCGGTGTATACATCCTTAGAAAAACTACAGTAACCCAAAATTGTTCCCGATTTTTCTTCTCAAGTTGCCAGTCACTCAAAATGGTTCAAAATTGATTAAAAATTGCAAAAAATCTTCAAATTTCAATGCAAAAATTATTTTCTCAAAATTTTCAAATATTTAACTCTCGACCCATCAAATCTGAAAAAATCAACAAAACAAAAATCAACAACGACGAGAAAATCAACAGGAAAAAGGGCACCTTATTTTCGGGACTTTTTCTTCGAAACCGGCGTTTCGATCACTTCTGGCGGCGCGTTTTTCAGTGCCGTCTCGACTTTTTTCAACGTTTTTTGGATGACATTCTCCTCGACTCCTTTAGCTTTTCTCGCGGGTGTTTCTGAAGAGGAGAAGTTGATTTTTTACTTGGGAAAAGTTTAATGTTTGATCAAAAGGAAGGGTATCAATGCTATAACGTTATTTTTGACTCGTTCACCTGCTTTTGAATTCCAAATTTCCCTTAAGAAGTGATCTAAACGCTTTGGTACCTTCTGGAACTTTCCCTTTCGAATATAAAAGTTCAAAAAGTCAAGATTTTCTGAACAGACCACAGAGTGTGAAGTTTAATCTGTTAAAAAAAAAAAACTGTTTATTGCATCTTCAATGTAAGAGTACATGTGCAATCGACTTTCATTGATTTGACTGTGTTTTTAAACGGCGGCAGGAGCTGTGGCTTAGGCAGAGAAGTTGTGAATTTCGCTCGTAGAACATCAGGTACAAGAGAGGTCGTAGGAAGAAATACGGTGCCGGCTTTCCAAAGGCCGATGGCAGAGATTGAGCCTTTTCGCTGCATGCATTTCCCATCATCACATTTTGCATTTCCCATCAAGTTTAATCAGAAGTCTTGAAATTTCCCAGTCTTTTCCGGATTTTTAGTACTTTAGCCGGGTAGCTTATAACGCTAAAGGGGCGTAGCCTGTCTGCGCTCTCCTCCAAACAGCCGCTATCTCTTTTTTATCGTGTCAAGACCTTTTTTCGATGGCTCAAGCCAGCCGTGAATCAGCTATAATCAAAAAATCAGAACTTTTTGTGATCCTTATCATTTAACACCACATTTTGCATTTCCCATCATCATTTCGCAAAACTTACGTCTCGCCGGCGTCGCCAGCTTCTTGACGGCTTCGAGGGCGGCGTTTCGCGGAACCCGCGGCGATCGCGTCGGTCGCGACGGCGTCTTCGCCGTCTTCTTCTTCAAATCCTTCGCTTCCGTCACTTCTGGCACTGCAAAAACGTAACTTTTAACATTTTCAAACAGATCCATCGATAATTTCGTAACTTCCTTTCTCGAAACTCACCTTCAACGACCGGCGTTTTCTGCTTGGGCGTCTTTTGCTTGGGCGTCTTCTGTTTGGGAGTCTCTTCTTTTTTCGGCTCTTCGACTACGATCTCCGGCTCCTCCTCCTCGACCTCCTGCTCGCTCTCCTCATCCTCATGCTCTTCTTCATCATCTTCCGACTCCGATTCGACGATCGGCGGCTTCTCGCCCTCCATCGGGAGATCGTAGTCGATTCCCATCGCCCTCAGGCTTTCCAGCGACTTTTTCAGCTTGTTCTGCCGCTTTCCCTGAGAGAAAAATAGAGTTAATAACCGCCTAATTGTTCAATTAACGGAGGGAATAACACTTTGATCGTTTGAAAAAAAGCTATAGAGTTGACTAAAACTTTGAAAATTCCTTGAAAAAGGTTGAAAAATGACAAGATTTCAGTTTGATCTCGAATGAACTTTCCAAATTTTTGAGCCTGCAGGAAAAAAATATCAAAGTACTCATAAACTTTTAGTTTTTCTAATTTCCATTGTAAAATAACAGGAAAAAGCTTTGTTTCGCCAGAAAAAAAAAGCTCGGACAAAGTCGGATATTGGTTGCTAAAAGGATCAAAAAAGGTTGCAAAAAGACAGCAAAAAGGGTCCCTTTATCGAACCTTGGATTTTAAAGGCTCAAGAAATGGTGGAAAAGGGGTGAGGCAGCAAAAAAGGCGCAAAAGGGTAGCAAAAATGGAGCCTTTTTCGACCCTTCCGACTTATAAATTGTAAAAATAGTTTTCTATGAAATTCTTAAAGAACAGTTTACACTCAGAACCTTAAATTTTATATTTACTCAAAAATTCCCTCATAAATTCAAAGCTAGTTAAAAGAGCTTAACGAATCGAAAGATTTTTCAACTTTTCATCAAGTTTTACATAACTTTCCCACTACAAAAATCATTTTTCCTCACAAAAAATAGTGAAAATCACGAACAGTGTGATCTTTCGTGTTGTTGTTCCGTTGGACGGCGTCTTTCTTGGCCAATCCGTGGGCCGCCGGCCTCGAAACTATCATCGGGCCGCTGCGCATCGATTTCGGGATCGTTGATGGTTTCATCACCTGAAAATATCCTTGAAATTTTACCTCAAACAAAAAGATGAATGCTACACTTAGGAATTCCAGAATGGTCCCTATAGGGGTAACCTTAGGGACTCTTGGAGGGTCCTTTCTAGGAATCACTTTACCAACCCATGTAGGGGCCACTAAAGCTTGAAGAAGTGGTCCCTATAGGGGCGATTTTAGGGCGTTTGGAGGGTCCTCTTTAGGAACCACTCTACCAACCATTATAGGGGCCATTAAAGCTTGAAGAAGTGGTCCCTATAGGGGAAATTATAGTCGATGATTGTTATGAACTCTAAGCGAAGAAGAGCTTCCATGGGAAAAACTGAATAAATAAGCGTTTTTTGAATGAAATTGGAAGACCCCTCTAGGGACCACTTGAGGTTTAGTGGGCTAAGAAATCAGAGAAAAAACCCCTATAGGGACCCCCTTTTCTTCATCTCGAGGGGCTGTTTGTAACGAAACTTTGAAAAAAAAAATCGCATTTTCTGAATGAAAAATCATATCGACTGAAACAGTTTGAAGCTTTAAAATAAAAAGTGAAAATTTATTAGAAATAGTTCCATGACATTTAAATATCTTTTTAGGGCTTAAAAGAAAGAAATGAAAGTATGAAAACGAAATTTCGACTGATCGTCGGTTATTCTTCATTTCTCATTTAATCTTCACCTTGAAACGTATTCGATTCAAGTTTTTAAGTGCCATTTTCAGTAAATATATCTATTCAACTTCAATTTTTACGCTTTCTTGATTTTATCGAGAATCACCGGAAAAAAACGTTGAAAAAAAGTTTCCTCGTGATTTTCAATCACCGTAGAACTTGGAAAAAAACCTTCAAAAATGATCTAAAAACATGATTCTCTCTGTAATTTTCTAGAATTTCCTTACAGAACTTGAGAAAATCTTCAAAATGATCTAAGAAAGGATTTCCTCCATAATTCTTTCCAGGACTTAAAAAAATTTTACAAAAAAACACTGAGAAAAAAAAATTATTTCCTCTCAAATTCCTTAGAATCTGTACACATGATTTTCTTCAGAAAATCAAATAAAATTATCAAAATGAACTAAAAAAAAGTTTTCTTCTAAAAATCTTTTTCATAGAACTTGGAAAAATCATTCAAAAAAAAAAATCAAAAAATAGTTGTTTTCTAAGTAAATTTCAAATCTCTAGACATAATATCTTCACAGAACTCATGAAAAATCGCTAAAAATAAATTATTTTCTTCCCAGAGCTTGGGAAAAACTTCAAAATACCCTGAAAAGAAGCAATTTTTTTCCAAAATGTCTTTGGAAAACCCAAAAATCCTTCAAAAACATAGGAAAATCATGAAAAGAGCCAAATTCAGTACATAAACTCGAAGACGATGGTTGAACATCAGATATCCGTTCATCGTTTCGGCGGCGATTTCCGCAACGTCCTTGTTGTCGAAGCCGACGTAGGCCCAGCCTTTGTGGTTCCCCGTCTGAACCGAAAAAATAAACTTGAATATTAAAAAAAGAAAAATCAGAACAACCTTACTATGGAACGTTTCTATGGTGCCCGGTTGATTTTTTGATGAAATTTCACTGAATTGTATTTTGAGACCTAGTGGTTCTCATAAGGTACTTTTTTTTCGATTTATGAAGTTTCAAACTTTGCAAGACACCAAAATTATGACTAAAAGGCGCTTTTTTAAGCTTTCGAACTAGGAAACTAGATCTAATTTCGAGGGATTTTATTCGTGTTCTGGAAAGAGGAGGTCTTATAGTACGAGAAAGTTCCAGAATCGCTCTCCCCCCTCTCACCTCCGAACAAGCCCCCCACCAAGGCTTTTTTTGGACTGGTGGGTGTAAAATCGAAGGCTTTTTGGCGGGGGGCTATACCTTATTCTAGATTTGCCCCTCCCAGCGCTAAGTGCAGGACGATTCTAGAATGCCTAGGCAATCTTCAAGAATTGTCCCCCACCCAACTTTAGAATAAGCATGGCAAGCCTTGTATGGATCAGCCCCCCCACACTACAGAATCACCCCCATTCTAGAATCGTCCCCCACTTGGGCACTGTGGGGAGGGGGCGATTCTAGAAAAGAAAAAAAGAAACCCCCCCCCCTTCCCACCATTCTAGAATCGCCCCCCCACCACATAGTAAACCGCCAGATCAACGAAAACTAAAAAAATAACTGGAACATGTCTGCCTGGGGAGGGGGAGGGGGGGCATTCGGGAACAATATCGATTGAAAAATAGTTACGGATTTGAAGGCGTTTCAATATATTTCGTAAAAATTTATTTACGTGACAATATATTCGACACTTGAAGTGAAGCAAAAAAGAAGAAATGATATGATGGATAACGAAAATTTCAACTAATCGTTGATTATTCTTCATTTCTCATTTAATCTTCTCCTTGAAACGTATCTGATACGAGATGCTAGTTGCTATTTTCAGCAAGAAACGTTGCCTAGTTTGAAAAATTGACGGAGACTCGATGGGAAAACGAAATAAACAAAAATTACAACTGATTTTTTTTCAAACAAAGGTGAATTGAAGTCGATACAAATAGCAACCGGGTAGCAACTATTGAAAAAGTCAATCGGCGTATGGTAATCGGTGGTCGTTTGTATGCGACCGGGTACTATCTCTATAGTATGTGGTCGGTATCTGGATGCATTCGCGATTGCTATAGTCAATGTTTCCCGACTTGAAAGGGGAGGGAGGCGAAGCAAGGGGCGGGACGCGTAGCGTGTGCGTACGCGGTTCTTGGCACGTGATCAATTTTACCGCCAGCGAGCATTCAGAAAGCTTATTTATCGCTCTTTTCACTTCTTTTTTGATTATTTATTGATTTATGTGTGCATCAAATAATAGTAGAAAATATAGAAAAAGAGCGATTGCCGACTTTTTAAATAGTCGGCGGCGATAAAATTGAACTCCTGCCAAGAACCGCGAACGCACACGCTACGCGTCCCGCCCCTCGCCACGCCTCCTTCGCCTTTCAAGTCGGGAAACATTGACTATACAGGAAAGTCTGGATTTGCTTCCCGGGTCGTTATTTTTTATTTCAGCTTTATCCAATAAGACCCTGGAAGACTTGGGAAGGTGTGAAAAAACACTGATGGTATATAAACGATGTGCCAGCCAGTAGCAATCGCGAATTTCGGGTACCTACCCGGTAGCTTCCAGATACCTCTCCGGTATTATCCAGGTACCATAGAGATAGTACCCGGTCGCACAAAAATGACCACCGATTGAGTTGAGTTGCTATAGAAGATTCACGGGTAGCTTGGGACGCAAAAATTCGTGGCCTGTCTGCACTCTCCACCAACCAGGGCACTGTCTCGTCTCTTTTCGTGGCAGGACCCTTTTCTCGATGGCTCAAGCCAGCTGTGAATCAGCTACACCCGGTACCTACTTGTATCGACCTCCCGATTAACCAGTGTAGAAAGAAGCATATCAACTTGATTCTTGATTCCAAGCCACTTTGCCCAAAAGTTGAAGAAAACCCTACCTTTCTGCTGCGCGCCACACGAACTCGTACAACGGTGCCAAATTGACGGAAATATTCGCTGAGTTGCTGAAAAAACTCATATAATCAAAATTGGCTGCTTTTTCTGAATTTGTTCATATTTTCAAATCAATTCTTATAGTTTCTCAAGCTATTTTATCTAGATTTTTATAAAAAAGATGCGTTTCTTGATACTTTCCAATAACTATCAGCCAAAAGTCCAAAATTCTCAAGTTCCGATCCCCCTTATAATAAATATTCTTTGAGATTGCATAAAATATAAAATTATAAGATGTTGAAAAACCTAGTACAATTTTTTTGAAAAATCACTGTAACGTACTATTAAAAAAATGCTCTGACAAAATGAGCTCAAAAACTTCAAAAAAAAAAAATCATTTGATGAAATTGATTTCCCACTGCACGCCCATTCACAGTTCTCATTGAAATAATTCACATTTTGGATTTTTTTCGCATAAAATTCAGTTTTGCTCATAAATTTGGAGCCATGAGAAAGCTTTAAGAAAATCAATACACACATCTTCGAAGAATCCATAGGGCAAGGACTTGATTTTGATGACCCAAAGGGTACGCGAGGCGCTTTTCGACTTCTTGACCGTTTTCCCGCCGCCGGCACTGATCTTCTTCTCGTTTTTGTCGCCTTTCTTGGTCTTTTCCTTCTTCTCCGCCTTGGCCACCTTGATGGGAACTTCGACGACTTCTTCTTTCGGCGCTTCTTTCAGCTTTTTGGCCTCGGCGGCCCGCGTCGCGGCTGCGTTCGCCTTCCGTTTGAGCGTTTGTTTGGCACACATCGCTGGAAAAAACATTCATTGTGCTGATAAAAACATGATTTTAATCAGTAATCGTATCACTGTTTGCTCGAAAGGATAATAAGTACAAGGATCTTCGCGAAAATGGTCCCTCAAAAAGGAACTAAAATATGATGAAACTCTTTGGAGTGATAACAAGGATGATAATGAAAAAATATGTCCATATAAAGCTCCTCAAAAGAAAATCCAAGAACACTTAATAAGTTTATCTTTAAAAATAGATCTTCATGAATTCCTTAAAAACGACTTGCGATGAAAATTTTTAAAATAAATTTAACCAATAAAAACGTCGATCAAACTTAAACTTCGAAAAAAAAATCAATGGAAAGTATATTCCGAAATGGTTCCAATAACTTTTTTATCGATAAACTTTTACAAAAACGTCTAAATTATTATTTTTAATTTTATACTTTTCACAACCTTCCAGCGCTCAAAGGAAACGCAAAAAAAGAAGAGCAAAAAAATAAAAAAAGAAAAATAAATACAAACTAGAATTTCTAAAACTTCGATTAAAAAAATTTATAATTGTGAATTTCTCATGGAAAAAAGCTCTTTTTGATCGCAACAACTTTTTGAATCCTGCAAAGCCTATGGCAAATAAAAATTCTATCAGGGAATTCGTGAGGAAAATCAGAAATAAAAAGTTTTAAAGTCGAAGCCTTCAGACTTTTTAACTCTGTAAAAAAATGCAAAATAATGCTCCTTAACTTCAGCAAAACACTTAAAACTTTCGGAAAAATTGAAAACATGAACCGTACGGAAATATGGAAAAATAGCAAAATTCTGAAAAAATATTGATGTAAATTTTTAAATGTTAAAAGTCTCGCAGTATCTTGAAAATTGTGCTATAAACCTATTGAAAATCAGCGCAAAGCTATCCATAATCAAAAAACTATAAGAGAACATTTATTTTTGAAGAAAACCCAGAAATTCAACCGAAAACTTATAATCAACTTTCTCAGAGTCGATAGTCTTCGGAATTCGTTAAAAATCCACTGGAATCAAATTCAATATACTCGCGAAACTATCTGAATCGATGAACACATGAAGAAACAATGAAAAATCAAAGCAAACTCTTAAAAAAACTCGAAGAAAGAAAATTTCCCAAAAAAAAAGATTTTTTGAAAAGGGTGTGCGATGGAGCGCGTTTGCGCCGAGCCTGCTTTTTTTGGGCTCGCCTGGCGGTTCACACGAGCAGCAGCGATGCCAATGGGGAGAAGAAGAAGGAGGAGGGCGAAAAAGTGTTTGTTTTTAGGGAAAAATTTATCGCGCTGATACATTTTTTGCACTTTCCCGTCCGTTTCTGTCTCATGCGATAACGGTTGAATCGTCCTTTATTTTTGCTGCAGTTTCGTCGGCACTTGTGGGCCAAGAATCCGTTATATCTAGGACCTTCCAAATAAATAAAACTATTAAGTGTATTTACGATTTTTTATAGTGAATTTCGGCCTGAAAATGTCATTTCATTTCAATTTTTTTAACAAAAATAAGCTGAAAAACTCCAAATATTCTATGTTTTCTCACAAATTCTGACCCTATCTCTTGAATTATCAATTTGAAATTTTTTTCCATTGTCTCACAAAAATCTGAACTATTCTTTTTATATTAAAACTGAAGCTTTGGGTTCCGAAATTCACGCGGAAAGGTCAAGTTTTTTTCAGGCCTAGAAAAAGGGGAAATTAATATTTTTTTCTATTGTTGTTAGAACTTGAAAAACAACGGATTTGAGCTCTAAAAAAATCATAAAGCTTTCATTTTTGGCTCATCTTGGTTCTATTCTCAAAGCCCTTATTTTTTTTTCTTAACTTTTTATTTTTTTTCGGAAAAAAACCGGCCTCTCAGCTCAAAGTAGATTCATAAAGCCGTGTTCAGAGTGATTTCCGCGGAACTAAAAATTATCTCTGACTCTCCGAAATCCAGTAATCTTTTCCACTCTCTGACGGCTATTTCGATTTTTGCGGGAACACGGCAAAGGTAGATACGAGAAGGTGAATCACTGAGGTCTGAAAAAACAGCGAGGAAACAAAAATAACGATCACGTTTTATTTTTCCGATGTTTCTTTTTGATAAACCCACACATGAGAAAAGAAAAATCACAATTTTTAATTTTTTCAATCTTCAGAAAATCTTCCGAGTTTTGTTTGAATTCAGCCTTTTCCCATTCTCATACCAAACTTGAAAAAGCATAACTCAATCCAAGTTATAAAATGCAAAATTAAACACGAAACTTAGCTAAAAACTTAATTTTTCCATTGTCTGCTAACTTTCATACTGATATCTTGTACTTCACTTTTTTTTTTCCAAAAGTCCGATCGAAGCTTTGTAATGATTAATCACAGGTCCAAAATGTCTCAGAAACTTTGTAATCAAATAAAAATTCCTCCTTTTCCTTGGTTCTCTTTCGATTTTTCCTTCGAAAATCGGTATTCATCAAGCTTCATCTCAATTTTATGAGCCCAAAAGTGCGAACCATACTTTTTGATGATCATACTATAATCTCAGGTTCAATAAAATTCTGAAAAGCTTGGAATCGAAAAAAAACCATCAATTAAGCAAAAGTTCTTCGGTTTTTTTTTCGATTTTTCCTTTAAAACTCGGCATCCTTCTAACCAAGTCCCAACTTTATCAACCCAAAAGTTCAATCCAAGCTTCGTAGTGATCATACTATCATCCCAGATCTCATAAACTTCAGAAAGTCTTGAAATCAAAAAAAAAAAAATTCAAACTACTTGGTTTTCTTTAGATTTTCCCTTTAAAAATTCGGGATTCCTCTATTTTTTTCCAATTTTATGAGCCCAAAAGTTCAATCCAAGCATTCTGATATCTAAGGTATCATACATTCCAGAACATAACATAATATTTTGAAAAAATATCATCCTTTTCCTTGGCTTTCTTTCGAATCCTTCTTAAAAACTCGGGTTTTGTCTGATTTTGTCCCAACTTTATGAACCCAAAAGTCCAACCCAAGCTTCCTCATGATTAAACTATGATCCCAAGTCCAACATATAAGAAAGGAACACATGTTGTTTTGCTCTCGGAACGCAAAAGGGCAAAAGGGGAGGTTTCCTGGCCTGGCACAGGGCGGAAAAAATCGCTTCGGCGGTCTCGTTTCCACTCAAAATGATGACCTTTTTACGACCCAAATTTGAATTTTCTTAAATCGAAACTTTCTTTTTTGCCGACAGGTTTTTGAGCTCTACCTTTTCCAGGTGCACTTTCTCAAGATTATTAATTAATTTTCAGCCAATTAGCCTTGTTTTCCATAAACCTTGTGTCATAAGTGAAGTGACATCAGGAAAAAAATAAACAAATAGAAAAAGAACAGATTTCCGTGGGAATCTTTGGTTGTTTTTTGAGATTTAAAAGGTTTCAAAATAAAATCGGGCAAAAAAAATTTTTTTTTCCAGTTGAAAGTTAGTTCGATTATTTTATTTAAAGAAATAAAGCTTCAAAAAAAAATCGATGAGGCTCAAAAATTTTCTCAAAATTCGCTCTATCGCACAAAAAACAAAGAAATCAATTTCCATGAGAAATTTGTAATCCTTCCGATGAGCGTCATCCAAAAGCTTGGGCACTGTTCCAACAGGTGCGAAAAAAAATAAACTATCGGCCGGCTCAGATTTCTCCCAAAGTTTGCTCCAACGGACGAAAGTTTGAAAAGTTGCTTATTTTTTTATCTGCTGTAAGAATCAGTGTTCCTTTGTGAATAATTTTTTTAGGCTATAAAAAAATGGAAATTTCAACTTTAAAAGGCTCATTTTACTAGCTGGAATGCGCTCCAACTCAAAAAAAGTTTATAATCCCTTTTTTTCTGAAATGAGTCAAGATAATTAACATTCAGATCCGAACGTGAGCTTGTATAAGCTTACAGTTTTTAGGGGGGGCTTTTTTTAAAATTTTCTCTGCAAATTCTCGGTCACTAACAAGGGAGGTCATTTGAAGTTGTGCGTGGGATTTTCCTGAAATTTGGCCAGGATACTCCTTGAGGTACCAGAAGAAGATTCTGAAGGTCTCCACCTTCACAACTTTCTCATTTTTAAGAAAAAACGGCTCAAATTCAAAGAAAACCCTCAAAATCCATTAAAATAGGCTAATTTGGGGCTTTGAGCCCTCGTTTCTCGAAAAGTCGGCAGTTTTGCAGGCTGAAATGTTCAGGGTATGTTTCTGGTACATCCAGGAATTTTCTGGCCAATTTTCTGGAAAAACCGCAAAGTTAATCCTTGTGAGATCTTCATCTACCTTTTTCTAACTTCGTATTTTTTTTTTCCAATGTCATGGAACTTTATTTTGTCTTATTCATCATATAAAACCTCGTCCGACGCCTCAAATAACCATTTTCCAACCATTTTAAAACCGTTTCATTCCCCAAAATCATCATCAAGCTTCATTTCAGTAACCATTTTCGAAAAACGCCTCAAAAAATCCGCTCCATCTGGCAAAAACCCTCAAAACTCCGAATTCTCAAAGAGCCGCCAAGCTGAGAAGGTCACAACAAAAGGAACATCAACAAAAAAACCATTCGAATCGACGAAAAAGCGAGGAAAGGGGGCGGCGCAAAAACAACACTCCCCACGTACACCCGCAGCCTTCCCGTCGTCCATTTCGCTCTGTTTTGTTTTGTCTTCAAAAAGCTCGTCAAATCTTCTGCCGCACTTTTCCGTCTTCCCATGTACTTTTTCCGCTTTTTTGTATACTTTTTTTTCGTCCGTTTTGGAGTTTTGAAACGGGAAAGCTATGGAAATTTGCCTTTCCGTATCATTTAGGCTCACGTTTGATTTCCAATGGTACCTTTACAAAAGCCTGCTCAATAGTTTTCCCTTCCTAAAAACGCTGAGAGCGTCTTTGCCTGAGTATTCTACGTTTTACCATTTACTTCGTGTCACAGAATTTTTAATGGACTCCTCCACAAGTCTTTAACACGAAAAATTGAAAATATCTAAAAAAAAAAGTGACAAGAAAAAGAATCGTCATTTTACAACGCTCCCGATTTTTCACAACATTTTCCAAGTCCTAAAATAATTTTTGAACTCAAAATATCTCGATAAACGCCCTTTTTCTTGCGCAAAAAGTCAAACTTCCAAGCTTTTTGACCTCTCACAGCTCAAAATCCACTTCGCTCCATCGCTAATTTTCAATTCTCAGACTTTATGACATTTCCCAAATTTTCCACGACTTTAAAATATAGAAAAAAAAGCAAAAACTTAAACTTTTTTGAAGAATTGATCGAACTAAAAAAAATCAATCTTCTGGAAAAAATTCTCCATTTCACAAAGCTCTCGATTTTTTTCATAACGTTTTCAAAGTCATAAAATTATTTTTTTAACTCAATGTCTATATTTTTTTGTTCTCAGAAAATCCAGGAATCTAAAATAAATCTAAAAGCTCAAAATCTACTCCAACTTCGCTCCATCGCTAATATTCAATTCGACCTAGTTTTTTTCAATTTTTTACTTCAATTTCAGGGTGATCATGGCCGATGAAACATCAAAAACGGGTGAGATCGTGGCAAACCAGGTAAATTTTTTTTTTGTTTTTGGGAATGGCTCGAGTGCGTTGCGGCTCAAATTTTGCCATTAATGGGCCTTTTTTAGTCTCTGCAACGCTTCGAGCCATTCCAAATGCGTCCGAAACATTTCCTTGTTTGAAAATGAAGAATATAATATCTTCATTCATTCTAAACCAATAAATTTCTCAAATTTTCTTGAAAAAACAGCCATTTTTCAAACAAAAGCAGTCTATGAGTGTGCACTATGTAAAAAAATTTTTTTTTCAAGTCCTAATTTTTCCCTCCTTTCAGGACCATCAACAACCAACTATCGTGCAGAAGAAGAAGAATCATTTGGAGCATTTAATCGATAAAATTAGCTCTAAAGCTCCCAAGGCTGGTTATACCATAAAACCAGAAATTAATCATTTTTTCAGGTAGTAGAAAAAACCAACACGGTAGCAGTAGAATCACCTAACGGCCAGGTAAATGAAAAGCTTGAAAATTAGAAATTTATTTTTTCAGGTACCCAATAAAAACCATGTTGTCTATGCGCAGCCGAGTCAGGTGAGCTTTTAAATTCGTCATTATTTGAAGGAAAAGTGATCACTTTAGGGGCAGTACCTGGCTCAGATTCAGCACCTGGAACTCGACTCAGGGCAAGCATCCTCCAGTCGAACTCCTCCGGTATATTTTTTTTTTTTTAATTTAGAGATTTAAAGTTACCTTTTTTTAAAACGTCTCTAGACTTCGATCACACCGTAGCTCGATGTAAAATGTATTCCTTAAACCTTCCTACCAAAATCTGCAGAAGAACAAAAAAGCTTTCAGAAGCCCAGGAAACCCAGGATGACAAAAGCAGAAAAGCTCGCGGCTGAACAGGAAACTCAGGTCAGTCTTCAAAAAGTCTCCAGCCACAAACTCCAATTTTAGCGTCGTCAAATAGACCAACTCACCCAATTCCTATACTGGCGAAACATGCATTTCCGTCTCTACAACAACAGCTTGATCGTCGCACAGAGTGACAACGAGGAAGTCGCGGCCAACTTCCAGAAGAACCTCGCAGCTTTGAGATACGTGCCGAGCGGCGATTCGTTCCCTCAAAATGGTCCAGGAATGATGATGCCGAATATGGGGATGTATGGCATGAATCCTAGTCTTCCCAGAATGATCATGCCAAACTTGGAGCATCCCGGCAGCGTCATCGGGATCAAGGTCCCGAACTCGAGCTCAGGAGCTGGTTTCCTCCCAAGCGCACAGGCCTCAAACTCCAACTCAGAAGCTGCAGGAGTCGTCACACCGAATCTGGAGCTTTATGGTCTCAATTCGAGCTCTCCTTGGGTCTCGAACGGTTCCGGAGCCCCTGAGATGGTCATGCCGAACTTCGAGCTTTTCAAAAGCTTTTTTGAAGCCCAATCCTCGAGCTCACGTCCAGAAAGTCAAATGTTGGACCCATCCAACCTCCTGTCAAACATGGACGGCAGCAGCTACGCTTCTCAATCATTCGATCCAGCTACGATCCTGCCAAACTTGGGCATCAATTCAACTTCCTATAGCTCTAATATGAGCCCGAAAAGTTCAAACTCCCGCTCGAAGCCTCAGAAATTGAATCCAGCGACGTCAAACAGGCGTAGAAGCTCCAGCTCCTACCAGTCTGATCCGCGCCCAAAAAACAAAAGATCCTGCCCCAAAAACAAAGTGTTAGATCCAGAAACGTCGATGTCTTCTTTGAGCATCAGCTCGACTTCCAGCAGCCCCCAGGTCTCCAGAATTCAACTCTTAGATCCAGCCACGTTCCTGCCAAGCTTAGGCTGTAGCTCCACTTCCTACAGCTCAAAAAACCCCGAAACCTCCGTCATGCTCACGCCAAACTCTCACCGATCCGAGACTCCAAGTCCTAGATTCTTCTACGAAGAGGTCCATGTCTACCGGGCAATATCTTCCAGCTCCTCCACTTCTCCAGGCGTCATGTTTGGCAATAAGAAGTTCGAGATACTGCGCCGCTCGCACAACCGTATCAAAATCCTTGCAACCACGACTGCCATTGCGTTGAAAAACGAGGTCGCCGTAGAGCTTCGCAACGTCTCCGCCTACTTCCGAACGTCTCCAAGACCACCAATTCATCAACCATTCTCGGCAACCTTTCTGCCGACACCTCGATTCTTCCCAACTACGCCGATTTTCAAGAAAGATGTCGATCTGGCTACTATTCTCGATATTGATTTGTCAATGTTTTTCGCCTGGATCGAGCAGGAAAAGACGTGAGTTTCCTTGGAAAAATAGCCGCATCAAAGCTAATTTCCAAATTCTAGTCATTTTTTCAAGCTCTAGCAGTAGCCCGAGTAAACCACCTATCCAAAAAAAGCCAGAAAAAATACCTCTTTAATTTACAATAAGTTTCATTTCTTTTTTTCCTCGCGATTTCAAATTTTCAGTTTTACCCTTCAAAAAAGCTATTCAAAAAAAAAATAGCCCTGTAAAAAAATGGAAAGAGCGGCTGAAAAAAACAAAAAAATATTTACGCTCCAAAGACAATCTTCAAATTTTCTCGAAAATTTTAATTTTTTGTCCTTCTTCTAATTACCTCTGTTCCACAAGAAGCTTCAGAAAATGATATAAATTGAAATTTGAAAGTTAAGCAGACCAAAATTTCAAAATTCAAAGTTAAGCAGACCAAAATTTAAAAATTCAAAAGTTAAGCAGACCAAAACTTCGAACTCTCATGCTTGCCAGGTGTCCCACCGGGTGTACCCGTATTAAACCCGTGTTCTTTTTTGAGGGCTATTCGAGTCCCAGTTGTGCTAAAACGGGGGGAATAAGAAGTAGGTGGTCCAGCTGTCGGAAACTGAGACCCAACTTTGCAAAAACGGTCGGCAGCTGTGGCAAAAAGTTCTACCAGCTGTTCTTTAACGGGCATATACGGGTACACCCGATGAGAGCCCTTTTCAACCCTTTGGGGAGGAAAACGCTCCATGTCATTTATAAATTCATCTTCCGTGATTGATCTGAATTTGATAGGAGCTTTAAAATTACCCGGAAAACGGTCAATAACACATCTTGTGCGCTCAAATGCCAATTTCTCTTTCAGAGGTTATTTCACGGACCGAGAGCTCAGGCAGTACCTCTGGTTCATGAGCATCTACGAGGCGCCCGTCTACAAGGAAGTCCAGGAGATGATCGAGAAGAAGGAGGAGCAGAAAGAATGGATGAACAAAGTTCCGCCGCTGGCCTCATTCTTCTGCATGGCCGCCAGTAGGAGCTTCATCGACGCCTGGCGTTATGCCAAAGACTCGATGAGGTCGGTTTATTCTACTTCGAGTCAAATTGAACCTTTTGAATTCTTCGAAGAGCCAAAATCCGACACCAATTAGCGCAAGTCGTTTTCGGTCGGGACATTATAGGGCTTCAAATTTCGCCCTTTTTTCAATACAAATCTTTCCCAACGAGAACACTTTCAAACTGTTTCAATGCTCAAAATGCAACCTAGTTCAAAATTGAAATACTTCTCTATAACCACTAGCGCAAGTCGTTTTCGGTCGGGACATTCCAGGGCTTCAAATTTCGCCCTTTTTTCAATACAAAAATTTCCTAACGAGAGAACCACTTTCAAACTGTTCCAATGCTCAAAATCTACACCCTAGTTCAAATTTGAAATACTTTTCTATAGCCACTAGCGAAAGTCGTTCTGAGTCGGCGATAAATTTAAATTTTTCTCTTTCTTATTCAAAGTCTACCAACTTTTCGCGCCAGTTTCTCCAATTTGAATAGATCCCCTCGCACCTCTCCTTCCCCGCCTCTTTACAATTCGAAGACAAAGGAACTTTCCCAAAAAGCGAGTCGAATCGGAAAGAAAACGCCCTGATCTGCTATTCAAACACGGCTAGGCTGAACCTGTGAGGGGGTTAGATTTCCGTCTTTTCCCGCCCAAAAGAAATATCAACCATTCCAAATCTTCAAAACACAAAAAAATCTTACAAAAATGGAAAACTTTCAAAAATTAGCCGTAGAGCTTAACACTTAACATATTTTGAGGCTCAAAAATCTATTTTTAACGTCTCAAAACGGCTCTGGGTGATCTTACCAGACTACTTTTTCCCAATTTCTGTTTAGATTTTTTCCCGGCTTCTATTGAAATTTTGGAAAATATTAAAATTTCTTCTGCCTTTTTCAATCCAATGGAAACTCAGTATTGATCAATTCCTCTTGGCTCAAATAAAAAATTAGCAATAGAGCGCACATGCTTATCATCGTCAGGAGTATGAAAAAATTTTCTCTTCTTAGGAACTCCAGAGTGATCCCTATAGGGGTTAGGGAGGAAAACAACCCCTATTGGGGCCGAAAAAATTGTCCCTATAGGAGTAAAACTAAAGGGATCCCTATAGGGGTCTGACCCCTCAGCCCCTAAACCTCAAGTGGACCCTCTAGGGGTCTTTCAATTTAATTTTGAAAAACGCTAATTTTTTCTGTTTTTCCCATGGGCATGCTTCTTCGCTTAAAGTTCATGACAATTATCGCATGTCCCCTATAGGGATCACTTTTGCAAGCTTTAGTGGCCCCTATAGGGGTTTGAAAAAGGTTCCTAAGATTGCCCTTATAGGGGCCACTCTGGAGTCCCTAGCCATGAAGGTTCTGAAGCCAAGGTCGCACCTAATTACTTTTCAATGACTATTCAAAATCAATGACTCGGCTCAAAAAACTTAAGTCATTGATAAAATCAGCCATAGAGCGCACATGCATTTAGTCCAAGGCTATTTTCTCACACCTTCAAAATATTTTTCAAAAGGTTCAATATGAATGTCACTCAGTGTAGGACTACTTTTCACGGCTCGAAATTGAAAGGATGAAGTGAATTTGTTCAAAAGTAGCCATAAGCTCGCAAGTTCCACCTTTCAATCCAAGGCTCTACTGGAAAGAAATTAGCCCTCTTTTTACCTTAAAATTACCTTTAAAAAATAAGAGTGACAGTTTTCCAAGGCTGTTCCTTCCTTCCCATGCATAAGGCTATTAATTCTGATATTCCAGGATCTGCGGCGAGGTGCCGGACGACACGGAAGACTGGCTGCTGGAGAAGCACATCGACGAGCCGCCTGGGACTCGTCGCCCGAGCACCGACGTCACGATGAAGCCGCCCCGGACCTGGAAATCCGAGGCGGTGCTTTCTAGACGCTACCTCGCCACTGCCCCGACTCCCAGCGTCGTCAAGACCCCACTAGCCCCGATCTCCGAGTACATTCCGCCCAATCAGGAACAATTGAGAGGCCGTCCCTTGAAACTCGACCTTTGCCATGAGAACTTCAAGAGTTCGATCCATTACTCACAATTGTACGATTCCAACCTGAATTCGCCGCATGTCATTGTCAGGGAGCCGGTTTTGGCTCGTGAAAGGGTCTATTACACTGCCGCCGGTCAGGCTCCAACCAACTGCGTCTTATCCGATTTCAAACCGATTGTCACTTCTCGGTTATGGCCCAAAATGTAATCCCAAGAGGCGATAGATCAGTAGAAGTCTGAAGAGACGCCAGAGAAGCAGAATCGTCTTCTGATTTTTTTTTCAACCTCTTCGTATTTCGTGTGTTTCTTGCCTTATAGATGCCATTAAAGCCAAAAGTTCTCTCTTTCTCTAATTTCTCTTCTTTCTCCGCTGATCTCTCTTTTCTCTTTGTTTCGTTTTTTCGCTATCATTTTTTTTTAAAGACGCTACTCCAATACTCCTCAAGCTCATCTTCTCACTTCTCATATCTATTTTGATGTTTATCAACTTCTACGTTCAATTCTAGACCTAAAATGGTCAATAGTAGAGATAAGAGGCACTGAAGAAACTTAAGAAAATTCAGAAAGCCTCTCTTTCTCTAGAGTCTCTTCAAGAGCTGCTTATCTCTAGCTTCTCCCAGTGTTTCGTCTTTTGTTTTCAAGTTGAATCCTACGCCAAAGACAGGGATCAGCGGCGCCTGAAGAGACACCAGACAGTTCTACTAGCTCTCTTTCTCTGGCGCCTCTTCAGGCTCTACTCATCTCTAGCTTCTTCCAGTGTTTTTTCTTCTTTTTTTAAGCTCATTTCAAGACCTAAGATGGTCAAAGAGAGACGAGAGGCTCTAAAGAGACTACAGAAAAGTCAGAAAGCCTCTCTTTCTCTGGCGTCTCTTCAGACTCTTCTCATCTCTAGCTTTTTCCAGTGTTTTTAAGTTGAATCCTACACCAAAGGCATTGATTACACGCCCCTGAAGAGACGCCAGACAGTCGTACTAGCTCTCTTTCTCTGGAGTCTCTTCAGTTGTCGTTATCTCTCGTTCTCCCTCATGAATATCCATTTTTTCCCTCAACTTATGCTCTCCAAGGGTAACAACTCAGCGGATTCCCCAATTTCTTTCTCTTAACTTTGCCTTTTTTCACTTTTTGGTGCCTTCTTCTTACCGATTCCGGTTTTTCCACCTGTTAACCTTTTTTTCTGTTAATTTGTTGTTTCGAAATGAACATGTTAAAAAAAAAGTACCTGCAGTACTGTGAGATGAGGAGTTGTTAGCGACTCCTGCAAAAATCTGGATCACTGTACCCTGATTATTACGGTAGGAAATTGAAGAATACGGTAGAAAAATTTAGTTTTCTCGTCCTAAAATGTAGAAATATTTAATCTCTTCAAAAAAAATATCACAGCCGAGTAAAAAGTGAAAAGGCAACGGAAACAATATTTTGATGACCTTAAGATTTTTCTAAAAGGCACATTTCTGATATTAAAAGTGAGGGGCGGAAAATGCAAATAAGTATTTGAAATGAATGAAAAAGGAGCAAGAAAGGCACAAAAATTAGAGAAAATCAGTATATAAAATGCAGAAAATAATTATTATTTTCCATGTCAAAAAAATTTGGGAAAAAAAAGGGAAGTGAAGGAAAAACGAGGTAAAGCTTAGAAGGGAAAGAAAAGCTCAAAAATAAGTTTTTAGAGGGCGAAGATTTATTTTTGGAAACCTCCTGGCATTTTGAATTTTTTCTGAGGTTTAAAACCTTATATTGTTCTAAAAAAAAATGACTGAAAATCAGTTTGAGCGAGAGATCGGACCATCTAGAGATACGCCAGAGAAAACAAGGCCTCTAACTTCTCTGGCGTCTCTCCGAACGCCTATACTCTCTCAGACCTTCCAAGAATTCAAAATCAATAAAAATGTTGCGAAAGTCAGCTTGAGCGAGAGATACGACTGTCTAGAGAGGCGACAGAAAAATCAAGACCTCTAACTTCTCTGGCGTCTCTCCGAACGCCTATACTCCCTCAGACCTTCCAAGAATTGAAAATCAATAAAAATGTTGCGAAAATCAGCTTGAGCGAGAGATACGACTGTCTAGAGAGACGCCAGAGAAAAAAAAGTCCACTGACTTCTCTGTCGTCTCTCCGAACGCCTTTACTCTCTCTGATCTTCCTCCGCACTCTAAAAACCTACCGAGAAAAATGAGCAGAAAATGAAAAAAAAAAGTAACAACGAAAAAAATCTCGGGGCACCCAGCCGATCAACAAACATGAAGCAATAAATACAAAAAGAGTTTTTCAATTCGAGTATTTTTTAATTAGATGACGTCGTCGAGCCGAGAAGGCTATTTTTTTTGACGTTGATTTCTTGAAAAATCTTCATGAATCCTTTGCGTTTTTTTCGCCTCGGGCGATATCGTCGTCCCGTTCGTCCCGTTGACCGTCGGCATGGAGGCTATGGAGGTCGTGTCGTTTCCATTTAGGGAGATCCTGCAGAAAGGATTGTTTGAGAGGTCACCTGAGGGATTCTAGTTTCAATTTCGCCTGAGAGACCAATACGAGGTCCTTTTAAGGATTTAAAAGAATGATCGTTTCAACTGATCACTCAAGGGACCAGTTTCAGGTTTTGTAGGAATTCACAAAATATCATGAATATTTGAAAAGCTTGTAAGCTGCGAAAATTTCCTTTCCGCTCACTTAAGGGATTCACGTTCAAGGGTCCTCTTAAGGGGCTTGAAGCGATTTTAAAGAAAGCCCTATGCTTTAAAGATGAATCTAAATAGCTTCGGGGACTTTTCGTCTCAAAAACGTTCAAGCGCTCACTTTTAGCCTTCGAAGTGGTCACTTAAAGGATTCTCGTTCCGAGTGAACACTCCAGGGACTATTTTCAGGTATTTGAAGCAATTTTGGAGAGGTCATGAATGTTTGAAGCACTGGGAAAGGTTTCTTCATTTTCACTTAAGAGATTTAAGTTTAAGTGTTAACTTAAGGGACTTGAAGCGATTTTAGAGAAAGCGCTATGCTTTAAAGATAACTCTAAATGACTGCGGAACTTTTCGTCTCAAAGCACTTTTAAACGGTCACTTTTAGCATTCGAAGTGGTCACATAAAGGATTCTGATTCCAAGTGGTCACTTAAGGGGCCACTTTCAAGCTTTAGAGAAATGTTCGAAGCTGTGGATGGAACGAAAGAAAACCCCTAAGTGGCCACTCAAAATTTCGAGAAAACTCACCCAGTGGTCTGAAAAGCGATGGTCGCCGTGCTCTTTTTCGAGGTGACGTCATCCTCCTCGAATGATGACGTCGGATGACCATGAGATGACGTCATTGAGTTGGATGCCGTCATGTTGGGCTGGAAAATGATAAAAATCAATAAAAACCGTCGAGAAACGGTGGAAAAACTCAGTTTTCCTCTATATTATATTCTGAAAGCTTCACTTAATTTTTTTCAAAAAAACATCTGATTATCCAAAAAAATGAATTGTATATAAGAGCTCTCATTTCAATCAAATTTGGTCAAAAATTAAAAAAATTCGAAAAGGTTCAAAAAAAAATGATCAAAAAAGATCAAAATCTAACGTAATTATGATTTTTTCAACTTCCAATTCCAAAATTACCTTCGAAACTTTCCGCTTGACGTTCCCATTAGCCCCGGACGCTGAAGAATGCGACGACCCTGAAAAAAAGTCAAGTTTCAGAGTTAAAAAAAGGTGAGAAAAATTATATTTCAAAGCAACTGAAAAAAAGCCTGAAAAATACGATCAAAGCGCATTTCAAACAGAAGGAAAGCGCAGGAAAACAATAAAACAAGGATTTTCAGAGGTTTAGAAAAGAAAAGTCATGCAAGAAAAACGACCAACCCGAAAAGTTACATGAAAATGCATTATTTATCTACAATTGTATAGCAAAAAAGGACAAATTAATGAAAAATTGAGCCATTTTCCAAGAGGCGAACTTTGAGCACAATGAAAGCCGTTGATTGGTGAGCGTATAAGATTTGAAAAAAAAGTAGATAAAGCCGACAGATTAAAAATATCACAAAAAATGTTGAGAATAACGAAAAAAAACATTGAAAACTAGGGTCAAAAATTAGGAATAGAACTACAGAAGTATAGAGAAAAAACTGTGAATGTGTAAAATTGGCTGTGTGATGTAAAAATTCAATTTTCGTGGTAAAAATTCAGAAAATGTCAGTTAGAGAACGAAACAGAAATGAAACCGGTTTAGAAGAGGAAAGAATTTAGAAAAATCAAAAAAATAATAAATTCGAAGGCTTTTTTTGACTCTGAAACCATAAAACTCACTTTTTTGAGTCTAATAACGCTTTTTGAGTCTCAAAATTACACATTCTGTTCAAAAATTCACTTTTTAGCTCATTAAAAAATGTCTTATCTCCTTAATTTCGATTTTTGAAAAATCTACCCTCTTCTATTTCAAAAATTTGACTCTAACTTCAATTTTTTTAAAACTTCTCCATAACATCACACATCCAACAGAAGGTACCAAAAAAATCGAGCTTCAAAATTTGAAAAAAAAAAGCTAATTATATTTGGCCCATGAAGATTCCTACATGAAAAAACTATCACAGAAACTTTCATAAAAGTCATTTTTCATAATTCATTTTTTCTCTTTTCATAGCTCAATCTTTAAATCCACCACCACCACCACAAAATCAAAAAAAAAATGTTCCAATCGATTCAAAAAGCAGAAGAAGACGAGGAAGCGGTACTTCGCGGCGGGGATGATCCCTGATGGAAGACGACCAGGGGCTCTGCGGCGGGGAGCGATGTCGCTAGCGGAATCGCGCCGACGACTGGGGCTAGTGATGCCGATGAGACCAACGCACCTGAGAGCGACGCCGGCTGTTGATTGTAGAAATGAGCCGTCGAGTTCGATGCGCCTCCGACGACGTGGAGTGGCAAGGTTTCTGGAAATTTTTCGATATTTCCGTGTCTTCTCTCGAAGTGGTAGCTCTGATTTCAGGCTTTTAACCTGGAGCACGGTCTCCTTGGTTCAGCTACAACATCAGTTGTATTTTAAGCTAGTCAAGGCGCAACTAGATGAAATACGCGTAGAGGGACAAGGCGAGGAACCGGAAGACCATGCTTTCAAATTGATCATCTACATTCAAGCTTTCCACCTGGAGCACGGTCTCCGTGGTTCAGCTACAACATCAGCTATATTCTGAAATCGTCAAGGCGCAACGATGAAATACGCGTAGAGGGACAAGGCGAGAAGCCGGAAGACCATGCTTTCAAATTGATCATCTACATTCAAGCTTTCCACCTGGAGCACGGTCTCCGTGGTTCAGCTACAACATCAGCTATATTCTGAAATCGTCAAGGCGCAACGATGAAATACGCGTAGAGGGACAAGGCGAGAAGCCGGAAGACCATGCTTTCAAATTGATCATCTACATTCAAGCTTTCCACCTGGAGCACGGTCTCCGGGGCTAAGCTTTAACATCCGCTCTATTCTGAGCTCGTCAAGGGAACATCTGAATAGACTAAGCGCAGAGGAACAAGGCGAGAAGCCGTAAGACCATGCTTTCAATTTGATCAACTACATGCTGGTCTTCTAGTTCGCCAAAGGCTATTTTTCGATATTATTTGAAAATTTTTTGTTCACCTCCAAGTGGATTACATCTAACACTAAAACAAAAAAGTGAAGCCATCATTTTGACCTTTTTTTGAAACGTATCTTTTCAAGGGCTATAAAATAGAACAAAGATCTCTTATCCAAAATTTCTCTCATTTCTCTGATCCGTTCTTTGAATTCTAACAACAAAGTATGTAGGTTTCGCCAATGTCAGAGTGTCAGAAAATTCGCTTTCTGCATCTCACGGTGCTTCCAAACTTGGATCTCAGAGAAAACCAGCCAAATCGGTTCCATACGCCCGCTGAATCCCACCCTGAGACGTCGAAAAAGACGTCAAGCTTCAATAAAGCTTAGATAGTTTGACTTTTTTCAATAGTTCTTTGTTAAATTTGATGCTTGTTCTGGTCGCGAGTTTCGCAAAAAAGCCAAGATGGGTAATAGTACCAATTTTTAGTTGAAATATTGGCGTTCGTGTACCTAGGAATTATAAAACCGTGGTTTCCCCATACCAACATTTCATAAACCCCTTGCTTATGTCGCAGGGAGATCGAACTTGTGACCCTCTGGACCGTAGACAAGCACACAACCTATTGAGCTATAGCGCACTTTTTTTTGTATTCCTTCTCATAACCTAATCTCTAGTCGTCAAAAACACCCCAGGCTTCTTCCCCTTAATATTTCACATAAAAACCAATTTTTCTACGAACCGTTCGAGTAAAGGATCGGGAAACCGCAGAGCGACTCGATCTGCATCCATCGTTCTTGTGTTTCTCGCGTCAAGGCGTGGATTTTCTCCATTCGGCTTCTGGAATTCGGAAATTTTCCTTTTCTTTCCTACTCAAGGAGCCCACAAAATTCCACTTGATAAAAATTGACAAAAGATACAAATTCTTGAACCTAGAGCGAAAAATCGCTTGCTATCTAATTAACTATAGCCCATTCCGCGCCGCAATTTTCCTCCTCCGAGCTACACAAACCTTCAGGAAAGCTCCCATTCTTAGAAACACTATGAGGTTGCCTTTAGAGGTTCGGAGGAAGAGAACCCCTATAGGGAACAAAAAAGGACAAAAAAGTGCTCCCTTTAGGGGTGACATTCAGGTGGCCTCTTAGGGGCTTCCAATCTAACTTGAAAATTAAAAAGGCGAATTTTATTTTAATAATTCTCCGTTAATATTTTTCACTTGAGTATTGCTAACTTATTGATTATTAATTTCCCTCATAGCACGTCTCCCTATAGGGGTCGCTAACTGAAACCCCCATAGGTACCACTTTTGCAAGCTTTAGCGGCCTCTGTTAGATGGTCGCGGCCTTCCTATGCGTTAATAGTATGGCGGAAACTTTAGGCGAAATTTCAGTTTCCCAGAAGATTTCTATGGCTCGGAGGATAATAGAAACCATAGAAAGCTAGGGCGGAATGGACTATAAGCAGTCTAACACGCTGTCTCTGTAATTCTTAAAAATTTCTAAAAGCAACGGGTACGATGAAAAAAAATATTTTTTGATTTTGATGAAACTTCATCCAGTGTGATAGCCAATCATCAGAAATGCGGACCCAACTTTTTGAGCCATTTCCTCTTACTGTAGCCGGGTTACGGTAGGCAGGTGGGCACCTGCGTATCACAGTATTGAAGAGAGGAAGATCATCAAAATCAAAAAAATTTTTTTTTTATTGTACCCGTTGCTTTTAGAAATTTCTGAGAATTACAGAGACAGCGTGTTAAACTTGAAATTTCCTGTCGACTCAACGAACTTCCACTCATTCTGAGACCTACTTCAGAGCGAAAATCTTCGAATCGACTTGATCGGAAGCCGAGGCGGCGCCGGTGGCGAGCTTCAACGACGATAAGACACTTCCCTGCTTCTTCTGCAGTCGGTCGACCATTTCAATAGCCTCTTTCATCTCTTTGAAGCATCTGGAATGCACCGATTGAGGAGAAACATTCACATGACTGGAAAAGTTTTTAGTGGCCACTATAGTAGTCGAATTAGTGCCCACTTGAGGGGTCAAAAACTAGTGGCCACTGTAGAGGTCTAAGTGCTACTACTAGATCCTTGAAAATTTTAGTGGCCACTTTAGAGGTCAATGGATCAACATAACTGGTCCAATCTGTTTGTTTTAAACTATCAGAGTTACTGGAAGGAACACTGGATGAAAAACTACTGAAGTGGCCACTAAAACGGAAAATAGTGGCCACCATAGAGGTGGGTTTAGTGGCCACTTTAGTGTCCTCTCCGTAGTGGCCACTGAAAAATTTTTCAGGAGATTCTTTTCGGAAAAAGACCAGAATTCCTATTTTTCTCTTTCGCGGAAGTTTTAAACCCGTTTCTCGTTCAAAATTCCCTACTGATTTCAAAAAATGTTGGTTTCCTCGAAAGATTCGCAGAATAAACACGTTTCTTGAAAAAAAAAACTGGTCATTTTTTCAGAACTTTTTCAGCTTCTCTCTCTCTCCGAAACCCACTCTTGTCTTTGCTTTTCCAGGAAAGCCATCTCATTTTCGCAGGTTTTCCGGAGGAGCGGTTGCAGTGCGAGCGGCGTCACAGCTCCAGCCGTATTTTGTTCCAATCTAAATAATTTTCATCATCAAAATTATCAACAGAGCGCGCTTGCCAACCTCCTTTCGGCCTCTTCGAGTTGAACTCTCAAATTCTCCATTTCCACCTTGTTCGCGCCACCGTCGGCGGTTGACCTGGAGTTTGAAAAAAAAACATATTGGGAATTTGCACTTCACTGTTTTAAGAGTTGTTTTCTGTTTAGTTTTAACAAAATTAAATCCAAAAATGTACACTTTACAGGTCGAAGACTTATTTTATGACTAGATTTTACAAATTTTATATTACTGTAGCTCAAAATCGAGTTCGGTGGGCGGAAAATTATTAATTTACAGGTCGAAAAGTTGCAACTAACTTTTTTTAAAAATTCAATTTGAAAAATTATAAATATACAGGTCGAAAAAAACTTGTTTTAAGAGTATCTTTTGTACAAACTCAATATCAAAAAAATTACCAACTTAAAGTTCAAAAAAATTCATTTCACGGCTGGATTCCACAAATACAATCAAAAAAATTAAAGTTTTTTTAAGCTTCAAAAACTGGCTCTACGGCTGGCTTTTTACAAATTGAACGCAAAAATTTACAATTTTTCAGTTCGAAAAAAATTATTTTATAACTAGATTTTACAAGTTTAATTTGAAAAATTATGAACCTACAAGTCGAAAAACTAGTTTTTAAGGTTACCTTTCCTACAAATTCAATCCCAAAAATTTTTTTACTTACAGGCCGAAGACTTATTTTATGACCAGATTTTACAAATTGAACCCAAAAATATAGAATTTTTCGAGTCAAAAAAAACTTGTTTTAAGGTTGCCTTTTCCACAATCTAAATATCGAAACTTTATAACTTGAAGTTCAAAAGTTCATTTTAGGGCTGGTTTTCACAAATTTAGCAAAAATTTACAGTCTACAGCTCCAAATCTTGTTCTACGGCTAGCTTTTTTTCAAACTTGATCCAAATTCCAGAAACTTGTTTCACTCCTTAGCTTGAGAAGATTTTAGGAGAATATCTGAATTTTTTTTGAGAAAAATGTGTCCTAAATAGATTAAAAAAATAGTGTGCGATCCAGACTTATAAACAATAAAAAAATTGAACCCTAAACGAACTATTTTGATGATAAAAATGTACCTTTTACTCCTCTCCTCGTTCAATTTCTTCTGAACGCCTTCAAACTCAATCTCCATGCTTTTCAGCTCGGTGAGGCGTGTTGAAAGGTCGTGAACCTAAAAAGATTTTTAATATTTGCATTTAAGTAGAAAAGACCTGCTTTCGAGCTCTTTGGCGCTGTTTCGCATAGAGGATCAGCACCGAGGTGAGAAGAAGGGCCTGGAAATTTTTAATTTTACTTTTTTTGGTGAACGAATTCAATTAATGATTTTGAACAAACCTTAAATTCACAAAACTTGAAAAAAATTATTTCATGCGAAATATAAGTTTCAAACCTAATTTTTCGAACTTCAAAATTAAATATCTCAAAAACTAGAAGCTTTTGCGGGTTGCGAGCTTGATGGATCTTTATATAAACCTTCAGAGAGTGCTTGGGCACGGTTGTAGAAAACTCCAAGTCGCAAAAAAAAAGACCTCATTGTGTGGTCTAGTTATGTGTTAAACGCGAGCTTTATAAACTAATATCTCAAAAACTAGAAATTCACGCACATCGCCACTATGAGGGATCTTCATCTAGACATTCAAAGAGTGTTTGAGAAAATTTGTAGAAAATTTCAAACCGTGAAGTAAAATGACCTTCCTCGTAAGCACTATATGAAACTGGTTGTTACAGAATACCGAACCTTTTTACTCCTGTTTTTGCTATTAATAAATCTCCCACCAAAGATTCTTCACTGGCCACTTTCGTAACACATTCTATGAGCGAGAAACAACGTTTTCCTCAAAACCTAGAATATTTAAGGATTTTATGTACATTTCTAATCTCATTACGACATAGGGATTATGTGTGGACTCCTTCTAGAAATTTCCATGATTTTTTAAAATTGCTCTGCATTTTTTAGATGGTTCTCGAATGTTCCATTTTCTTTGGAAAAGTCTAGAATTTTCCATCTTTCCCTAAAATGACTCAAATGATCTAAAAGGATCAAATGAGTCAAATCTCAGTACTTTCTATACTCCCCCATTGTTCTGGAATAATCCATAACCTTAGGGACCTCTTCCTCTACACTATAAGAATCTTTTTGTTTCCATAATTCGTCAGACCTTTTCCAAAAGGAGATCTCCTTCAACGCTTTGCTAAATTGAAGTCAGTACTACCTCCTGGTTGAAATTAGTTCCAACTTTGTCATTGCTCGCTGGGATAAAGTTACCCTTCTTTTCCAAACTTTTTGGTCAAATCTTCCTCCCGGACTTATTGAGCTCTTTACTAGGTCACGGTTAATACTGAACTTCTTTTGCTCCTGTTTTTGCAACTGATAAATCTCCTACCAAAACTTCTTTACTGGCCACCAGGAACGAGCCAAAATTTTTTGAAAAAGAAGGCTTTTTCCAGCTGAGAAAAGTTGATAATAGTGAAGTTAGGTGCATGGAAGATAAATATCGAAAAATTATTTCTATAGAGGGTACCATTATTTACATAAAGTTCAAAAACAGCTTTACGGAAGACCACCTCCGTAACCCAATCCAATTTTAGGAAGCTCCTTACCAAGAAGGCCAAAAGAATGTCCTTCGTCTTGGAGTTGTTGTCGCGGTGTCCGAAGAGCACCACGTCGAGGGCGTTCAATCGAAGTTTCTGCCGATGGACCGACGACTTTATGCCCATCTGCTGGGTCATAAACGAGGAGTTGTGGACGGCGAATCTGAAAACTCGGGGTTGATAAATGAGATCGTGAATAAAACAGCTCAAACAGATTCAGAAATTCGTTTTGAAACATAAATTCTATTTGAAACGTATAAGAAGGAGGAAGAGTGGGACCTCCAGAGTGGTCTCTATAAGGGTTAGGGGGGAAAACAACTCCTATAGAGGCCGAAAAAGTGGTCTCTACAGGGATGAAATCAAGGGGGTCCCTGTAGGGGTTTAGGGTCTGACCACGCGTAGAGTTCATAGCTGTTATTGATTAGAATTTCCCCTATAGGGACCACTTTTGCAAGCTTTAGTGTCCCCTATAGGGATCGGTAAAGTGGTCCCTAGAGGGGACACTCCAAAGGCCCCTATAAGGACCACTCTGAAGTCCCTAACAATGATAAAATATAAAATTTCCTAGCTTTCAAATTTTTGCTTGATTTGGACCTAAAAACTTCATTTCTTCTCAATTTTTTCCGAATTTTTTAAATAAATTATCGAAAAAATGTTATTTTTCTGTACAAAATTCACCTGGGAAGGGCGGTTCCGTCGATTTTCAACTTTTGCGCCCGCTCCGCATACATAGGCAGGTTAACAACCGTGGAGAGCCAGTGGATGAGCTAAAAATTTCAATTTCTTTGAATTTAAGGCAAAATTTATGACAAGAAAAAATTAAAAGTCATAACAAACAAGGCAGAAAATCAATGTTCACATATTGATTTTAATTTGTCCCCCCTCGCCTTAAACTAAATTAAAATGAACTAGAAAACCAACGCGAACTGTTGTCAGAAGCCAGAACCACTCAATAACCGAAATAAAATGGGGAATTTTCGAACCGAACCAAAATTTACATGATGCGAGTGCAGAAACATCGATAAAATCCGCATAAATTATGGAAACCGACCAAAAATCTACCAAATTTCAAGAGAGGTCAGCGAAACAAAGGGAAAAAAAAAATGAAAAATATAACAGAGTTCTCAAACTTTTGAGTGAACCTTCAACAGAAATCGCGTTTTTTTTTTTCATCTATCTTGAAATTATTCAAAAGCCTTGATGAAGCATGACTTTTTTTTCCAACTAAAAGGGCAGACCGAATTTCAGGAATTTTCAAAAGCCAACTTTTCGAAAAACCATTGTCCTCACGAGAATAGATCTCACTTACTTAGAGAAATAGAAAAAAATTTCCGAATTTGAAGAGTTTTTGTACCAATAGTCTGGTCCCCTTTTTGAAAAAATTTCAAAACTCTTATTTTTGTCTTCTTCACAATTTTCAAAACATTTCCTGATCCAGAGCTCTCCCCTTTAGTACATATTCATACAAAAAGACTAAATTCGACCCGAGAAATCCGGAAAAAGAACAGAATTAGATCATTTTTCAGCCCACTGGTCTAACTAGGGAACGTTTTTAACCCCGCGGTTGAACTTTTGCTGAAACTTTGCTGAAGTGTACTTTAGGACCCCCTTACTCCAGAATAGAAAGAAAATTTCTCGCAATAGATCTCGTTTTCGAGTTAGGACACTTCAAAAGCCCGAAATAGCTTTTTTTTGGCCTAATTTGCGTATTTTGCACTCTTTGAAGCTCCATAACTCGGAAACAAGATCAATTGCGAGAAATATTCTTTCTGTTCTGGAATCAGGGGGTTCTAAAGTACACCTCAGCAAAGTTTCAGCAAAAAGTTCAACCGGGGGTAAAAAAACGTTCCCTGGTAAAAAGTCTTTTTGAAAAAAATATAAAATCCTTTTTTTCTGTTTTTCCGTTTGTAAAACAGCTCCTTGTTCAAAAACCTTCTGTTGAATTTGAAAAAGTTCTTTTTGAGGAATCTGCAAAAAGTTACTTTTAAGACCGAAATTGACTGGACCAAAAAGCGGATTTTGAAAAATGGAAAATTTTTATTTTTCGAAATTCCAAAGCTTTTCCTATGCAAAACTTTCTCCTAAATCAACGATGTTGAGTCCATTTTTGCATAAGGAGGTCGATCAGGAACTCCATTTAACATTTAAAATCGTCAACTTTGCCGATTTTTGATAATGCCTTGTTGCTAACAAAACATTCGGAAAACCGAAAAAACAGCTATTCAATCGGAACAGAGAGAACTATATGCCCTCCAAACCTGCTCATTGGTCCAGGCGCGCTCCTCGCTCTCGAACCAGGCCTCCCAGAGGTCGTCGACGGTGATGGCGTCGTCGTCGCCGTGGAACGCGTTCTCCCGTCGTTTGCTCTCCGACCCCCGCATGTGCATGTCTTCTTTCATGAACTGCAATACAAGAACTGTAAGGAATCTACTTTTTTCAGGTCAATCAAGATGAGGATGGCTACTTCAAAATCGATCTCCTTAACACCTGGTCGTTTTCTAGCTACCGGGTACTACCATATGGTACCTGGATACTACCTGAGAGGTATCTGGATACCATCGCTCAAACGAAAAGTTCTTCGTCAAATTGTAGATAAGTAAGGAGCGAAGAAAAGTAGAAAATTTTTTTCCAAAGTGAGGTGTCGAAACTACTAAAAAAGGACATCTGCAGCAATTTATCTGTTCTATCTCCCAATTTCATCCCTTATCCCTCCAATTTGAGCAACCTCGGACATTGGTAACGCAAAAGGGACGTTTTCCGGACGATTCTGAGCAACTCTAGGGATTACTTATGAGTGCTGACGCTACTAAAGTGGTCACTAGGAATGCCACGACACGTCCGGCCCGCGGTATTAGATTCTGAGCAATTCTAGGGTCCCCTCAAGGGTACTGTCGCTACTAAAGTGGTCCCTAGGAATGCCACGACATGTCCGATTCGGATTTTTAGATTTTGAGCAACTCTAGGGTTCCCTTATGGGTACTGACGCTACTAAAGTGGTCACTAGAAATGCCACGACACTCTGATTCGCGTTACTAATGTCCGAGAAGGTATCCAGACACCTCTCAGGTAGCTTTTCTTGTTCCTAAATCAGAAATCTGGAAGAAAATCTCTACAAAGTTCGATCAAGTTCTCAAACTGCGTTTTTCAGTACTTCCCTTAAAAGCTTCTTAAAAAAATCGTAAGTATCCATTTTTTCAGGCCTCGTGAACAAGTGAAAAAGTTCAAAAAAACTCAATTTCCTATATTTTTCGTTCTTTCTCATTTCCTATGTTCTAATACTTTTCCGGCTGTTTAATTCACAATTTTTAAGCTAAAAAAATAAATTTTCAGTTTGAATTTTTTTCTAGATTTTTGCGGTTAGGAACTTTGAACGGGTAGAAAATTTCATTTCAAATTTTGAAATTTGGGCCAATTTTTTTATATCGTAAAAATCTGAAAGAACGGTTTTTTTATACTTTTTTTCAGACTTTTCAATGAACTTTTAGATCAATATTTGACTTCGAAAGTCTTAAAAATTATCTATTTTAACTTCCAAAAACCGGAAGAAAAATGAAAAAAATTAATATTATTACAAATTATAAGTCAATTCTCCTAATTTTTCAAGGCCCTTGTTCAGTTCAGAGAGCGAATTTAGGAAAAATCTTCAGATCCCCCAACGCTTCTCATGGTCAGCAAAAACAAACGGCCTCAAAATGGACCGGACGATGGCCGAAACGAATTTGATTGATCATTTCTCGAGATGCGTGGCGACGGCCGGCCAATGCGGGTGTCCGTAGCAAAATCGGTCAGACGAATTCATCGAAAATCCTCTAATTTTCGGCGAAATCTTCATTTTGAACTGTCCAAAATGGGTGAGTGGCACGAAAAAACCTTTTTAAACCTTAAAAAATCTTTGGGAAGCCCATTTTTTCAATATTTAATATGAAATACGAGAAAAAACTGCTTAGAAGTCTCTTGGAGCCATATAAAATAACCGAATTTTTAAATTACCAAAATACCCAGGCCAAATCTTCGTTTTTCAACTGTGTAAAATGAGTGGATGCCGTGAAAAAACTTCTTTTGCCAATAAATAACACGAAAAATCGGTTTTTATGCCCAATATTTGAAGTGAAAACACAAAAAAGTGTTCAAAAATCTCTTGAAGTCATTTAAAAGAACACAATTGTTAAATTACCGAAATGCCCTGGGCAAATCATCATTTTGAACCGTCCAAAAACAAAATGGGTGGGTGGCAAGAAGAAACATTTTTTTACCTAACTTTGGGGAGCCCATTTTTTTCAATATTATATATGAAAACACAAGAAAAAAACTGCTTAGAAACCTTCTGTAGCAATTTAAAATAATCGAATTATTGAATTTTCAGAAAACCTTGGCCAAATCTTGACTTTGAACTGTCCAAAAGTGGATTGATATCATGAAAAAAAAAAGTTTACCAATGAATAACACAAAAAAATCAGGTTTACTGTTTAATTTTTGACACAAAAAGACAAAAAATTGCAATTAAAATAAACTTTTTTTTCCAAAATTTCCTGATTTTCTACCGAAAAAAACGGATTTTTCCATCATTTTCCCTCCAAAAACTTTCAAACGCCTCGCCGCCAAATGCAACCTTGGTTCTGAGGGGACAAACAAAAGGAGTTTATCAGTTTCTTATCAAAAGACGTGGAAAAATATGCCAAAAACGCGAGGATTTGAATGATCAGTGAGATGAAGTTCGTGAAAAGTCCGAAAATCAATAAAATTCCAGTCAAAATTTAAAAAAATGCGTCTTTTCCATCATTTTCCGTGCTGAAGAGCATTATCTATTCGTCAGAAAAGACTTGAAATTCTTCAAAACCTTCAAAAATACTCACTTAACCTTATAGAAAACAATAAGAATCAATAAAAATTATAAAAAGTTCGCAGAAATATGGTCTTTTCTACCTTTTTGATATCAAAAGACACCTCCGAAGCCCCCGAATTCGCCAAAAAGAGACATCGATTCAGCTAAAACTAAAACATCATGAGACACGTGAAAAAGTCGTGTACTCTTACTTATCAACTTGTTTATCATACCAGAACGAAGTTCGACGGCAAGATTATTGGCTGAAAGTCCAGGAAATTGTAATTTTATACAAAAAAATTTATAAGAAATATTCGAAAAATAATGACTTTTTTTGGAAATTATTTCCTTTCTGCTATGAAAAAAATTAAACAAAAAAATGTGAAAAAAAGGTATATATTTCTTCAAAATTCAATTATTTCATCGTCCAAAGTCTTCAAACCGAAAAAAATATCGCAAGATAAGATGGAATTTGAGCTTAATTCTTACAGAAAAAAACGGAAAAAAACACTATATTTCTCACAGAAAAACAAAAAAATTCATAGATCAATATCAAAATGTTGATTATTACTAACCTTTTTCTACGAGTTATTTTTTTACAAAAAAATCGCTGAAAAAAACTTGTTTTTTTCCCTTGCAGTTCCCCAAAAGAAACTCGTTAACTTCTTGAAAAACATTCGATTGAAAAAAATCTCGCCGAAAAACCGCCGGAATTCGCTGAATTTTTCCCCAACAAAAAAAGGTCATTTCCGTCTCATTTTTTTCTTCAAAAATATCTTTACGGATCAACTTTTTGATCAAAAAAATAACCTACAAAAAAATGCAAATATATTAATTATTTGATGTTTACTCACAAGAAAGATTTTTTTCGGAAAAATCCAACTTGAAACTATGAAATTTCAGCTTAATTTTTCTTGTAAACAAAAATTAAATTATCTCATTTTAATCGATAAAACCAATTTATCCAGTCCGAAATTCCATATTTTCCCCAAAATATATCGAAAACACCAATACTTCAGCCACCTTGACATGTGAAAATTCGACAATTGCTCAACAACCGACAAGTGAAAAACAACATCTTTTTTCCCTGAGTTAATCCGTTGCGTCCATTTTCAAAAGTCAAAAACATTCATAGGACGAAAAAACACTGACTTATGGAAATTTTTGTTGAGTTTACAGTGAAAAAAGCTGGTTTTTTGAGCTAGAGCAGTATCTATTGAAATCAACTGAAAAAATGCCGAAAAATAATATTTTTAAAGGCACAGGACGAAGGTCAGTTATCGAGTCTCGAGGCGAAAATTCTCAAAAACCGTCCTGGGACTTCAAGAAAAAATCTACAAGATCTACAAAAAACAGCATTCAATAAAAAGGGCAAACTTCAAAAAATTCAGATAGAAGTTTTTAAAGGCACATGACGGGGTAAGAAATCGGGTTTCAAAGCGAAAATTCATAAAAAACTGTCCTGCAACTTCAAAAATCCTTTAAAGCATTCTATGATTAGGCAAAAAGGTTTGGAATGAATTTAACACTAGAAAAATTCAACAATTATCTGAAAGGCAATTTTTTTTAGTGTGAACGGTCTTAAAAGCTAATATTCTTAAAATTCGTTCTGCGCCTTTAAAAAAATCTTTTGAAGAATTTTTGTTAGGCTATTAGGTCCGTGAAAACGACATTTAACACAGGAAAACTTTCAAAAACTCTCTGAAAGACATTTTTTGGCACAATAGGTCTGAAAGCGAATATTCTTCAAAAGCATTACTTTTCTTCAAAAAAAATTATATTCCTGTCATTTTTACGCTATGAAAAAATATTTCAGAAATATACACTACAGTACCTTATACTACACTAAAAATCAACATCAACATGAAAAAAACCAGTCAGAAGGAAAATCTTCAAAAAAACTTGATGAAAATCGTACACCGGTGGTCTCCTGACGGTCGATGGAGCCGGAATGATCGTCGTCCATCTCCTTGTGGATTTCTCCGATCGCCAGGTACCCCAACTTGTCCCGCACCTTCTCCTCTTCCGCCGTCACCACCACATCTTCAAATATATCCAATTTCTTATAAAAATAATAAGTTTTTCTCAAACTTCTCTTGGCTTTCTCCGCCGAAACTGCACAAAAAACCAAAAAGACGGCCAACAACTTCATTTTCCTTCCTTTAAAAATGTTTATCGCATCTGGAAAAAAAAATAACGTCGAAACGTGAAAAAAGGTCATTTTTCGATTCGATGTCGTCGATGAAGATGAGAAAGTTTTTGATAAAACGAAGAGAAGGTGAGACTTTTTCCAGGGGTTTTTTTTTGAGTAGAAGAACCTGTTTCCTTTTGTTTTCTTTGCGACAATGACTGAATTGTGTACTTTATTTGTCGAGGAATGAGGGAATTTTGGAAGAGACGGGTTATTTCCGTTTTCTCGGTACTGAATTCATTACAAAGTTCAAGAAACGACAAATTTTAATGAAAATGAATTCAGTTTCATAGAAATTGATTTTTACTTCGAAAATGGAAAAAAAAATACAGAAGAAAGGGTCTTGAAAGGATAAATATGAGCCTTTTCAGTTTCAAAAAAACCTTAAAGAAAAAAATCTTTTTACTGGCAGAAAAAAAGGCAAGAAAAAAATGAAACGAGTTGAAAAATTTGTACTAAACGTCCAACTTTTTGCCCTTTTTCCCGGTTTTTTTCTCCTTAAAAAAACGTCGAATCATAGCTTTTTTTATAATTTTAACAGAAATACAAGTTCATCTTCAAAAAGACATTGAGAAAAAAATAAGATTATAATGTTTCATACAGGAAGATTAGAAACCAAACTGCAGTTAAAGGAAAAATTTAATAATCAAAAAAATCCGAAAAAAACTGTCCTTCAATTGAAAAATCTCATCAAAAAACTGCTTTTCTCTTCAAAAAATCAAGATAATTTCGATAAAATTCAAGTCAAATAAATAATATTAGGTTCTTAAAGTCAAAAAAATCAGAAAATCTTAATCTTTTAACGATTTCTGCGTCAAGTAGAGTTCCATTTTCAATACTTTCTTATTGATGAGCATTAGATAAGTAAAATAAGCAGGTTTCAAAATTAAATTCAATCGAAAATGCTCCTAAATAGTTCTTTTTTTCTCAATTTGCGACCCCTTTCGCCAAATTTCAAGACCCGCCCCGTCTTGACCATCGAAAACACCTTAAGAAGTCGCAAATACTTCTTAGAAGGAACAGAAAATCGATTCGGAACGGTCCGAAAACCGTTGGCAATGTACAAACGAGGAGGAAAGAGAAAAAAGGGTGACGTGGGCGTTGAAATTTTCGCTTGTGGAAAAACCCGTGTCGCTTTTATAAGAGGATTTTGGTCTTAAAATTAGACGCGAGTTTTCGTTTCTTAAGACGTTGGTCTTTTGATGATTGAAATTGAATCAAATTTTTTCTTTCGAATGGAAAAATTGAATTATGAAATCATTGTAATCGAAAAGAGCCCTCGGGAGAAGTTATGAAATAACGTGAGAAATTTAAAAAATATAAAGTTATTTCTAACTATCTTTTTGAGCAGAAAATAGCTTTAAAAATCTTGCCAGGAAGTTCAAAGGCGTAGAATTCTTGAATAACCCTAAAAATCGCATTCTACTTTGAAATGTGTATGAAGGTCGGCCTATGCTTTTTTAAAGGCTAAAAATATTCATTTTTGAGCACATTTCATGAAGATTACAAGGAAGTAAGTGTCTGTGACCAATAAGAAAACGTATAGACTTGATAATCCTTTTTAGAAAAAAAAACAACAAACCGGAGATCAAAATGAAGAACTACAAGTTCACTTTCTAATATCAGAACAAACTAAATCTATTTGAGAAAAAAGCAAGCTTCAAAAAAAAAAACTTTCACAACTTTCATAGATGGAAAAAGTTTGCTTTTAACAGTTCAGAAGATGAAAAAAACGTCGTCTCTGATAAAAACTGTTCAGAATAGTAGTTACCAAAGGTTCAGCATAGTTTTCAGTCTGAACTTGAACAAGGAAAGTAGCAAAACAGGTTCACTTTCCGAAAAAAAAAGATATAAATTGTCAAAAATCACAATCTTTCACTTTTAAACGAGTCTAAAACGAAAAATTACATCAACCAGCGCTACACAAACATTAAAAATCGACGCCTTTTTGAGCTTTTGCCGCCAGGAAAAGGAAAATAACCCGAGAACAACGATAAAAAGGAAAGAATTTTGCCCCGAGGCGCTTTTTGAAGGCGGCCAGAGACGGAGAGTATCCCAGAGTGGTTACTGGAGGGAATTTCCACGCACACTCCTGCATTTCCATTGTCCCTCGCTTCGTATCTCTTGAAAACGCTTTGTTGCCGGTCCGCCGTCCCCGTCCTCGCCAACCATTTTGCTTCATTTATTTTTTTAGTCAATTTGGACTTTTTAGTGAAAGATGAAGCATGCTTTAGGCTCACTGTAGCTATTTTTCGATAATTTTCCAAACTAGGATAGGATTTTGGGTCTAAAAAAAGTTCAAGGATCTATCCACGTGAAAGTTATGTTTTGATTAAGTGGCTGATGATGTCATTCCTCGCTCGACAAACAGAAATGGTTTAAGAAATGAAACGCGTATTTTTTTTTTCTCAGCTTCTGCAATATTTCTTCAAACCACCATTGAAATTTCCGAATCCAATTGCAAATAATGAGGAAATGAAAAAACCCTTCCATATATCAAACTGAACGGCATGGAAAATGCAAAAAAAGAAAGGAAAATAAGCAAAATAAACGAAGAAAAACAAAAAAAGAACTTTTTCCTAAAAAAAGTTTCTTAATTTGATTACGGTAACTCAGGAAAGATCATATTTTGTGAACATTGGCACTAGGAACTAATTTTTTTCTTACAGTAAAAGCAAATTTTTGGTGTTTGGTGTTTTCTTTTTTTGACCGTCTTTTTTTTGCGTTTTGAGCTTATTTTTTTATCAATTTTCATTAATATTGTTGTTTGAAAAATGATAATTGCCATTAAAAACAGAGACGAAAGGCAATTTTCGTTAATTATATGTAATTTTATTACAACTAACTTACATCTTCTTGTAAAGTCTGTTTTCAGAAGTTTTTTGTTAATAAATATAATTATTCTGGCGTTTAGAAGCTTTTCATCGAGTGAAAACTTTTTTTCAAAACTTCAAAGCTCGAAAACTTTAAATATCATCATTTTTATCGAGGTAGGAGCGAATTAAAAGTGTTCGCACTTTAAAATAAGTCATTTTCCAGTTGGTTTCCCACAATCACTGGCCGATTATGAGCTTCACTTTGTCACCATGCGCGCCCCAATGAGAACCGATTTTCGGCTGTTTTCTCTAGCCCTCTACAATATTTGTTTGTCTCTCGCTTCCCTCTCGCTCGTCGCCTTTTCTCAGAGCCCCGTTAGGATCGCAAATGAATATATATTAATTCCGCTTTTTTTTGCCTCTCTGGAGAATTTTCCCACGAATTTTGTTCAGAAATTTAAGCAGTCTTGAGATTTTCAAGGCTTTTTTCGTTCAAAATGTCGGCAACTTTTCAGATTGAGAAATTTTTCGACATTTTCGGATTTTTTGCACTTTTTTCTGGCATTTTAGGTCATTAGAAACGCGTTGAACCATATTTCTCGCCTAATTTTTTTTTCCTGCTCACTTGTTTTTTACCCATGTTTTTCATTAAGCTTGCTCAGTCTTGCGCGAAATCGCATTTTCTTTAGTTTCGCGTAGATTAAAGGTAGGAAGTAAGCCAGGAAACACTTTTTTTTTCTTCAAAAACCTTTGAAATTAAACCGTAAAAATTCTTCTGTACCCTTTCTGCAGTAGCTAAAACAGAAAATTTCACTTTTCGAAGCTTTTTAGTAGACTTTTTCGACGATCAGACAACTTTTATGGCCTTTCTTCAAGCCAAGAAGACCACCAAGTCTTTTAGACGGATTTTACGACTTTGCATGACTTTTAACCCTGTTGGGAAGTTTCAGAGACGGCTTTATTACTCCCGCTTCACGTTTTTGGTACTTGTGTGTTAAGAGTTTATGAGCTGAATCTCGCGTCATTTGAAATTTCTTAGAAAGTCATTTTCGATTTTGAAACTCATAGGATAAAAGCTTTATGTGAAACTATAACGCGATTTTCGATTTTTCTGAAGTTTTTTTTTCGGATGATTTCACATCCTCAGGCTTTTAGTGAGCCGTGTAGAAAGTTTTCAATGATGAAAAAGCCTCCTAGATCCATCTGAAACCTTCGAAAGCTTTTTCAAAATTTTAAGCTTTCTGAGGGCTTCTGAGCGTTCCCATCTCTTGTAGGAGTTCTTTCAAAGGCTCAACAGGTTCAAGACTTCCAAAAATTCTATTCTGAGCTTTTGAGGATCTTTTAGATGATTTGAAGTTACTCTGAAAGTTTTTAAGATCATTAAGGGGATCAAAAAAAGAAATCAAAACTTTTGGAAGGCCCTAAATATTGGCTTGAAGTTTTTGAAGGTTTTCGATACTGTCTGTTAGATTTTTGATTTACAGTGGAGCTATTATGTGTTAATTTTAGAATCCTAAAACTGATTTTTGGAGGTTTTTCAACCTTTTAGTCCTTCAGTATAAAATATACAACTTCAGAAAGTCTTTTTCAAAGTTTGGAAATGCTCTCAAAGATCCCAGAGTAGTTTTTAGATCATTTTAAACTTGGAAAAAAGTGACTAAAACCCTCAAAATTAAGATTTTTGTTCAAGAGAGTCAGACAAGGATGGTCATTTTACTTCGCGGTTGGGAATTTTCTGAAAATTGGCTAGAATACTCCGTGATGTACCAGAAGAAGATTCTGAAAGTCTCAACCTGCAAAACTTTCTCGTTTTTGAGAAAGGACACGTCAAAATCCATAAAAATTGGCTTATTTCTCGAAAACTAGGAAGTTGTGCAGGTTGAGACTTTGTGGATCTTCATCTGGTACATCAAGGAGTATCCTGGCCAATTTCCAGGAAATTCTCAACCACAAAGTAAAATGACCTTTCTTGTGAGATTTTCAGGCTTTTAAAAGCTCTAAGGTTGTTTTCCACTTTACTTAGACTATCATAACACCTAACCCTATACAAAAAACAAAAAGAAAAGAAAATTTTGGCTCAAAAATTAGCAACAAGTCGGAAAGGGAAGACTGTTTTGGTTGCATTCGCGCCCCACGGCGACGCCGACGGCCGAATTCCTCTCTCCGCGCGCATTTTTCCCCCCTGGTCGGTCTGTCGGTTGGGGGTTGGTTTTTTTTTTTGGTTGGTTCGTTTTCCTTTCTTTCTCCCCGCTCCCGAAATCGATTCCCACGATTTTTGTGTCGTTTATGGTCAGGAATAATTTGCCTAATTTGACAAGTTTTTCTCACTTTTTCCATTTTTATCGCTTGATCTGACTCGAAATGTTATTTGATAGTTGAGAAAAATCGAGAATTTTTTTCAGAAGACATTTTTTTGACTTTAGAGCTGTTTTTTTGACAAAGTTATGGTTTTAAATTGAAAAATTAGAGCTTTTTCAATAAATTGGAAATTTGAGAGTCCTTCCTTGAGCTAGAAGCGTTAAGAACTTGAAGAGAAAATCTTTTTGATTAGAAATTTCAGCTTTTAGAGTTTTTTTCAATGATTTTCTGTTCTTTTTGAGGCATTTTTTTTTGTTGTTATTTTCTGTCGCTGCAGATCTCATAAGGTTTTTGAAAAGTTCAAAAAAATTTTTCCTTCTTTCATCTTGAATGTTTTTTCCGAACTATTTATGGTTGTTCAACCCTTTTTAAGACCCCAATTAACATTTTCAAAGAGTTTCTAAATAATTAATGATTTTTTTGATCGCTTATTTGTGCTTTATTTTTTTGGAAGATCAAGCATTTCATTTTTTTAAATCATTAGAATTATGAATTTTCGTTCTGAAAAATTTGCTTTTTTTCCATTGAAAGACTTTTTTTAAGAATATAATGCTTCTTCAGCCAATTATGCCTTTGAAAGCTGAAGTGATATTTATATTTTCAAGGCTTTTTTTGGTCATTTCTGATTTTTTTAATCGCTAATCTGTTTGTAGTAGTAAACAATGGTGCGATTTCAACGTTTCAATTTCTTTCTTTTTAATGGATTTTTCAGTTTTTTTAGTTGCATTATATTTTTTTAATAAATAAGGTATTTTTTTCAGCTTTTTTTGCATGTCTTATTAAGGATTATTCATTGAGAATTTATTATTTAGTTGTTTTATACTTGAATTTTTTTCTTGAAACTGCTTTCTTTAAAGTTAAAAAAAGATTAATCGTTTTTTTGAACTTATTTGGCTTATCGGCATAATGCTTGACCAAAAATCGTTGTACTGGGAAAAACTTTTAGTGACCACTATAGAGGCTTGCCAAGGACTACTTGGAGAGGACACTAAAGTGGCCACTGAACCCACCCCTATAGTGACCACTTCAGTAGTTTTTCATCCAGTATTCCTTCTAGTAACTCTGATAATTTTAAAACAAACAGATTAGACCAGTTATGTTGATCCATTGACCCCTAAAGTGGCCACTAATTTTTAACCCCTTAAGTGACCACTAATTTGATTACTATAGTGGCCACTAAAACGTCAAAAACCTATAAAGGCCCCTAAAAAATGTTCCCAGTTATTTCCGCTAGTAATTAACCCTATAATGGGAGCCTTTGCCTCTACTACAATACAAATAACACTTTTTCAAATATTTTTGCCTTTCCCGTTCTCATCGCTCGTTCACACTATAAACGACGGGTTTTGATCGACTTGAGAACCATATTCATCACCAAAGTGCAAATTTTTTGCCCACTTGAAAGGCAATTTCTACCGCCGACATGATCCGGCTCGCGCACTGTCAACGGTTGTCGCACCTAATTTGGAATATTCGGCCCGTTCCCTCGCCCCTTGGGCACCCAGGGGGCGTGTCCTCCCAAGAGGATACCTTTTGGGTTCATTCATTAACCATTCTTCCGGTCGTTACCGGTTGGCTCTCCACAGAGTCTTTTTTATTTCTTGTTTTCAGTGTTATTTATATTTTTTAAAGGCTCTATTGCTTTTTTGAGCCTTCAGTAGGTTCTTAAAAACTCATTGTAACAACTCAAAATGTTCTGAAATCTTTTTTCCCCCTTTATAACATTTTTTCAAAATTTTGCCACTTTTCCTGTCGTTTTTCACTGTCACTAAAGTGCTTTTTTCGATTTTCTGAGTTTAAATTTCACTTTTTTACTTTCTTTCAAAGTTTATACTTTCTGATTTAACACAATTTTCGACTTTTCAGTTTTTTGCATTTTCTCGAAAGCTTTTTGTTTGAAATATTCCAATTATTTCAATTATTTTTATTCCCTTTACTGTTTCTAAAGTTTTTTGAGTTTCTCTAGATCGTTTAAAATTTTTACTTTTTTATTTTAACATAATTTTCGAGTTTATAGTTTTTTGCATCTTCTTGAAAGCTTTTTATTTGAAATCTTCCTTTTTTCAGCAGCCATGGACGCGGACGAATCCGCGGACCATCACATTTTGAGCGTCCGGCAGGGCTTACATGGTTGGTTTTCATTATTTAACTATTCATTGTCTTTTTTTTGAAATTCCATGTCAATTTGGTCCGTTTTGAGATGATTTTGTCGATTTTTGTCCGAAAAATGAGTAATTTTTGAGTTGAGAAAGGAATTTATAGCTATTTGGGGCTTTACTTGGGGTTTTTTTTCAGGTTTATATTGAATTATTAAATGATTTTAGGGTTTTATCGAAATTTCAAAATGTTTTTTTTTTGGAAATCATCAGACTTTTTTTATAAGTTTTAAAAATGAAAAAGACTTGAAGAAGGTTTTTTTCGGTAGTATTTTAGCAGGGAATTTTTATTTTAAGATTTAAAAAAATGATTTTTGAAATTTGAAATTTTTACATGTCATTCCAATATTAGAAGTGCTATTAAGAATATAAAAATTTTGATAATTTTTTTGAAAAATTTTTTTAGTTTCCACTCAAATTCGATGATATAATGTTCAAAGTAATTACCGCGAAACGCAAAATTATCTCTGACTCTCCAAAATTTAGTTATCTTTTTTCACTCTCTGACGGCAATTTCGAATTTCCATGACACTTTGTTCACGTTTCCATCCTCGATTTTTCAACCCTTATTTGAACAAGAGTTCACTGATATCGATTGATGCGGCCAGCATCGCTGACTGATTTTTATCGCCAGGCGGCGATAAAATTGAAAAGAAGAAAAAAAGAACGTGAAGTTTGACAAATAAGGGCAATCGGGTGTATCAGCTTGAAATTTTGAGGGCTTTTTGGTAGTTTTTGAACAATTTATTGGGTGAAAATGGAGTTTTTTTCGCAAGTTCCATATGATTTTGAGGCTAGAAAGGGCTTTTTTTTCCGATTTTTTTAGAGTTCTGTGGAAGTTTTTAGTTCAGAAATAAGAAAAGAGGGTTAATTTACGACTTTTGAAGATTATGAAAAAAATAAATTTTTAGTGGTATTTTATGATTTTTCAAGAAGATGGTAGAAGCAAGTAGTGCAAATTGGGTTCAAAATGGGTTTTGAGGGCTTTTTGGCAGTTTTTGAACAATTTATTGGGTAAAAATGGAGTTTTTTGCAAGTTCCATATGATTTTGAGGCTAGAAAGGGGGTTTTTTTCCGATTTTTAGAGTTCTGGGAAAGGTTTTGGTAGAATTTTGAAATATTGGGTAATTTACGACTTTTAAACATTATGAAAAATAGATTTTTGGTGGTATTTTATAAATTTTTGAGAAAATGGTATAAGAAAGTAGTGCAAATTGGGTTCAAAATAAGTTTTGAGATTGTAAATTTCCAATTTAAGGTATGTCTTTCACTAGATTTTGTCAAATTATCAATTTTCCAAAAAAATTGATAATTTTTTTAATTTACAGTATATTTTTGCATTACCAAGGATCGTTGAACTTCAAAAAAATAGTATATTTTTTCCTTTAAAAGTGAAAAAAAGCGATTTTTGCCTTAGTTTTTCCCTCCAACTCTATTTGCCAGTACAAATAAGAACTGTACGATTGCGTGATTGATGGAGGAAGCTGACGAATACATAGAAGTCGTCAATTATGAATGACAGCGGCGGCGGCGGAGGACCTAGTGAAACGGGAAACTCATGTAGCGAACGCTCCTTTTTTTTCTCATTCATTTTCTTCGTCTTGGCGCTTTCCAAACGCTGTTGCCGACACCAGTTGCGTGCGTCCGTTTGCCCCAAATATCGAAAAAGGGACAAAGATTTTTTTCTGAGGAGGAAGAAAAGTTGCAGGGAATTTTTGACGGGTTATATTGATTTAGAAAAAGAAGGAAGCTATTTCCAGTAGATTTTTAGCTTTTAGTGAGAAATATATTTTTATGAATTCGAATCTAGACATTGAGAGTTACAATTCTACCGGTAACCTATCCAAAAAAAATTTTTTTAAGTTCCTTCCTCGTTTTTTCGGACCTTAAAATGACCCGATCGCTCTTTTTTTCACCTTCTTTCGTTTTTTTCCTTCTGTTTGAGTGAATGGGGCTGTCCGCGAAATGCTCTTGTGCTGTTGCTTGCGTCAATAGACGGGTCATGGACCATCCGAGACGAAAAAAAAAGTAGAAAAAAAGAGTGGACCTTTCCATTTGAGATTTTTTTTTTGTTTAGAAGAAGTTTTAATGGATAATTAATATAAATAATAAGGAGTTATGAGCTTGGGAAGAAGAGAATGAGAGAGAAAGTTACTAAAGTCACTTGCTTTGAACTTGTTTGGAAATAAATTATTTGAAGCCGGATTTTTCAAGGTTGTCGTGAGACTTGCGCATTGTCCGCAAAAGAATGTGTGTGCACAGAATTCGAACCTACTGTAATATTTTCTCAAAAAAATTTTTGGGATTAAAAAAATTATTTTTTTGCAAAAAAATCGAGTTTTTCTCTAAAAATTTTGAATAAAAGTTCATTTACAGTAGCTTTCTGAAGTGTTTCAAAAAGCCATAAACTGATATGACCGAAATTAAAACGGAAAAAAATCTGAAAACAATTTCTAATAACCTTTTTTTCAAATGTTTTTTTTAAAGTTTTTAGATAGAATGATTGGGTTAAAAAAATTTTTAAATTTCAGAATTATTTGGACCGTTTGAGCAGTTTTGCGACCGAGTTCAAAAAAAGTACAGCATGGAGTTGCACAGGTTCGTTGATTTTTGCTTTATATATTTCACTCTGTTTGTTTCAGTCAGGGTTTTTACCTGTTGGCCGGGCAAGCCCCTCAGTTGCTGGCGCTTCGCCAATGCACATGCCAGTACCTGTTCATTTGGCCCTTCAGGTGAATTTTTGACAATTCTTTAAAAGTTATAATATCTAATTCAGAGCATGAGAAATTTGGTTGACGAGCCCCTCTCGTCATTACCACCATCCCTGCCGATTTTGAAAGCTGCCAAGAGAGATAGAGTTTGTCTTCTTTCCAAGTTTTAATATAATTTGATTTTTTTTCCAGCAAGATTACCTTAACACGGCACCAAGCTCTTCACGTGCTCCCGATGCCGTAGAATCTACGGAAAATGATCGATTTTCGGAAGAAGCCAGAAGGAAACGAAAACGAGATCGGCAATATAAAGAGCATAGTGATGTCGATTCGGATAAGTAGGAATTTATTTGAATTTCAAAAGTTCATATTTCTGTTCTAGTGATCGTCGGAAAAGGGTCCGCCAAGCGGAAAACCAAGAAACGAATTCGGATTATGATGTCGTCGCCCTGCGAGAAAATCGACAGCGAAACCATCATGTCAGCTCTCCGGCCATAGCGAATGGAAGTTTGCTCCGACGCGGAAGCGATCATTACATTCAGTCGACGTCTTACAAGGTTTTCCCCATTGATTTTTGAAAAATAACAAAGTTTCAGGGACCCCCCGACAAGAACTGCTTGACCAATGGAGATTCCGGTTCACAGGCGGCCATCAGCCCCGATTCTGGCGTCCATTCGACGGAAAATGATCCCGACCAGTGTGATGAGAATCATTCTGTCGAGAACATGCTCAATATCATGATGTTAGTTGTTTTTTTTTTTATTACTGTGTTTTATCAAAAATAACTCACACGAAAAAAATTTTGGTTATATTTTATTTTTCTGTCAAATTTCCTTTCCTTTGTTATAGTTCCATGTAAACTTGTGTGTTCTGAGGGATTTTAGTGGCCCCGATAGGGTTGGGGACGAAAAAGTGGTCCCTATAGGGATCAAATCAAGGTGGTCTCTATAGGTGTTCAGAGTCTGACCCTTAGCTTCTAAAGCTTAAGTGGTCCCTATAGGGGTCTCTCAAAAAAATATTCAAAAAAACGCTTATTAATTCACTCTTTCGCATCTGAATGCTTCTACTCATAGATTACATAAAAATTATCGACTATCATCTTCATTATAGGGGTCACTAACTAAAAACCCCATAGTGATCACTTTGGCAAGCTTTATTGCTCCTTTATGGGTTGGTAAAGTGGTCCCTAATGCTGCCCCTACAGGGACCACTCTGGGGTTTCTAAAATAGTACAGAATTTTTTCAAAATTTTATTCACTCAATTTTTGCGGTTGATCAACGATTTATATAAATACTTGAAAGTTTAGACTCTAATTATTATTTATTTGCTGGAAGGGTCGAAAAAAAGTCAATAGTCCTGAAATTTCTTTTGATAATTTTTAAGGTTCGAGCCACCACCACAACTGTCGCCAATTCGCGAAAGACCGACGGATAAAGTCGCCGAATGGCAACGAGAGAAAGACAAACATGAGGAGGATGAACGACGAGCCAAGGAGCGCGAAAGGGAGGAAAGGAGGAAAGCTGCGGTAAAATCTTCAAAAGTGATTCCAAATATACTGTGAACATTTCCAGGAGAAGGCTGAACAAGAACGGAAAGCGCTCGAAAGATTGGAACTGGAGAGAAAAGAGACTGAACGAAAAGAACAAGAAAGGAAGAAGCAGGAGAAGAAAGAGCAAGAACGACTGAAAGCCGAAGCCCTGGCAGCACGGGAACGACGTCACTCCGGTGGATCGGGCTCCTCGAAATCCAGTGGCTATGAAAAGCGCAAGGAGAAGGATAGGAGTGCCAAGGACAAGGCGAAGGAGCAGAGGAGGAAGGAGCGAGGTTTTAGAATGATCTTCATCTTGGTTCTATTGTTGATGTTTAGAAAAAGAAAAAGCTCGCGAGGAAGAGGAGAAAAAGCGCAAGGAGAAGGAGAGAAAACGAAAGGAGGAGAAGGAGAAAGAAGAAAGGGAGAAGGAGCAGAAGGAACAGAAGAAAAAGGTCCCTGAGGTGACTTTTTGCCATTCATTTGGTCTAAAATGGTCTAGAAGCTGTATATATTCAAAAGTGCGAAAGAAAAAAAACTTTAAATAATTTTTTCAGCCCGCCTCCAAGAAGAACGTCGTCGCTTCCAAGACGGAGACTTTCGCCGCCCAGCAAATGAAAAAGAAGGAGAAACACCGCCTGAAAGACCTCACGGCCATGACGTCATCCTCGTCGTCGTCCGGCTCCTCGGTAGCTTCTTCGGCGCCTGGCTCCAGAAGTCCGACCCCACGATTGCCCTCTCCCCTCTCCAGACCTTCAACAGCTGGCTCAGAAGTCAAAGGAGGCAAGATCAGCCTGGAAAACATCGCCCCCGACAGAATGGCCAAACTCGTCGAACTCGCCAAAAAGCACGGTCGACTGAGGGAACCACTGAAAGAGAGAAAGAAGCCCGCACCTGTCGAGGAGAAGCCCAAGATCAAGGAGAAGGAGAAAGAGAAGAAGCCGAAGGAGAGCGAGCAGGAGAAGAAGGAAAAACCCAAGAAGAAGGAGGAACAGAAGGCGCCGCCACCGAAGAAGGAAGCTAGTCTCGAGCCGAAGGCTGTCACTTCATTGAGACCTGCGGTTGGTTTTTTTTAGGGTCATTTTAACTTTCTTCCGAACCTTTGAACCTATGTTGAATCCTGAGAATGAATGGAAGCTGGAAAGTCTTAAGAAGGCCTTGCCAAGGTGTTCAGAAGGTAGTTGAACGGTTAAAAAATGAAAAGGCTTCTGGAAGGTAGGTAGAGGTGGGAGGGTATGTGAAAGACGTTTGACCACTTGCTGGTAAGCTTCCTTTTCCTTCCGAGAAACCAAAAGCTTCCGAACTCAAATCATTCTTGTTTCTTTCCAGTCGAGCCTCAACGTTCCATCACCCCGCCCGTCGTCGTCCCTGTCGGAAGCTCAAGGCTGGGCTCCGTCATCCCTGTGTGCAGTGACGCCGAACACGTCGGTCTCGAAGACGTCGACGCCCCGACCCGACAGCAGCGCTTCCCTGAGCAGCGGCAGTGCGATGAAGACGACGCCTCCGCCGACAACGACGATGGCCCCGACGACGTCGGCCACCCGATCTCACTGGACCTGCTGCTGGCGCAACGCCCGACCAACCGAGGCTCAAAGGCTACCCGTCCCCGAGCCCGGCGCCGACAAGTATACGTTCTTCAACAAGATCGGCAAGGAGCACAAACATCGCGGAGATCGTCAGGTTTGAATAATTTTCCGTTGAAATCTAGGCATTTTTTTTAATCCTTTAAGTGAGCCCTTAAGTGGTAGTCGCGTTTTTTAGTGTACGTACATAATTCAGAATAACTTGATCAAAGAACTTTTTGCAAATTAAGGGACTTTTTTCTAACTAAAAAAACGAAAATAAAACTTAGAAATTCCAGAGTGGTCCCTATAGGGTTTAGGATGGGTCCCCTTAGCCCCTAAGGCTCAAGTGGATCCTATAGGGGTTTTTCAATTTCATTCAAAAAGCGCTTGTTTTTTTTTTCCTATGGTAATGCTCCCCTATAGGGGCCACTAACTAGAACCCCTATGGGGACCACTTTTGCAAGCTTTAGTGGCCCCTATAGGGATCGGCAAAGTGGTCCCTAAGGTCGCCTCTATAGGAACGAAGAATGTAGAATAGTTGGCTACAATTAAAATCACAAGATCCTGGTATTTTTCAGCCGAACAAGACGATCCGATTGCTCGACTACCTGGAGGCGACTGTTTATTTCGTCGCCGCCGTCTTCAAAGGCAGAGTCACCGGCCAGCAACAGTACAGCACTCTGAGAGAATCGACCGAATTCTTGAGGTTTCCAGGATTTTCAAAATGAAAAAAAAAATCAAATTTTTGTTCCAGACATGCTGCCCTGAACATTCTGAAAGCGACCAACGACCCGCAGGCGATGCACATGATTCCCCGCGTCAAGATTCTCTCTCAAGTCGCTCTCTCCAGCCTGCATTATCATTGCTATCTGCTTCGCAAAGAGGTGGGAAAATGAACTGAAAATTGAAAAGAATGATTTTCAGCAAATCCACAAGACCCAACGGTCGCTCGACAAGTATGAACGCCAGCTGGTCAAGGAGCTGACCGGAAACGCCGCCTCGACGCCAAAACCCAACGGAATCGCGCCACCGCCACCACCGCCGCCGCCCCAGGCGAATCGTCTGGCTGCCGTCGCCGCGACTGCTGCCCCGGTCTCGTCGTCGTCGTCGCCGACCACGGCTGGCACCACGCCGAACGCCAATGTTCCGTCGCCCGCTAGCTCGAATGCTGGCGCCAATCCGGCTCCTTCCACTACTTATGTCCGTTTTTGAAGAACTTGCGAAGCTTTTTAGATAAAGCTTGGCTCTCAGAAAGGGTTTTAAGCAAAAATATTCATTCTCTCGTCTATCTTTCCAAAACTTATGTTCGTTTTTGAAGGTCGAAGAGCATTTTGAAGAACTTGAGAAGCTTCTAGACATAATTTGGCTCTCAAAAAGGTTTTTAAGCAAAAATATTCATCCTCTAGGCTAGCGTGAATTTTTCCACTACTTGTGTCCGTTTTTAAAGCTTTCGGAGTTATTTTAAAGAACTTTTTAGACATAATTTGACACTGGAAAAACATTTATTCTCTCAATCCTTACACTGCTCATTTTCCTTCTCAGCCCTCTACATTAAGCTGAACTTTTTTCCTAATAAAAATTCATTAAAGCTTGCTATTTTCCAGGTTCTGGTCAACACCTGCATGGTTGAACTGTACCGTCAGCAAATGCGAATCTTTTACACCACTCTGGCCGCTGATCAGTCAGTCTTTCCCATTGCTTCCTCAATTATTTTTCATTTTTTCAGGTTCTGGGCTGACTCCAAGAAGCTATCTGCGAGCGTGGATCCCGAGTTTTTGAAGGGGTTTGGACGAACTTAGATTGATTTCTATTGATTCGATGATTCCAGAATCGAAACGCTGTGCGATATTCGGATCTCCCACGACTGCAGTGTCGACGTCTTGGCGGCGACGATTCTGACGGGATCCGCGTGGCTGAAGGCCGAACACGAAGCCGAGATTAAGCTCCAGCAGCCGTCGTTGAAGAAGGTTTGTGAATTATTCGAAAAAATGCGAATTTCATAGATTTTTGAGCACTTAGGCCATACATTTTTGATTTCTTCTTCCAAGTTTTCATAAAACATTATTATAGTCCGTTCAGATTTTGAATGTCCAGTAGAATGGCGTCATTTGAAAACGCTCTCTGATTGGTTTATCGCGCCATTAGGGGGCGGAGCTTGTGAAATCTGAACAGACTATACACCTCCCTGAGGCTGAAAATTGTATTAATGAGCTCCCCGAGGTTGAAAATGGATCCCTAGCGTCCCTGAATTCTCGTAAATCCCTCCTCCCGGGATGAATTAGCTCTGTACTTGCCCATCTACGACTGAGACTCTCAGAATAACTTTTTTAACGGTTCCAATGACTTCCTTTTCATTATCAACTTCCTTGATTGAAAAATATTCCTCTTATGAATTGACTTTCTTCAGGTCCGCGCCGCTTTCGACGTCTCCTTGACGATTGGCCAGTTCCAAACGGTTCTGTCGATGATGCCGCCGGCGCAGACGCTCCAGGCAATGATGTCGGCTCCGCCGCCGCCGCTGCCTCCGCCCTTGCCTTCCCAGCCCCCACCGCCACCCCCGCCGCCACCGCCACCACCACCTCCGATGCCTTGATTTTGACTTTTTTTCGGGTCCTGTTACGATTTTTTTCCGCTCCAACTTGTTACTTTTCCGAAAAAAAGTAAGAAAAATTGAACCAGCTTCGCTTCAAAACCTTTGCTGACTTTTGATCTGAAGAAATACGGTATTTTGACCGAAAAGTGACCATTTGGCGCGGAATAGACTGTACTTTCCTATCATTGATTGAGCCATTGTAGTTTTTCGAGGTGTGGCGACCTTTTCAAGCCCGACATTAGCCTAGGATGAGAATCTCATTTTTTTTTAATAATCTCAATCGCCACACCTTCCCCTATTGCCTGAATTTCACTGTGAATAGTAATTTTTCTTCTACCGTGCCAAATTCTTGTTAATTCATCCATTTTTTTCGTTCTCTGTTCATTCACTACACCCAACGGGTTTTTTTTAAAATAATTCTCCTCCCTCAAATCTTAGTCCTCGATGCGTCTCTTGACGACTGTGATTCCTTCCCGAAACGCTTAGAAAATGATTTTCGCCGGTTTTTTTCCTTGTTTCCTAGGCAAATTGATTGATCTTTTTTTCCAACCAATTGGCGGGCCAATTTTTCTTTTTCACCCTCAACTCGTGCTGCTAAACGAAAACTGTGATTTGTTGAATTTTCGTTGTGATTCGTATTTTTTTTTCGATTGCTCAACTCGTGGTAGACTATGTCAAATTTAGCGTAATCATGTTTTTATTTGTAATAATTTTTCTTGTTTTTGATTGTTTCTGAGGCGATAATACAGTATCATACAATATTTATCATCTTTGATCTGGGTACAAACAAGAATTCTCCAATCATATGTTTATTTATTATCATATTTGTCTTTTTCTCGTCTCAATGGGTCAATCCACATAGAATCTTTCAAAGAGAATATTGTTCTTCTTTTTCTTCCACTCCCTCATTCAAAAAAATATACAGAAAACGTGTAAAAAAATGTTTTTTTTTTCTTCTCTTTCATGCCTATAAATTGTTTGTTTTATCGAAATTGTTCTTTTGGAAGAAAAAGTTGAGTCGATGCGCAGCTAATACTCATAGGACGAGATACGGAGGGCGGGCCCAGCGACGGCTGAACACCCGCTTCTCGTGTCGCAACGAGAAGGCGGCGTTGCGGAGCGGGTCCGTCAGAGAATAGGTACATAGACAGGTCTCTCCGATGTTTCTGGAAAATTATCGATTTTCTTTCTTGATAATGACGTCATTTTTGAAATTATTTTAATAGGATTCATGTAAGAAACTTAGAACTGAAATTGCGGGCTAGCTAGAGAGAGAGAGAGCATGGAAAATGGAGAGACGCAGAGAAATAGTTTCGCGGGCTAGAGAGAGAGAGCATCGAAAATGGAAAGACGCTGAGAAAGTTTGTTTCTCTGTTACCTCTCTACTTCTAATACTCTCTCGCGAGATCTCGCCTATGCCTCAAATACCTGTAAATTTATCGATTTTTTTTTCTTGATAATGACGTCATTTTTGATCTAGGAAACTTTTAAAACTGAAATTGCAGGCTAGCGAGAGAGCATGGAAAATGTAGAGACGCAGAGAAATTATTTCTCTTTTGCCTCTCCACCTCTAATACTCGCTCGCCTATGCCTTCAAAACCTGTGAATTTATCGAATTTTAATCAGAAATATTCCTTGTTTTTTAGTGATGACGTCATTTTTCGGAAATCTCCAAGTGGCCCCTACAGGGCTTGCAAAAAAAAAACTCACTCGTACTTGTAATTTCGTAGAAAGCATATCGCAACGCTGCCAGGGAAGCATCTTCGACAAATCTGAAAAAAAGGTTTTTTGATTAAAAGTGGCCACTTAAGGGTTTCCAGTTCTAGTAATCCAGGGCAATGAGACGGCAAAAAAGTGATTTTCGATAACCTCTTAAGGGATCGCTTAGAGCATCTTCAAAAGCTGCCTAGTTTTCGATGTGAGGATACAAATAGTGACCACTTAAGGAAGGCTTTGAAGTGACTGCTTAAGTACCTGCTCACAGACGATCGCCTCATTCAGCTTGAGAATCGACGGCGAATAGACTTTCTCGTCGCATAGTTGGTTGGGAAACGTCCGGTTGACCTCCGAATGGACTTGTCGGTGCTTATCCTGCAAAATATTGCTCATTTTACGCACCTATTTCTCATATTAGTCACACCTGATGTCGGTGTTTATTCTGTATAAAATGGGCGTGGTCAGCCAATCAGTGAACTTTAGTTGGCTAGCGCGCTTGAAACAGTCTGACCTGTCTGCACTCTCCTCTCCCTCACATGCGAGGTCATAGAAACGTGGAAATAGCATGTAAAAGTCAGAGGACGCAGAGAAGTCAGACTTTTCAATTTCTTTGAGGTGGAACGCTCTTTTTTTGCGAAAAATTAAGAAGCTTTTTAAAAAAAATTTTCAGGGTATATTGCTCATTTTACGCACCTATTTCTCATATTAGTCACACCTGATGTCGGTGTTTATTCTGTATAAAATGGGCGTGGTCAGCCAATAAGAGAAGTTTTGGCTAGCGCGCTTGAAACAGTCTGACCTGCCTGCACCCTCCTCTCTCTCACTTGAGAGGTCATAGAAACGTGAAAATAGCACAGGAACATAAGAGGGCGCAGAGAAGTCAAACTTTTTCAAGTTGTTTTGAAAAATAAAGCTTCTTTCGGAGGGAAAAAATGGAAAAGCTTCATCGAAACGAATTTTTTTATTGCTCATTTTACAACCATATTGCTCATCCTACCCTCACCTGATGTCGCTGCTTATTATGTTAAAAAAAGGGGCGTGGTCAGCCAATTAATGGTTGGAAAAATCACCTTATTTAGAAGGGAAAAAATGGAAAAACCTTCTTGAGACTATTTTCGTGCTGTATTGCTCATATTACGCCCACATTGCTCATATTAGGAGAAGTCAGACTTTTTCAAGTTTTATTGATAGCAGTTTTTTCGAAGGGGAAGAATAGAAAGCCTTCTTGAAACAAGTTTTTTATGTATTGCTCATATAACGCCCATATTGCTCATCCTACCCTCACCTGATGTTCGTCCGTCAGGTACCAAGGAATCCGCCAACCTTCGGCTAGTGAAGCTCGAGCCTCATCACTGACTTGCTGATCGACTTGATCCATTTTGTGTTTTGCTGAAAAATTCACCTTTCAGTATGGAATCTACTGAGCTTCATTCCCCACGTCTGACCTGTCTGCGCTCTCTTTTTTCTCCCCTGCGAGGTCAGAGAAACTCGAAAAGAGCGCTTCAAAAATAGAGAAAACAGAGGTGTCAGATTTTTTCAAGAGTAGTCGGTTTCAGGGAAGTTTTAAAAGACCCGCAGACTTTCCAAAAAATGTTCCTCCTGCCGAGAGAGAATTTTTCTACCTGATCTACTGCTAATGACAATTTCGCAGTGCTCTTCGTCGCTGACGTCATCAACCACCTCGATGACGTCACCATCGACGAGTAGTGACGTCATCAAAACGAAAAGGCAGGCTGTCGACAGATGGAAAAGCATATGCGGACGAAACTGAAAAAATAAGGTTTTTTTCATTAAAAAAATAAAGAAATTTTTAAAGGCGCAGGGCGTGGCCTGCGCCTTTAAGTTTTATGAAAAAAATATTTTTTTATTTTTTTATGAATTTTTTTGAGAAGTAGAGGCTAAATAATGAAAAGAAGGTAAACAGCAAAATGAGAACTTCTGAAAAATTTTTTTAAAGGCGCAGGGCGTGGCTTTGCTCTTCCTATGCGCCTTTAAATTTTCATGAAAAACGGTCTTCAAAAAAAGAGAGGCTCAAGGCGCTATAATAAAGTTTAAAAAAATATCTTGAGTTAGAAGTTCTGGAAATTTTTAAAGGCGCAGGGCGTGGCCTGGCTCGTCCTATGCGCCTTTAAGTTTGAAAATGAAAGAAAGAAAAAATTAAAAATAAAAAAGGGAAAAAATGATAGACTACCGCGGAATAAATATAAGCCGTTTTAAGAAAGTTAAAATGATGGCTTCTCAAAAATTTAAAGGCTCAGGACTGGCCATATGCGTCTTTAAAGTTCAGAAAGAGGTCATGAAAATTTTCTGGAAGCCTCAAAATAAAAAAAACTAAAGTTTAGGCATACATTTGAGCAGCTCAAAAAAAGATAACTAGAAGTTTTAAAAGCACAGTGCGTGCTATAAAAATGATGGGAATAAACAGATAATTTTCCCTTAAAAACCATGTAATTAACCCGTTTCATTTCCTTGTTAGCCAATAACAAAACTATACACTTTGGCCAGAAATTGGAGGTTAACTCAGGAGTTCCTGTCCTCCTTCGCAAAGGATCCCTTCCTCTGTTCGTGAAATATAGATGAGTAATGAAGATTGATGATGTTTCCCCTGTCTGGCACTTTTCCAAATTTGTTCATCCTGATGCTATTTTGGGATTTCTTGATGTGGAAGGCCAACCGTTGGGGCGTTGATTTCACTCAAGTGGCCACTTCAAGAATTCTTGAAGTTGTTGAATATACGAAAAAAATTTAGTGATCACTATAGAGCTTGACTTTCTGGCACTTTTCCAAATTTGTTCATCCTGATGCTATTCTGGGATCTCTTGGCGTGGAAAGCGAACCGTTGTGGCGTTGATTTCACTCAAGTGGTCACTTTAAGAAGTTTAATGATATTTTTGTGAAATGAAGTTACTGAAATACTTTCAGTGGTCACTTTAGGGTTTTCACTTTCTAGTGACCACTATAGTGGCTAAAATGTAGTGACATCTTTAAAAGACGAAGTGGTACTACGAAAATACAAAAAAGTACCATAGTGGCCACTAGGGGTGATAAAGAGGTCTTAGTGGCAACTTTAGGGTCCTCTCCAAGTAGCCCTTGAGGTAGACAGTGGCCACTAAGGCGCAAAATAGTAACAGCTGAATAACTCTGTTGATTTCTTAAGGGATCCCTCGGAAATAATATCCCTTAAGTGGCTACTTTTTCATTCAAGACTTCTTCATTCAATATCACGCTAGCTTTTTGATGGAAAAATGCTCTGTAGACGTCTAAACCTCTAATTTTTCTATACTATTTCTCTAGTCGGTTCTTTAGACAGCGCTGAAGGAACTATAGCCTCAAAATCCTTCAAAATTAAGAAAAACTGTAAGTTCACGCCTTTCGAAAAACTATACGGTCGAAGGACGGTTTCAGACTATGCGTAGTCGTAGCCGAATGGCTTACGCGAGTGCCGAAGGTGCCGAGGACCGAGGGTTCGGCCCCCGTCGGCGCCGAGAACGCGGCCATTTGGCCACGACTTCACACCATCGACCGTTGTTTTGCTGATTAACAAGTTCGTCATATTTTTGTAGACTACTTTAAGCTTATCTATCGTTACAAAATGATCCTTTAAATTTTGTGACATTTCAGTGGAAAATTGATGAAAGCTTCTGAAAAGTAAGAAGGATGAAACGTGTGGTTTTTCGTAATTGATTCCAAAAAATAGTAAATTAGCGTCTCTAGATTCATTTCTTCGCGCCATCGTGCCGGGACCTAATTTTAATGAAATGCATGCTCCTTTTAAGTTAGGTGCACATTTATTTATTTGTTGAATTTAAAAAAATAGGAACTTGATAG